ACTGCAAAAGTTAGTGATACATCCGTAAACTTCAAGCTTTGTAACTCCATCAGCTGAATCCCATATCATGAAGGCCTACATGTATCATCCTTACTAGATCTATGGAATCATTCTAGAGTGAATTTTCGTTCAAATTTGACTCCATTGATGAATGTACATGTATAAAAGGCAAAACTTTAGTCAGTCAATTGGCAAATGACATGCGCAGCACATTCTCCAAAATGTGGCAGTCAACTTTAAAAATGATGACTTTTTCTCACTGAGTGCTAGCTGGTTGATTCTTGGTTAGAAGAGGAAATACTTTCTTTGTTTGAATGGTGAGATAAAGATGGAAGTCCTTCATGTCGTTCATGATCTTGTTTCATTTTTGTTTTTGCATCACCATGGACCCCCAAATGGACCTCTAATCTCATCATGTAACTTTACTACTTTTTTCAAGGCCTGACTTCGTCGCTAACATGCTAAATATAAGAGTTAGCTGACGTTTGGGAGTCTGACTTACCTTCTAAAGGTTAGAACCCGAATCTTAATGAAACCATATACCAACTCTTATATTTAGCATCTTAGCGACGAAGTCAGGCCTTGAAAAAAGTAGTAGACTAAAAAATAGTAAACCACTGGACTTGCTTTCATTTACTTTCGAATTTAACAGCACTTGTTTTTAGGTGACTTGTTCTCTTTTCTACATCCTAGATTTGGTCACATAATTTTGTTATTGTTCCAGAAAATACTTCAAATATTGCTTCATCATGATTGTGAGTGTGTAGTGACGAAAATTTCAAAATGATTTCACAATAAGAATTATTGAACAACTGCCAATGTCAATCTTCGAAAATAAATACAGACAGCTCTGCAAGATTTTTTCAACATCAGTTTCATGAATGAAAGTGAAAATATTACCTTGCCAGAAGCGATCCTATCCGTAGCAACACGTCCACTCTATTCAAGTTCCCGGTATGAAATGCAAACGTTAGCTTGTCGTGATGAATCATGCTTTATGAAAATATCGCTGACTTCATCTGCCCACACATGCCTAAGAGGGGATTCCCCAAACGTCAGTGTTTATTTACACACGTGACCTTGGGATTCCAGTGCAACGACTATACTGACATCTATATATTAGTAGGAAAATAAAAATGTATAAGATTGACTGTTTTATGGCCTTAATGCACAGATGGAAATATTTTTTTAAAAAACCCTAAAGAAATCTTTAACAGGCATTTTCTTTTAAATATTCTGCCATTGTGTAATAGATTTTCTTTTGTAAGAGGCCAGAGTTATTTGATTTCCTTCATAACATGGGCTTTCAAGAGATCTTGAAATGTTTAAAGTTGCATAGAGCCATTCAACGATCATGAACCAGTGTCAAAATATATTAAGTTTGAATATTTCATCAAGACTTACATCTATTTTTATTATCTACAAAGAAACCTCCTAGATAAACATTATTTCAGCTGATATTCCTCTTGAAACATGGTGGATCTTAAAAATGTAGAAGTGGATTTCCCCTTTTTGAAGCTTTGAACTGAATTTACACTTCATAATGGTGAAATTGATAGTTTATCCATACATTTAAAGAAAATAGCTATGTCAAAGAAGATGTTAAGGCAAATGTTGCCTTGATAGCTCAGAAAAAGTAAAAATTTTTCCAATTTTCTCTCTACTGGCCTTGTTGCCACTTTAATCTGTAACCCCCCCCCCCCCCCCCCCCCCTTCACCCCTTATGTGTGTGAGAAATGTTGATATGCGTTTGTTGGTCACACTATATCTAACATAATATGTAATCCAGTCAACTTTTTATAATTATTTAATGTTGGAAAGCTAACATTTAGGTTATTGACCCCCTCCCCAAATAAGTTAATTTTCTGACATTAATCTTTTGAAATACTCCCTTATTTTTAGAGTATCATGCGATAACTGAACCTTTTTATGAGAAAATGCAGAATATATATTTGAAAAGATTTCAAGTGGAAAGTGAACATGTTTCTTACTATGCAATAATATTGTATCTCATGATGAATTGACTTTGTTCTGGAGGATGGGTATTAAAATAGTGTAGGAATACATTCACTCTTCAAACAAGGCTCACTTATCTACCAATGAGAAGTATGAACCCAAGGAGGAAATACTACAGATTATTATATCATTGCTAGAAATCGTGTGATTTGATTGGCTGATTCAGTACCATGTGATCAAAAATACCATAGCATATTCCAGAACTCCCATATGGATTAAGATATATCGCCCAGTGCATTGTCTGCCCAGGAATTCTGACAACTGCACGGGACAAAAAAGTGTACTATACAATTATACTTGTACATAATTATGTTAACTTATTAGGTCTATGATATATTTTTTATTACTAAAATAAATGTTCACAGGTTAAAAAAATTGGTCAATTTGAAAAAAGATGTTTTTTACCATTTTTACCTTGAAAAGAGGTCAAATCTTAATTATAAAGTCAAATTCGATCTTCTGAAAACTTGTAGATGATTTTGAAAAAACTGACATCAGTCTAAACAGTTTTGTTAAGTTAATGGTAGTTTTAAGAATTTGTTACAGATGCCAACCAACGATCGATAACCACCAACCGCCAATTGTCAACGACCAACCGCCGTCACAAAAAACGGAGACCATAACAATATGTCACCACTTTTTGGTGTTGACATAACACTTTTGGTGGTGACCTAAAAATCATTGAAAGATGAACAGGTAATTTGCCCGAACATAGAATGAAATATGTACTTAATATTTCATGTCATGCGATCCATTTGACCACATGGCAGTTTGATAATAATATTGTATATTTGTATGAGAAATGAATTCCCGAGCAGGGCTTGTACACAGTTTAACAAGAAACTACTTCATATATTTATAATTACATGTTTTATTAAACTACATGTACATGGATATAAATTCAATATTACACATTTAATTAAAAAAACATTTATCATAAAATATGAATATTACATGATTCCTCTATAAAGGAATCATATGTGCATATCTGTGTAATACATTGTCCTATTGTTATTGCTCTTGTGATCTTGTGCATTCCATATCCTTCTAGTGTAAACATCACTCAGGCCCTTTGAGAGGATTCGAGAATCCGCTGACATTTTAGAGACAGTCAATACTTTAGATGTATGTCAGTTGAGTACATGCTTTGTTGGATCAGAGGGGAATGATGTACAAGTCGCTTGAGGCAGCTGTTGCTGAAAGCATGCAAATTAACTAGTATGTATTCATTTGAGATTCAAAATGAGGAGTTGCAATATTCTAAAACCAATAATTATTACATTTTTACTCCAAAAGTGAATGTTAGTTATTAAGTAACAAATATGATTTTCACCATTTTTATTTTACAACCATTTTAACAAATTTTCTTAAATCATCAAATACTCCACTAAACATCATAAAACATTATTTTCTCAATACCATTGGAAGATTGTGTAAAAGTCACAATATTCTATTTCCCATCTTCAATTTTATTACATTGTAGAAGAAAACAATATCAGCCAGTGGTTTAATCTTTACACTGGACCTTTAATGTTCATTACATATACTAACGTTACATAGTCTAAAATAAATATATGATATATATACATGTACATATTTACATAATACCATGATAGGTGTACTAAAATGTTTAAGGATTTAAACCCTGGAATCGGTGCATTGTGGGCTGATCATTTCTCAAAAAGGTGTTGTTTAAACATTTGCACGAGATCCGCTGACAAAACTGCAAGTAACATTAATGATTTTCCAACCGGTATGTCTTTAAAATCCAAAGAATATACAATTTACAAGATTTTAATAAATTCTATGTTCATTATTTCCTTGAATACATATAGTTTGGGGTTTTATAGAGAATAAGCATAAGTGTGAATGATGCCAAGACAAAACATAGCTGATTGCGATACAATTATAAATAAAGTTGTGTTTTATGTCTGCTTCTACCTTTAAGAACTATAAATATTGCACATGTACAAATTGCATTTGTCAATGTCTCATGTATTTAAGACATGGATCTATGTAGCACTCTCAACGCTCCATGGAACACACTTTGTGTATATGCAATCCCAAAGAAACTACAGGTAATCAAGTATGTATCATTTTAAAGCAGCATATCTCATTGCAAATGTATCTAATAATCATGTGCATTATCAGGCCCGTAGCCAGGGGAGGGGGAGGGGGGTTCGCAGGGCCAAATTTTTTTTTCAAAATCATGCAGTTTTTCACCATTTTGAGCACTTTTCAAGTGATTTTCACCATATTTGGGCCAAAATTATCAAATGTGAACCCCCCCCTGAAAATTTTTGAAAACTGAACCCCCCTTGGCAATTCCTGGCTACGAGCCTGATTATTTGTATGAAGTTTGAAGTTTTATTTATTAATTTTACATACACCCTTACAAATCTGTTGGTCCCAAGTCGGTTTATTCACCAAAATTGCATTGGTTTGCTTTATGTCCATTTCATCTCATCATCTGGGCAATCTATTTCTTTATCAGATGAGTGATCCTGTATACGTGTTAGTCTACCTGACTCATATGATTAATTATAAGTCATATATTCAGGAGATTCTTGATTATATTTGGCACAGAATGTTCGTTCAGAGATCATGCGATTGTCTATCCCTTCTAGGGCAATCTTTGCTTTCAAGTAGTGCTGTCGCAATGTGCCATAACTAAACATCAATAAATTGGCAATTTTTTAGGTATACAATGGAGTACAGATTGAAAAGATACTGATTGAGTCATATCAATTAGTTTAAATATGTAATAAGTGAAATTATCATTGAATGGGAAAAGAGTAAAGAAAATTGTGTGGTTTATGTGAAAAATATGGATTATATAGAAAACTTTCAAAATATTGATGTTTTTTCTTGTACACCCGTACATAGCAAGGATCATTTTGGCAATGATTATTGCGACAACACTGCTTTCGATTTGCCAAGTCCTGTCTACATTATTAGTAATGTAGCGAACTTGCACATGATTTTTATTCCCATATGAATACGGTTGAATCCACTCTACGGAGTCCATTGCTCATACATGACCATTGAGGAAGTTCCAACTGAAAATTTCATCTTTCACAATAAATCAAAATATGAATTTTTATCTTATGTTGGTAATCAAAACAAAAAAAAGACAAAATACAATTTTTTTTAACTTGTTGAAAATATCAGGTAAGGCCATTTAGGGTCTTTAATCTAGTTTCAAACCAAACTGAGCAGTCCAATTTAAATTTGGAATACATTCCTCAAAGAGGGGGCCTAAAGGAATAATGTGAATTTAAGAACTTTTACGATGCACTGAAATATAAAGGACACATATACTTACAATTATTCTCATGTCATCATCTGTGATGGACCAATCGAAGCAGTGTGTGTTGTCAATGATGCGCTGATGGTTGACTGATTTTGGAATTGTTATGAAGCCATTCTGTACACTCCATCGAATGCATAGCTCAGGAACTGTTTTTTGGTACCTGGAAAGAAAGATCAAATTAGTTTTTAAAATGAGTCTCTTTCCCCTTGTACTAGTATATACTAATAACATGTATAACATTTGCTGCTAGATTCCCAGAAAACATATCTTTTCTTGAAAAAAGTAAATGGTGTAACTAAAGTTTGGGCAAACTGACATTTTCAAATTCATAATTGTGATTTTTGGCAAAATTCTGTGCTCAACTGAGAAATGAGAGCCCCTCCAAAATGATTAGAGCTCCATCTGGTTGAAAGTAAACTATAAGTCTGAACTAATATTTAATTTTAAAATATCAAAGGATGTTTGCAGCGTTGAAGAGATAAATGGATAAGAACCCTACTTGTTGGCAATCTGCAATAAATCTGGGTCATCCAATCGTTTACCCTTCCCGAGTGGTGAATATCCCATAACTGCTATATTATTTGCTCTACAATACTCCACGATATCTTTGTGGTGTTGAAAGGGGTGGAGCTCTATTTGATTGACAGCTGGAGTTGGAAGTCCCTCTTCTTTCAAGATTTCAAGGTGTTTAACTCCAAAATTAGAGACCCCTATTGACCTATAAAGAAAGAAAGAAAGTGTAAAATGGCTTGGAAACAACCTTTCATGCCAACATTTTCATTTCGATCCTAATCTGAAAAAATAATTCAGGCATCACCTCAAATATAGCGCAGTAATATTGAAAAGGATGAGTCTGGGAATGAGTCTGGGTATCGACTTAGAAAATATTGAAAATTGTAATGTCTGAAAAAGCAACTCAATCACACATATTATTAAACTTCAATATCTTATCCTTCTTCTGAGAGTACAAAAATATCAATTTGTATCACAATTAATGAAGAATATTGGCATCAAAGATAGTGCATTTCACTTTGTCAGAATTGAAAAAAATCAATGGCAAATATTAAATGAATTATTTATACAAAAGGTTTGAAACATATCCTCCAAAACATTGCTTACTTTCTTTGTATAGACATTGAATGGTATTTCTGGATAAGTGAATTGCTGTTTATCTGGGTAATCAAGGGATTAATAGTCACTCAAAGTTACTGAGCATCCAGTTTTGAGACTTCAATTGTGTTGGTGAAGTTACACATATTTCAGTCAAATTCATGCTGAGCACAACATTTTGGTTTCAATTTTATAATCTCTATACATGACCCTGGTGATGAAGAATCAGAATCAGTCAAAAAACCTAAACCGGAAAACTGTGCTCATTGTGAAAACTAAAAGTGAAGCAACTTTTTTTCTGATATTTCTTACATCAAATGGCAGCCATCTTGTTTTTCCCCCTCAAATTAAACTGGCGGGAAATTCAAAAATTTGAAAAAAAATTTAATCATTAAATATATTTCAAAAATATGATTTTCTTTTAAATTCTTTATGGGTCTTAATTTATTTCTTCTTTGTAAGTCATACATGTTGCCATTGGTGTTTTTTCTATGATAATGACTATTTTTTTTCATTAAGATACTTATATTCTGACTCTCAGCAGGGGGTTAATTATGCATCAAAACTCGTGAAAAAGTAAATATACTTATGAAATATAACTAGGACAGTAATAAAAAACACATTTCACATACATTTGACTGAGGGACCAAAAGGGCATATACCCGGACACATCCTTTAAAGGCCCCATGTAAAGTTTAAACCACTTTGGCTTATATTATAGTCTTACCCAATGTTATCAAAGTGTGATATGTGAAACGTTTTTTTTAAATTTCAAAAAGTGGTTTTTGATAGACTTTTTGTTCCAAAATTTGTGAATTTATTTAAAACCAACTTTTAGAGGTCACTCATATCTTCTAATTAGCCACAATTCATACCAATGCATAGCATTCATCCTCCCATGTTTTTTGCCGAAAAAATTAAGAAAATCGGTTGATAAACAAGCGAGAAATGAACTTATCAGTGCATGAAAATGGTTCTGAGAAAAATGCATTTCAAAATTTTAGTTCTCATAGAAACCAATGGTACAATGATATCTAAAACATAATTTATTCTTCCTTTTAACCTGGTTAGACAATCAACATTGTTTTTTATGAAAGTCTAGCATATTTAGAAAAGATTGACATCGAAAAAATAAATTCAATTTTTTTCAAAAAGTTTTTGTTACCTTAGTGACATCACTAATGTTTCAAAATATTTTTGATAAGCTAAAACATTGAAGTGGCCCATTAAATATGAAATTTTATTATTGAAATAGTGTGTCTTTTGTTCAATCTTTGCATTGGTGTTACAAAGATAATCTTTTTTGAAATGCATTAAGAAATATTTGATGATTAAGAAATTTCAACTTTTTTTGAAAAATGGCGGGAAATTTGAATATTTGAGAAATGAAATGCTCACAACTTTTTGTTCAAAAAATTTTTTTGTTCAAAAATCTCTAAAATCACTTTTTAAGTCCTGACAAATAGTAAATGAATGATAAAAAAATATTTTCAAACTTTAGACGGGGACTTTAAACAGACACATCATAGAAATATATATGCAGGGGTTTCACTAGAATTTCTGACAATTGGAAAAAATGATGAAAAACAGCCAATATTTTAGAAAATTTCAGTATGGAAAGCACATTGTAAAATTCATCAATACTCGTACAAGTGATTTGGTTAAAAACATTAGGCACAATGTCCTTGAAGCCTCCTCCTATTGAAAGCAACCATTTTGAATATCAACTTTCAAGCCAACTGAATTTTTGGAGCCGTTCTCTATTTCCAGCAATAAATTTGGTTACCTTATTAATCCCTTCTTCTGCAGTTCTATCATTGCCCTGTAAGAGTCTAATATCTTTGCTTTGGAAGACCTAGGTGTGTGGATTAAATAAAGATCGACAAACTCTAAACCCAACCTAAAACAGAAATCCTTAAAGTAAGACAAGTAGATCAAGTAACACACCAAATATCCTCAATCTTACATCAAAATTATCTCTAAAATTTTGAATTTTTTTAAAGTTGGGTGAAAACTTACTTTATTCTTTATATCAACTATATATTTTGTTTATGTTAGTCTCAAGAAGATTTCATTTCATGTATGGTGGCTCAATAAAGATGCATGGTAATTTTACTTTTTTTAATCAGAAAGTCCATGATTCAATGCTGTAAAGGCTTGCTACCATATTTAATTTTTTTTATTCATGTAATATAATTATTATCAAGTGTTACATTTACACACTAGCTACCTATAGAGGGGTATATCAGTGCATTATCAAGATTGGAAAAACCATAATTTGATTATCTTTGTTAGTTTGGTTTGGTTCTCGAAATGCTATAATAAAAGTCTAATCTTTTGAATTTGATTTCATTCTTACATCTTTTTAAAATTTTAACAAGTTTAACTAATTTCTAAATATCAAAATATGTGCTTACTTTTTTAAACTTTGCTTAAATGCATTTGTAGCTGGTTGGTGACCGAATGTCATAAGTTTCGTGACAACAAAATAATCTTCTCGCTTCAGGCCAGACTTCTTAAGACCTCGGCCAACTCCCTCTTCATTTCTAAAAGAGCAAATACACAACAAACATGTTAAAGAGTGATAAAATAATACATGAAAATAATTTAATATCCGGATATTAATTGGTTGGACTTATCACACAAAAGGCTAGATGTATGTACAATTTCCACATGTGTATTATGCAAACCTACAAGCCAATAACGAACCAATAATTAGGAATGGCGTCCAAATGCCAGAAGTTGAGGAACAATTGAATTTCATAAGGGGGAATGAAGGGGTAGATGGTTTTATTTGTGGGGGGGGGGTTATTCACTGTCAACATCCGGACATCATCCATTTATAGGCTTGTTTTTGATGTGAAACTGTATGCTAAACAATGTTGAAAATAAATAAATAACTCTCAAATGAAGTATACAGTGAACATTATACAAGTTATACTAATTGTCATAAATGGCTAATTTACCCAGCTTCCCCCTAACATGAAAGTCCTTTTCTGCAATTCATACATAAATTACATCAAGATAATATGCAGTATTGGAAAATATGTAGCCTTCCATTTGCTTCACTTCCTTGTAAAGGGAAGAGCTGGAGAGGTAGGAGGTCACACAGGCTTCAAAGAACACTAGCCTAAAGGTTGTCACCCTCGAATGCCCAAATGTGTCAGAAACACTGAGATATTCATTTGGATTATGTTGTAGAATTCATAATTTTAATGCAGGAATCTATTTGAACAATTCCCTGTTGAACATCTTGTCATTTATGTTCAAATACAATATGATACATATTGAATAATAAATAGAAATGGGGAGGACTCACTTGTACATTTCAGCAGTATCTATCATCTTGTAGCCATTACATAATGCCACATTAACACATTGAATAATTAAATAGAAATGGGGAGGACTCACTTGTATATTTCAGCAGTATCTATCATCTTGTAGCCATTAGATAATGCCAAATTAACACATTGGATAATTAAATAGAAATGGGGAGGACTCACTTGTATATTTCAGCAGTATCTATCATCTTGTAGCCATTAGATAATGCCACATTAACACATTGGATAATTAAATAGAAATGGGGAGGACTCACTTGTACATTTCAGCAGTATCTATCATCTTGTAGCCATTAGATAATGCCACATTAACACATTGGATAATTAAATAGAAATGGGGAGGACTCACTTGTACATTTCAGCAGTATCTATCATCTTGTAGCCATTAAATAATGCCACATTAACACATTGAATAATTGAATAGAAATGGGGAGGACTCACTTGTACATTTCAGCAGTATCTATCATCTTGTAGCCATTAGATAATGCCACATTAACACATTGAATAATTAAATAGAGATAGAGAGGACTCACTTGTACATTTCAGCAGTATCTATCATCTTGTAGCCATTAGATAATGCCACATTAACACATTGAATAATTAAATAGAGATAGAGAGGACTCACTTGTACATTTCAGCAGTATCTATCATCTTGTAGCCATTATATAATGCCACATTAACACATTGGATAATTAAATAGAAATGGGGAGGACTCACTTGTACATTTCAGCAGTATCTATCATCTTGTAGCCATTAGATAATGCCACATTAACACATTGAATAATTAAATAGAAATGGGGAGGACTCACTTGTACATTTCAGCAGTATCTATCATCTTGTAGCCATTAGATAATGCCACATTAACACATTGAATAATTAAATAGAGATAGAGAGGACTCACTTGTACATTTCAGCAGTATCTATCATCTTGTAGCCATTAGATGATGCCACATTAACACATTGAATAATTAAATAGAGATAGAGAGGACTCACTTGTACATTTCAGCAGTATCTATCATCTTGTGGCCATTAGATAATGCCACATTAACACATTGAATAATTAAATAGAGATAGAGAGGACTCACTTGTACATTTCAGCAGTATCTATCATCTTGTAGCCATTAGATAATGCCACATTAACACATTGAATAATTAAATAGAGATAGAGAGGACTCACTTGTACATTTCAGCAGTATCTATCATCTTGTAGCCATTATATAATGCCACATTAACACATTGGATAATTAAATAGAAATGGGGAGGACTCACTTGTACATTTCAGCAGTATCTATCATCTTGTAGCCATTATATAATGCCACATTAACACATTGGATAATTAAATAGAAATGGGGAGGACTCACTTGTACATTTCAGCAGTATCTATCATCTTGTGGCCATTAGATAATGCCACATTAACACATTGAATAATTAAATAGAGATAGAGAGGACTCACTTGTACATTTCAGCAGTATCTATCATCTTGTAGCCATTAGATAATGCCACATTAACACATTGAATAATTAAATAGAGATAGAGAGGACTCACTTGTACATTTCAGCAGTATCTATCATCTTGTAGCCATTAGATAATGCCACATTAACACACTCTGCACATTCAGCATCATCTTCCATCTTGTATACACCTAGAACATGTGAAGATTTAGTAAAGACAAACATGCAATAAATGTCCCAATTTAGCTTGGAGGAAATGTAGAATGTCACTCAACTTTTTGGTGATTTTAAGTCATGTCTGCACTTCACAGTTCAAAATCAACTTCTGTAGTGATTTGACACCACCTTTTAATTTGCCCTACTGATATTTTATTGTTTCTTAAAACACATTCTCTCAAAATCAGGAAATATGGTGATGAGCAGGGAAAATTTGTAGTGTTTTTCAGTAACAAAAAATAAGGAGTGACAACTTACATTTCCTCCAAGTGTGCTGATGAGGGGGTGTACAGATGATGAGGAAAACTGTGATAATAAAATATAATTCAAGCACTGTTTACTGTAGCACTATTCAAACTGGTTATTGAAACGAATCTGTTATAACTGTATAATAAGTAATAAATACCTTAGGTCTAGGGACAAAAGCTTTTGAACAGAAAACGTTTGTGCCTATCCCTGCAGTATTTATTCGTCAATATAATACCTGCTCTTCAGTCTATATTTCTTAAATATAAAGTATTTGGACAAAGACTGTGTAATAATTACCTAAGCCAAACATTGGCATCTTGAAGCCATCATTCAGTTCAACTGTGCTATCAAGACTCTGAGGGACAGAGATATTTGCCATATTGAGAACAACGACTAGAACTCAGATTTACTACTAACCTGGAAGAGGAAGAAGATTTAAAATAAACCTTGAAGAGAAGAATATTGAGACTACAAACATGTATGTGTTATTATTACAAGTTTTACAACCAGTACTTAAAGTTCAAGTGTTCATGAATATTACTATAAGTTGTTGTGATTACAGGAGTAACGATGTTGTTAGATGTAACAGGACTAGAAAGAAAGGGTCAAAAATGTTAAGATGATGAGGGTTTGCAAAAGTGAAATAACAAGACAATGTGAATTGAGATTGACATTTTATTATATCAAACATCAAGACAATTAATGCATTATTCATATTACAGTGTTCTCTGCAGGATTTTTTCTCAAGTTGGTGCAAAATCCTCATTTTCACAATTTTGACTGAAACTGGTCAAAATATACCTATTTTCAAGTGGGTGCAAATGAATTTTCAGGTGGGTGCAAGCCTGTTTCTAAAATCTCAGGTGGGTGCTGCACCACTTGCTTTAATGCTGGGAAGATCACTGCATTGTTTATTCATTCTGATACTCATGGTATCTTTATGTTGCACCAGGTTGAGAAGAAATGAGATGCCATAGTTTATCATAAATTTTTATTATTTCCTGATATGAGGATATCAGTAAATACAAAACTTAAAAAAGTAAAGAGTTTGGGGAGCAGGCAGGCGTTAGGCAGATAGAAGGAAGAAATTAAAGATGGGATATGGGGGGGGGGGGGGGCTAGGAATTTGTGTCACTTGAAGGCTCGTGTGAAGGAGATGTTTGCAGTGTTGCAATGAATTGTATTGATAGATAGGGATGCTTACTTTTAACGCGGTTGTAAGTTACCGAAAGGCAAAAGTAGAAAAAATCCGAACATTTTATACTGATTAAGATCTTTAAATTGTGAGTACCTGGACCTCTTAGAAAACACACAACATATCAAAAAGTGAAGATGGGTGAATTTGATTCTCATTCTCCGAAGATATTAATAAAATAGTTAAATGTTCAGAGTTTTTTTAATGCTGTAAATTGTTCACAATTCTAAATCAAGAAGTTGCTTGTATTTCTGTCGTATTTAGGAAATCATGTTGCCGAAAATCAGTGCACAGTTTTCATGGTGTTGTTGTAAAATGTGCGTATATGTCTTTTGAAACCCTCTCTAACGCAATTTTATTACTGATAAACTAACACCTTAGGGTTAAACTTTTGCTCGAGGAATTAACTCATTTTCATCAATAAATATTAACTCATCGTGTTTTCTACTAGTAAACTAACGTTAAACCTCAGTCCATTGTCGTTATCACTTACTACTGAACCTAAGTGAGATATGGCTCTTGCCTCAGCACGAGCCAATAAGACTGTAGTACTGACAAAGGATAAGTGTAGAGTATCTGCATGCAATATGGATGGATGGAAGTAGTTTGGAAATATAGCTTATCTATAATCTACAGATATTAATAATCACCCAAAACAAGGACATGGAATAATGTCTGTAGACATTAAGATTGTTCAACCCCGGGAATTTGTTTACACTAAGCGAAATTTGATCAGATCTTAGAACTATCATTTGATTTTTAAATTTTCTCAACTCGTTCAAAGGCTTGTGACTGTGAGAAAGATCAAAGCCTATATCAGCTGACAAAGTGGTGACACGGCATATCATTAATGGGATAAGGTACCAAGTAAGTTCCAAAACTACTTACCTACCAGCATTTAAACGAGTGTAATGTAGGGCTCAGTTTCCCTGCGGCGAATAACAAAATTGTTTTCATGAGACAAACCAACTACAATCATTTTTAACGATTAAGATTTTGAAAGTAATTGCTTAAAATGAAGGAAATATTGAATGTGATGTTAAAGATTTTTTCTCATATTTTGCATGCTTTATACCCTTTTGATAGTGAGGGAAAATAAGGTATAAATAGTAGGTCTTGAAATATAGATAACGAGTGGCAGCTTTTGTGACCAAGTTAATGCGATAAACATTTATTTTGACAGGATTAAAACGTTAATATCACCTTTTTACATATATGTAAAAGTAAGTAAATATACAGAGTAACTTCAATTCAATTTTAACCTATTAATGTCCTATATTTGAATGCATATCGTATGCAGTCATATCAAAGTTGAAACAATGATTTCTCTAAAAAAATTGAAAAACGAAAGTGAAACTGAAAGTTGAAAATGTAAAATAAGTGATACTTGATGGGCATATACAATAGCCTCATTGATTGATCGTAGAGGTCTTATTAAAGTCACTACAAGTAATTATGAGTCAGTAACATTATTCTATTATTCATCCCATAAATGTGAGGCTATTCTTAGTCTACTTTATCGTATCCTACTACCCCTTTAGATTGTGGTCGTACGCCCGATTCATTGGTAAGCCTGTCTTTCTACAATGTCGGAAAATGAACTCTGCATTGCACTATTAAATGACCTACCTTGATACATTCCAGAGTATTTTAGAATTCTTTTTATGTTGTTAGATCGCCGATTGTATGGGTTTATCGGCAGAACGAAGATATTTTCGTTTTTGATAGCAATATTTGCATGTAATATTTAACTTATTTCAACTGTCAAATTCCTCCATTCAGTTCCCGGCATGCACCAGTCATAAGGGAAATCCCTGGGGAATTCCCCTTCCGACATTTTAAAAATTGCTGACATGTTTCCGATGTAAAAACTAAAATCTCTTCGTTCTGCCGATAAACCCATACAATTGGCGATCTAACAACATAAAAAGAATTCTAAAATACTCTGGAATGTATCAAGGTAGGTCATTTAATAGTGCAATGCGGAGTTCATTCTCCGACATTGTAGAAAGACAGGCTTACCAATGAATCGGGCGTACGACCACAATCTAAAGGGGTTGTAGGATGCGATAAAGTCTACTCTTTACTTGGTGTAAACTATTTGACTCTTTTTTATACATGTTCCCGGGCCTATGCCCATGAATGAGGGGATGATTTCAACCCCTACTACTTGTGTATTGAAATCTTACAGAAACTAAGCTTGATGAGTGGTTATTAAGATAAATTTCAGCTTTGAAACAACTAGTCTAATAATGACGTTTTTCAACCCCAAGATTTCAATACAAAACTAGTTTATGGGGGTAGGCTAGTCCAAATATCCCCAGCTCAAAAAATATCCAAAACAGTGTTATGGAAGGAGGATTGACTCCCAGAATGCAATCTTGATATTTTCCAACAATGAATCCAATCTTGAAAGATGTTGTGATTTTCGTAACAAAAAATTCAAAACGCACAAGAATTGATGAAGATATAAGCTCAAATCTTTTGGATTGCTGGTTATGAATTTATAACCAATTAAATGTCAGACAATAATGACATTCTGATATTTTCATCATTGGAAAATATTGAGATTACATTCTGGGAGCTAATCCTCCTTAGTGTTGTCATTCAAGTTCCGACACAAAATTTATTGTCTTGGAGAAGTTTTAGGGTAGTTGGAGGGTATCACATCTGCATTCCTATGTAGCTCAGGCACATATGTAAATTCCACTATTTGTTTTGCAGGTCTCGAAGTTACTTGTTAGCTGACATAATACTGACATCATTATGAAATTGAACATTCACTGGCCAAGTGTGGCATACGCATCTACCAGTGTTGGTAGTGGGATGATGGGCTCTGTATTCTTCTTCTACTATGTAAAAGTTTTTCTCAACATGTACAAGATATCAGAAGCCTGGTTCCAAGCTTCCCAAGTAATCTACATGGTATGGAATGCTGTGAATGATCCGTTGTTTGGATACATGCAGGACAATGGGAAGTGGGCATGTGTGAAATCAAGGAGACATTCCATCTTATATGGTGCAGTTTTTTACTCAATTGCATTCCTAGTGCCATGGTTTAAATGGGGATCATATGAACCTGGCAGTTGGTTATGCGGGATCCACCTGATCATATCCCTGTGCTTTTATGACACTTTACTGACATTTGTTTTACTTGCCCAGTCAGCACTTTTCACGGAGATGTCCAGCAAGCAGTCTGATAGGGTGCAGTTAATAAAGTACTGTCAAATCGCATCTCTGATTGGGTCAACATCAGTGTTCTTCTGTGACTATGTATCAGATAACTTGACCAATTTCGGTAACTTTCAAATTGCTTGTGTCATCATAGCGGTGCTGTCGTTTTTCTTCATGTCATACACTGGAAGAAATGCAGATACAAATTACATTCCAAAAGCGACGTCTCTCCCAAAAACACAAGCTGATATCATTGACAAAAAAGAAGACAGTGACAAACCATCAATATTAAAACTAACATGGCAGATTGTGTCCCAACGAAACTTTCTCTGTTTTGTATTCGTTAATTTTTGCACAATCTTTGAGACAACATTTGTGGCGAACTTTGTAGTGATCTTGGTTGAGAATTTGATTCCGCAAGAATATCTGCCATCCCATGTTAGAAGTTTCTATTTTGGTCTTTTCTTCATTGTACCCCAGGTATAGTATATAAAATTAGTAGAATACAGTAAAACCTGTCTAATCCAAACACCTCTGGGACAAGCCAAAATTATCCAGGTTAGCAGGTATCCAGATCTCAAGGTTTTATTATGTGGACAAAGTTCAGCTTTCTGTAACAAATGGCATGTGGTGACATATCACATGTTAATACCTTGTACAAACATGTAATTCAATGGGAGATAACAAATTTGGGACCGAGAAAAAGTGTTCACATTGAGAGGTGTTTGGATTACAGATCTGTTCAGATATACAAGTTTCACTGTATTTTTATAGTGGTTAAACATGGACACAAAGAAATGAATTGCAGCGATCTCCCTATCATAAGACCTAACTTAAAGGAACATTCCTGGCCAAACCTTTTCTATCCTGATGTGATAGCTATAATCATATATATACTTTCCATATTTAGCAAAACACCAGGAAATGTTTAATATAGTCAATATTGATAATTCAAAAATATAGTGCTCATTTCCAGTAAGCTGCCATCTTTTAAGATTTTACTCAGGAAGTGATGTCATCGACTCTCAACTTCCATGACCTTGCATATTACAGTATAGGGAAGTAGCACAAAATCACTTCTAGACAAGTGGTTCTTACTTTATGTGCAAACATATTTTCAGAGTTTGTCAGCTTAGAATAATAGAAGAGACTTATAGAAGGATTAAATCATAGACAAAATTGAAAAAGAATGCACAGCTGGTTTTTGTAATTCTTAATAGCTCCTTATAATGTTATATGCAAAGTTGAGAGTCGATGACATCACTTCCTGAGTGAAACACTAAAAGATGGCAGCCTACTGGAATTCAGCACTACATTTTCAAGTGATCAATATTGACTATATTAAAACATTTTTCCCTGTTTTGCTAAATATGGAGAGTATATTATATGGTTATAGCTACCATATTAGGAGAAAAATGGTCTGGCCAGGAATGTTCCTTTAAGCTGCACACTGTTGAAAATTCAAAAATCATATGCCACCCCACCCTGCTGAAAATATGTGCAGTCTGTCAAAACAGTGACAAAATCTGAACAAAACTCTTATTTGTTAAAATTGGTCTTGCCTTCTAACAGCTGTACAGCCTCTGCTTAGCAATCAAAACTACAAGAGGTTACTTTACAGTTGGTATCATTCACTTTCAACTATGGTTTGCCAAATGTACATTCTTTAAAAACAATAGAATTAGAAAGTACTCCTCTTTGATACAGCTGTGCATTCTTTAAATAGACTGCATTTAATTCTGTTGTGTTGGAATCTAGGTGGGGTTTAAGATTTTTCTAAAATTGAAATTTAAAATATTATGATTGTACATATATGAACTGTATCTTACATTTAAATGATTTTTCAGATTACCGTGATTTTCCTTACTCCTTTCACCGCCAGAATGGGAGGGTCATATTATGTGATCAGAAGCAGTATGTGGCTGAGAATTGCAGCTGGTATCACCATGTTTTTTCTTGGAAGGAGGTACTATATTCTCATGCTGATATACTTCCTGTTGGCCAAGTAAGAACTACTGTTATCATATCTGAACTGCGCACATTGATTACTCTTTATTGTGTTATCTTCTCTATATGATTAATCCAGCTACACCATTTTAATGTCTGCTGCACCATTTTTATGTCTGCTGCACCATTTCAATGTCATCAGCAAGAAGTTGTGATATATTGCTATAGCAACCATTTTTCTATAATCAGTATTCGGTGTTCAACATTATTTGCAATCATCGTCTTTTTTGAATGATTTGACATGGTACTAGTAATAGCTTGCTAATATTTTGGCTACAGTCTAATCCATGGTGAGATTGTGATAATGAACTCCAGTGTACAGCATTATGATATTCTATATTTCAATACATTGCCTACTGTCCAGTAACAATAATCTGATTATCTACTTCAGGGGGCTTGCCAAATCCACCTTTAGTTTCTTCAACATGACTGTGTCGGACATCATAGATACAGATATGCAGCAGTTCCAACGCAAGTAAGTCATTTATGCCTACACATTAAACAGACATTGCACAGCATTTTCAATATTTTCATCGGTATCATTACACCAATCCTCCCTACATTTCCAGATATTTTTTCAAGTATGACTGTTGAACTTGGGAGCTGTTGTTTACATTTCAGTGTTCAATTTCAATTACATTTTAATTTTCAATTGGATATGCTACGCCTTGGCATTGCTGTTATCTATCTTAGTTCATAATCATTATTCTGTATACCCAGTAATGTTGAATACTTTAGATCGATGACTAGATTGTTTTCTTCTATTCCAGAGAGCCAATTTCTTCATCTATATTTGGAACAAATGCTTTGATAACAAAACCAGCCCATTCATTTGCTCCGATGTTTGCAGTGGCTGTTTTCAACAGATACGGATATGAGCAGTTAAAGGACAAAACTTTAACAGACGCTAAGGACATAAGCCATTTACACGATATGATGTTTTCTGTAATGTGTTTAATACCTGTCATAGCAGGGTTTCTACAGTTAACAGTATGGTCATTGTATACATTGAGAAATACGCAGGATGCTGTTGCTAAAACAAATGGAAATTAAGATTTTTTGGACAAGTGACTACTCATCTTCACCTGTTAACACAGCATTAATTTGAATTAGATCTTGATTAAAGCATGGGATGGATTTCTGATGACACAACTTCAATATTATTATACGAGTATGTTGCAGTACTAATAGTTCTAAAAGTATGTGGTGCCGTTTTATGAGTGATCATATTTTTACCGCAAGTGATGACATATTGTAAATGTTATATATCTCCAACTTTTTGGGGAACATCATTCAGTATCTCTGTAACAAATGGCAGGTGTTGATATTTTGCATGTTAATGGTGTCATATCAGTGTTGCTATGTACTTTTGCATCTGCTTCAAAATACTGTACCCCTAGTATTTTTCGCATGTGATTTAGTTTCGCGCTTTTCGTGATTGCAGTAAAATCACAAAAATTAGTCAACGCTAAATTGTCAATTAAATCCCCGAGGATTTGAGAAATTTTTTATTACCTGGGACTCCATTGTATTTAGTGTTTTGTAAAATGTTTGTCAGGTGTTTTTAGGCAATAGATGGGATACTAAGTAACTAGATAATGGCAACTCCGCGGAGTAGCAAATCCCAACGAACAAAATATCAATTACCGAATTCCAATCAATTATACTCATTACTTTGGTTAAAATTGAAAAAATTAGATTTTAGAATTGCGAATTCCTGCTAAGCAGCCATTTTGAATTTTCTGAGGTACAAATCTGAAAAATAATACCATAATTGTGATCTACTCCAAAAATCCTTCAATTTGAGTATAATATAGCCATACTTTGAAGGGATCGAAAAATTATTGCGAAATCGTACATTAGACGGCCATTTTGAATTTTACGAGGCTCGAATCAGAAAAAAGATACAATATTTGCAATCTACTCTTAATTGCCTTTCATTTGAGTATAATAAAGCTATACTTCAGAAAGATCTAAAAATTAGCGAAAATTTCTGTTTTCCTGACCCCCCATACACGGCCCCTGGGGCTCAGGATGAAAAACACGGAATAGATGTGAAATAGATAAATGTTGTGAATATACTGCCAAAATTTCAAACAATAAATAGAGGATATCCTATGATTTATGAGTGATATGATTTTTATCCACGAATGGATATGATATCTGCACGAGCGAGCGTAGCGAGAGAGTGCAGATATCAATAACCATGAGTGGATTAAAATCATATCACGAGTAAATCATAGGATGTTCTTTTTATTCCATAGTTAAAGTCATCATCATAATCGTCGGAAATTAAGTCATTAAATTCGAATTTTCCAAACGATCCGGCGATGTTGACACTTAGCCTCGTTTTGAGTCTGAAGTAGCAAAAATCCATAAACCATTGCATACGATGTTGTATGTCATGGCTAAAAAACCGTATGCTATGGTTAAGTGAAAATTTGTCAAAAATATCATATTTTACCACTGATTCCAAAAATACCGTTTTTATTTTCACATGTTATCCTATAAATATCATGCTAACTATGGAATAATATTAATTACTTTGGTTTAGAATGAAAAATTTATGATTTTTGCGAAAAAGTTCCGTCATTTTTAAAGCGGCAGCCATCTTGAAAAAATTTTTTTTGCGTTAAACTATTCACCAATATTCATCTTTCCACTAAATATGAAGAAAATCCGTCTACTAGTATTTGAGTTATCTTCCGGACGGACAGAAGGACGGACGGACAGACGGACGGACGGACGGAGGGCTTCACTATATCCCTACCGAACTTCGTTCGTTGGGATAATAATGTCTGTTATAACATACCTATGATAATGTATAGTGTAAACTGTTCACAAGACAGCGGGCCAATATAACTTTTGAAAAGCCTGTGTCCGCTAACTTTCTGATTGGTCAAGCGCTGGGACTACGTCATACATTAGGGCCTAGGTCAAATTGACTCGTACATTCGTAAGATACAAACATGGGAATAAATCATCATTTCCGAACCATTGCTAGTCAATTAAATTAGAAAACGACACTCTCTGACCAGACTAGATCATCATAGGTATGTTATAAATCGTTTATGTCACTATAGTTGCACATATGCCCTCGGTTTTTAGTGATCAATGTCCCTCCCAAGGTCGGGCCATATATCACTGAAACCCTCGGGCATATATGCAACGATAGTGGTATAACCTCTAATAACAGTGGCTTATTAGATCAAATAAACCTTAACATTACGATGTAATAAAGTTTAAGGTGAAGCATGTCGTGTACTTAGTAAAATTCGTGAAATTCTAAAAATGTAATAGTACACTCAAAATATTGCTTGAGAAGGTGTATAATAAAACCCAAACTGCATGATCAGGGGCTGGACATGGCCGGAATACCAAGCCTTAAAATATGTTTTTCTCAAATAGGTATTCTGCCATATCCAGCTCCTGATCATCCAGTATTTGTATTAATTATTGGATGTTTTTTTATATGGAGTTTGGCCAATTGGAAACAAATGGCCAAATCTCAGTCTTCATGGTCAGTCTTAGCTAGATCTTCATTCACTCATATAATATTGTTATTCAGATTTATATATTTTATATATTTAGATAACTTATTTTCAGAAGACTTTTTTGTCTGCTGTGCATGTACAATGTACATGTAGTTATGTGATAAAGTTATTTCACTTGAATTTATATTATCGACCTACCCAATATGCCATGTTGTAGTTGGGTCAGCTGTATCATTTTGCTATATTGGGGGCATCCATTAGATCTTTGGGGGAAAGAGGGCCTAATAACTGCCTACCTTTCATTTTCAGTTATTACAGGCATAAGGTAAATGCCACTTGGTAGGTCAGATATTCGGTTTGGATCTAAAAATTAATTATCACAAAATAATTCCTGTTTAACAGAAAATCAATCCTGGATAAGAAGTTTAGCCCCCAAGTTCAAATGGTGTACCCCTCATACTATTTCTGTATTTAACATTCTGTATTTTATATTGTATGCATTTTATATTGTATGTTTTTATTCAGATGGTTATGGGGAGATATTAACTTATTAACATTTACAAGAACAAAATAAATACTTTTATCTCAAAATCGTATTTTGTTTATTTGCAGTAATGCAGATTATCTTACTTGTATCTTGTTGAACTAGGTAACAATGGGTAATTCAGCATCTATGCTAGCGAGATATCCTCACTATAGAAGATTCTATGATCTACGTTTCAGCATATTTGTTCAGAGATATGTTATTTTAATGTAGGTTTAATAATGACTCCATCCAGAATACAACTCTGCCTCTGCAGTCATGAAGTCGAATGAACCGTTTATATTCAGCTAATATGCTCTATACCTCTCTACATTATATGATGACAGACATTTTAAATTGACAATAGAAGATAACCGCTTGCCATCATTAATTGCAACAGATAATTTACAAAAATACTTGAACATAAATGACATATTGTTCCTGCTTTATTTAGGTGATTTGACAATTTTGCCAATTCAGATCTATGCCAAAATTGATGATAAATCACTCTAATAATTGGCTCTTTTTGTTCTGTTTGCACACTAAGGGTTTGTCTTCTTGTTAAAAGGTATTAGAAAATATGTCTGGCTGAGAAAGACAGCTAAAATTGGCAACTCCTTGGTTGTAGCAAATCCTAAAGAACAATATATCGAGACAAAGTACATGTACTGTCGATTGATCAGGTAAAAACAAAATGATAGGTGTCACCCATAAATGATACATTGAATTCAAAACCATTTGAAACTGAGCGGAGATTAGTTCCTTTGTAGATCTTTGTATTGTCCTTAAAAACATGAAAGAATTCTAGCCTAGTTCCAAGTGACAAGGAACATGCTGGATCACTTCGACCAATGTAAAGTACTGTTAATTCCAACTGATGCAAAGCCCCGAGAACAGGCCCTGAATTGGAATGGAGAATTTGGTTCAAGTTGATAGAAAACGTAAAACAATTTTTCCCCATTGACAATAAATAATCAACATTTTGAATTATTGTTTCATAAAACAGTCTGTATTTTAGACAACATGAATGATCATATCATTATTACAACCAACAAATATTCATTTTCTCTTGGGCAGATCCTTCAACTAAGATCTGATGATGAAATCACATGGTCTCATTGTCGCCACATGTGACACTAACTTCACTAAGCTGTACTCATTTCCACTGCTCAACCCTTTACATGTAGTTCCAATAGTTAACAATAGATGGTAGCCTCAGTCAAGTATTTATATAGTAATATACCACCTATTGTTAACTTTTGGAACTAATACTAGTTAATGCATATTCACAGAATTATTTCCTGGTTATGCTTTCCTACAATTTTATAGCTAACATACACTCCCCTCCAAAAGATAAGCAACTTCAACTCTCTATTGGATAGTGTGTGAAAGTCTCTTAAGGTTTGCTTTTCCAATTCTTCACTCAATTACAAATAATAGCTTGGAATCTCATGACAAATTTGATTGATACAGAGGCCGAACATATCCAAAGGGCCAATGAGGGACTTGTGATTGCCAAACCTTTGGGAGGGAGTGTACATCCAATAATCATCCAAGGAGCTATTAAAATAGTCTCCTTTAAATGAATGCGTGAAGAGATTATTGAATGCAGTAAATACTTTAAAAGTTGCAGAATCTACTTTGAAGTTTCTAAGATGGTAGTTTGTGCCTCAAAAGTAAATTATTATGTATGATAAAGCCAATTTATGTGACGTCATATTCAGTCTTACATTGGCTCATGTAAGCCTCGACGGGAATTGTTACGCACGCATATACGCTCACTGTACAAAAGGATATTTTAGCTACAATAACTTTTAACGGGTTTAATTGTCACTTTGGAGAATCAAGGACCATAAAATGTGTGTACGCTAAAATAGCTTGTTATACAGTAATTCAGTACAATTACAGATTAATACAATTTGACATCCACAAATATTTTTGTACATTTTTTCATTGTTTCGCTATAATACAGATATGAAATATATACAAAATGATAAAAATTGATGTCTGTTTAAATGTGAATGCAACACGATAAAAACATTTTTTTAATGATTGTTTCATTTCAAAACCAATTATTTCCCAGTTGTATTATGATTGTGGCATTAATTTATTTAATTCCAGTATTATGAACAATTTTTGATACCACCTAAAACAAGCGAGTAAAAGTGACAGTTCACACAATAAGTTGTGCCGGTGGTAATAATTGTCCATTCTAAATATCCTGGTCCCAAAATAAAATAATTTTCCCCTCAAAACCCCACAATTTTCTACATATATACGCGACAAGTATTCAGACTCACGTTAACATTATTAAGTAATTTGCTAACTTCTGTCACAACACAATATATTGTGGCAACATATACCTCAGGATATTCCTTGAAATAATACCATGTGACCATTTTCAACCAATAAGGTTACATCAGCTTAGGATGAAGGACTACTGAATCATGGGATAAATGAACTTCTGTGCAGGACTTCATTGGAAATGATTGATCAGCAGATCTGGATAATTGATAGCAATCCTTGAAAGTACATGGATAATGGCAAAAGATCAAGCAACAATCCATCTCAGGCGATCACCTTATATGTGACAAAGACTAGAGTCAACTTTATGCACTTAATTTTCTCGTTGTACCCAGAATCCCCATTAGCTAGTCACTCATCGCCACTCTGCCAATTATAGATTATTTTGCAGTTCTGATGTCTTATCTCATGTACATGTATGGATTGATACTATGGATATGGAGGGCCGTTTTGTTACAGTTGATGCTTGTCACTATATTTTTTTAATGGTAACAGGTGAGGTGAATTGAGTAGATGTTTTATCAAACTGAATAATAAGGTAGATATCCACCAAATTATATCTAAATATAAATCCCTCCAAAACAAGCACTATTGACAATACCACGGGAGAGAAGTGCTATCAAATGTCCACAAAAGCTGATGCAAGAAAAGAAGATTCTTATTGGTTGAATAAGACACACCCTCAATATATTTGAATGTTCAAAAATGATATATCGTTCTATAAATGTAAATGACATAGTACAGTTCACCTCTACAACTTGTTATGATTAACTACATTGGTCAAGGCCCACAAGGGGAGTCACTTTTCACAGCAGCATTTAAAGCTCTAATGAAAGGTACAATTCCTTGTTTTCAATATATCATACACATACCAGATCTTCAATTCAATCATCCATAACTGATGTAACAATGCTAACATGAAATAACAAATGTTTCTCATTTATGTCACACACTACAGAATATGAGATCATTAAGTAATTGTCCATTTGTTCATCTTTAACAAAATCTACTTTGATATAACCCCTGTCATGTGATTCCGCATACATTGCCAGTGTCCCAAGTATTTTCCCTGAAGCTATATGGATTTGAGTGATAAGGGAGACTGTTTGACATCTTGTCTCTTTATCATGTGAAAATAGATCGGTTCATCACCTCTGCCCATTTTATTTCAACCTGTTAGAAAATGTTACTCCACAGATGTTTGTTACATGAAAGTCACGACTGCTTATGCTCTCGTGATATAATAACCATATAAATCAATCATCTGTAATGAAACCCACAACTGCTTATGCTCCCATGAGGTAACCACATAAATTATGTGTACACTTGAATATTTGGAAACACTTCTTGGAATACAATTCACCATTATCCTTTGCTGAACAAAACATTCAAAATGCTCAATTTAGTTGGTTGCAAAGTATTTCAAAAAGGTTACCACAAAGGCGAACTTTGAAATCAGATGATTGTTCATTACATAGGCAGTTAACACATTGATTTACAACTAAGGCTCAAGACTTGCTGTTGAGAGTTACTTTATCTTATCATCAATCAGACTTTCCATTCTATCTGGGTGTGGTACAAGTCGCAACCATAGCAAGTGTTCAGTGAAATTTACTGAGGACCAGCTGATTATATCAACATGTAAAAGAGAATAGAGAGGTTGAGTTAAAAGCATTTTGGAGAACTTAAAAACGTTAGCATGTAATATTACAACCAACCAGGTATTGTTATCAACCTCCCAATTGGTTTAAACAGAGACCATATTACAAATATTTTCCTCACATCTTCATACTCAATCGGGAAAATAAAGCCCAGTAAGATGAAAATAGTCCATAGGGGATCATAAAGTCACATGGATGTTCTTCAAAACAATGCTAACTTAACCTCCCCAAAAACATGACAATGGGTCTGTACTTCAGTTTTGACCCATAGGCCTGAAATGCTTTTGATGTACCATAAGGTCATAGCCGATGTGGCATTATCTATTAAGCTTGAGACTTGAATGTTGATCCTGTTGATTGAAACAGGGATGCAATCTATATACAACGTCATGTAGTCAGTGACACAGGCAGTATTATATACACGTTTGGTCCAATTTACAATTGAATGTCTTATATACACAATGAATATCAATGACTCTAGTCTCTAGGTCATCATCATACATAGCACACTTATTGTGTGGACTGATGGTTCAACAGTGTTGAGAGTATGCACCCAACATATACAGCCCACACAAGCTAGTTTGTCCGTGTGTTACGCTTTAATTGTGACTGGGTTTTGAGACTGCATGTTGGAGCCAGGATCCTGCTGGACTCCAAGCGGCACGTAGCAATCTGACATGAAATCATAGTTGATGCCAATGCTGATATTCCAACATAACCTACTGAGTGAAGCGATTTCTCACCAACTGCACATCCAGTGTCTCATTGGTGTCTCATCCAGTGTCTCGTTGGTGTTTCACTGACTCAGAAGGGAAAACCAAACCATCAAAATACTACCACTAATAGGTTTGATTCTTGGTTATTTTTTCATATGCCTTGATGAGCGACCCTGATCATCTTTTGCACTAGCACGCCTGACTGCTGAGCCGACCATCATGCCCTGTTGGCCAATATGTTGAGCCGAGTGGCGGCCATCACGTAAGTCGCTGTTTGACATGTTCGGTGGGGCACCCCTGTGAAGCCTCATGCTTACTCGACGTTCACGTTCTGAAATAGATATACATTGAACATACATGTTTTATATTTAGAGAAACGGTGGATGGCAATTATATATGGCTATGGTATAAAGATAAACTGACAAATAAAGGCTACAACAGTTGATCGAAGGAAGCTGAGTTTGCAATTCCTGTGAAATTCTACACTCGATAGATGGCTCACAACTTTTAATTGCATTTGTATTAAGGAACAACTTTATTGTTAATTCATAGTGAGATAAAATCTTGCAAGATCCTCAATTCAGTGGCTACTTTGAAATTCAGCCTTAAACATAATTGATGGAGCAATGAAAACTTACCAGCATAATCTACAGGACTAGCAGCCCCGACTCCTACACCAACTTGTTCCAAACTTCTCATCCTGCTGGCATTAGCAGTACCTGGCAGAGCCCTTGTGGTGGACGTATGGGGACCCCTATCCTTACGATCCCTCTCTGAATCATCGGAGCTTTTGTTTCCTCCCTGAAGTACAACATGTTACAGTTAATAAAATGCACATCATAAAAACACAATATACAAGGCAGTAGAGCTCAAGGGGGGGGGGCTATTACAATTAATGTAACAGTTGTAAAATTCCTAATACAGGCAATGTTTACCTGCTTCTATTCAAACTACTCACGTACAGATATGAAGTACAACTTAAATACAACAAAAAACATAAAATAAGAAAGTTACATGGAAACAGGCTTTAAGACATCTCTTTGGTTCAAATTTTGTCAGAATGATGATTAAAGAACCTTTTTAAGTTTTGTTCAGAATGGTGATTTGAGAACTTTACCTGGAAGTTGACTATAGAAAACTATGCACATAAAGAACTGGTCTTAGTTAGGCCTCCAGCATTATACACTATAGTACAACATTATAGAGGTGATTAAGTCTAATCACATATAAATTATGCACTTTACCAACACAACAAAACTTTATTAAACTGATCAAAAAGCAGTTAATGATTTATGTAACTTCGCAACTTTCTGCTATAAAACATTGAAGACATGACAAGGGCTGCTAAATTGATATAAACTTGTATTGTATTATTTCTGTAAAATATAGGCCCAAGGCCTTTTATTTGTTTGAAATAAACTAAACTAAACTATGAAACTGTTCATTGACAGGCACATTGAAAGTTCCATTGATTCAGAGTATCAAGCATATAATAGGAGGTTGAATGTTTTAAATACAGGTCATTGTATTATGTACATCACTTTTCTTGTTTACTGAACGACAAATGAAATAATTTATTCGCTAAAGTGTGTGACACAGATATACTATGAGAATGACATTATTCACAGCACTTTAAACATACTTTCATTCTGGATTATTTCCCTACTTTAACTCCAATAATATGTTGTAAAAATATTGTGTTACTTTGTTCAATTTCATAAAACTGTAGCCCTATTTTAATTTTTTCATTTACATTTCTTATTCAAGATTTCTTAAAAATTGACACTTACAAACTTTAACATGTTCCAATCAAAGACGTAGTCGTAAGTAAATCCCTGCCGATGGAACAAATTGCGGAAAAGTTGACGTAGATAGGAATAATCAGGTTTGTCGTCAAACCTTAGTGATCTGCAGAAATTGAGATATGTGGCAAATTCAGCTGAAACAGAGAAAATAATGGTACAATCCTAAAATAAAACGTACAAATATCTAATTTGTTTTGAAAAAAATATGAGTTTCACCAGAATTTCTAACACTGGAAAAATGATTTAAAACAGGCAGAATTATTTGAAATAACTATTTTCTTATTTTATTTTTTCATATTTGAACCAAGAATAAGTGAACAAATATCCTGAACTCATGGATGGGATAACTACTTCATACATTCTGATGCAGGATATTTATAAAACATTTTGGCAAACTTGATATGTGTTCAAATTCTATAACGTTTGGTACAAAAGAGGATATCCTATGATTTTAAGGGATATGATTTTTATGTAGGTCTATCAACCGTCTTGCCAAGAACACTTGATATCATTATCCTGATTTCTCTGTACGTAGCGTCAATGGGACAACTGATATGGACTTACCTTGAAAACCCTTGCACAATTCTTCAATTGGGGTGGACATTTTCTTCTCACTTATTCGTTCATATTTTTGTCTCTTAGTTGCAGCCTTGAGGCCCTGCCAGGGGAGGCTACCACGGAGAAAGTACATAAACACATATCCTAGCGACTCCATGTCATCTCGCCTACTTTGTTCTGTAAGCATAAATGTGAATAACATTGTGATAATATTGTGAGTTTGCCTTGAGGCCCTGCCAGGGGAGGCTGCCACGGAGAAAGTACATAAACACATATCCTAGCGACTCCATGTCATCTCGCCTGCTTTGTTCTGTAAGCATAAAAGTGAATGACATTGTGATAATATTGTGAGTTTGCCTTGAGGCCCTGCCAGGGGAGGCTACCTAAGCGTTGGACTGCTAGTTATGTCTGGAAGATTATTGATGGGACGGACAATAATTCAAAATCTGTCGAACATACTGACCGATATATTGACGTGAGCCTCTAAACATAGAGTGACTGTGAATGGTTATTGATCTCTATGACTCCCTAATATCTAATTTGATATTAATTAATGGAACCTATGTTTGTTTGCTGTTTGACGATGATCCGCAAGGGTTAATGTTTTTAATAAATCAGCCTGCACAATATCATAGAAAAAAACTAATATATCCTTATACGTTAGTTGAGAAGTAGTGAATATAAGTCACTACATACATAATTTCTATCAGTAGCACGGAAATGTCCGAATATATACAAACAAGGGAAGCGGAAAGTATCGAATGCTATTTAACCAGAGGTCAAATATGATTTCCGATCTACTACGAAAATGAATCCCTTTGCGAATCCTGGTGCGTAACACATCCTTTCGCAGAGACAAATTACTTCGAAAATGATAAATTGATATGATATAGTATGATATAATTATCACAATCCTTGATCTTCAAACATGCAGTGCAAAATATCGGTCGTTGACCCAGCATGAATTGATTATACAACACTATGGGTCAACATGACATGACAAACACAAACATTTTAAAACAAACATTATGTAAAAATATACATGATAGTTAATAAGTCAACTGTACATAAGGCTAGACAGACTCAACAAGTTGTCGCAACAGGTAGAAAAAATGTGTTGCGATGTAGCTTTTCTTGTTAAGTCAAATACCCCGGAAACATGTCACATAACCTGAGCGCAATCCATCAAAATGCCATTGGAGATTAATTGGTGTTCAGTAGAATAGTTGAGCATATGGTTTGTTTGCTTATGTCATGATTTTTAAGTATAGTTCCATTTTCGATCACCAGGTTCTCAAATTACATAGGAAATGTGAATGCTTTTCCTCCCATCTGAGTAATCAAATTTCATTTAACGTAAAATAGACAAAAATGATTCTTTATTAAACAGATATTTTTATCTGGAACATATTTACTGTTTAAAATCAATCTGAAGTTTCCTTACAAAAGTAATGATGAATACACATCGAAGGTCATTCATCACTGGGGAACCAGGCTAAAATGCTGGTCGAAAAACTGTAATATCGGACACAGTTATCTATTAAAATTTAGACCTAGTTTCCTTGAACAATAACTAAATCTTGAGGAAAATCCAGTTCTATATGTGGACCTTCATGACCATAAAAACATGTTAAGATGTTCAACTCATATTGGTATCTTAACATGCAGGTAACAAGACATAAACATGCAAAATGTCACCACTTGCCATTTCTTACAGATACCATTTGTTACGGACACCGGACACGGTCCAGAAAAAAGTTGGAGACTATAACAATGTCAGCACTTGTGGTGATGACATAATAAGCAAATGGACGGTACTATCACTAACTGTTCCACTTGCAATCTATTCGCTTAGAGAGGTTACACTTTAGTTTTAACTGTAAATGTAATAGGTTAGCATGACTAAATGAACAGAAAGGCCTTGATCAATCTTACAGTAATAAATCCATCAAAATCATAGACAGCTGTCTGATTGATATACTAAGGTTGTTAACCCGATCAACCACATTCAAGAGAGGTTGCAATATGCAATTTTAACCAATGGAAGTTATTCAAGTTTCTCATATGAATTATTATCGCAAAGTATCAATCATATAACTAGACAACAGCAACACCAATGCGTAGCAAATCCAATTGAATAAATTATGTATTCAGGGTCAGGTTGAAACATCCATCAACTTATAAACATACTTAATATGAGTGCCTGGGGGAGGGCAGGGCTGGGGGAATCGTGCATTCATATTTGATACTAAGCATCAACATCTTAAATTCCCATTCCTATGTGGAAAGCAAACCACCAATGTGTGGTCTTACGGGTTGAATGGGGTGGTATTTAGGTCATTAAAATTTATAAAATGTATTTTTCAACTGATCTGACCCCCTATCACGGATTGGTATGCATGCTTGCATTTTCAAATATGTCCAGTGATTCTGAAGCCCAATCTCTACTCACCTATTCCTAAGTGTGTATTGATGCTAGCATATCTGGCTGTTCCAGTGAGATTCTTGTTTTCTCTATAAGGTATATGCTGATGTGTCCTTGCATCTCGATACTTTTTGGCTAATCCAAAGTCTATGATATATACTAAGTTTCCTTTTTTGCCAAGTCCCATGAGGAAGTTATCAGGTTTGACATCTCGGTGAATAAAATTTTTTGAATGAATATATTCAATACGACTTATCTGAAAAAGAGAAAACAGTATTTCAACAATAAAACATACAATTATAGAATATTTGCAGTTTTAAGTGATGTTTATCAATGAAAAACACTTTTTAACCAACCAACTTTACAGAAAGAGAAGTTATGTCACGCTGACCCTCGATATAGAGAAAAATACTATGATTTATCTTCTACCATTTTAAGGTATATCCATAGAATGCTATATTTTATGATTGGAATAACCATTAATTAATTAAATAGGTCATAATTTTCACATTTGTCATGTAGATATTTACAAATTATGATAGAATAACTAGTTCCAGATACATTTCAAAATATTTCGATTAAATGATATTTCCACAACAAAATTTGTTTTCAACTTCTTCAACTTCTTTTGTGCAAGTTTGTAACTACATAAAGGTCTAGATGCATGCTAGATGCATATATTCTAGAAATGCTAGAGGTTAGTTTTTAAAAATATATCTTCATATACAACATACTTAACATAGAAGGCGTGTTAGAATCATTACATTTGTATGTCAGCGGATACTTGCAAAGATATCTAGTACATAGGACTTCAACATACACAAAACTGCACATATGAATATTATATCTTACAACGATACAGATTTCATATTGATTCTACATGCAGAACTGGAGGTTGATACACAAAGATATATCTATCATCTAGTACAATATAAGAAAATAAAACTTCTATTGCCGACAGGCCATAGCTTTCAACTGATTCGGAAAGTGACAGATATTTTTTATATTGGCCTAACAAACTTACAAGTTGATCAGCCAACAGTAAGACTGTTTTTAAACTGAATTTCCTAGAGCAAAAGTTAAAGAGATCTTCTAGACTGGGCCCCAATAGTTCCATCACCATGACATTGTAGTCCCCTTCGGCACCGCACCACTTGATTGTAGGAATACCCACTGAAAATATAAGTTAATATCAAATTAAAGAGAGAATCAGATCTAGCGAGCAGACCAACAAAAATTGTTTCAATTTTAGAATATTTCTGGCTCATGTCATGTCTATTTCCAAAGTGCACACTATTTCAAGAAAACTAAAGATTTTTACAAAAATATATTATTGTTCTATAAGAGTGAATACCATTCATATTATTTGGGAGAATTTCAACATTTCTCACCCATTTTTGCACTTTGAATCCATAATAACTTCACCAATTATAACATATCGTGAATCTTTTGGGAGATATTATATTTGACATTGTAAGGAATAGATTGGTAGGTTCATTGGTAGGTCAATATATTTTGCTTGTTATTTTTTAAATCATTCATTTTGGCCTTTGTAGTTTTTCATCGATGTATACCCTACTGCTATTTTCATTGGGTAGCTGAATTTTTATCCACCGTATACAATTTCATCAATATTCTCAGTATTCTGATTGGTTAAGGCTAGATCAAAGGTTTATCTCAAACTCAAAGAGCACAGATGAAGCTCTCTTTTAAGGTCAAAATCAAACTCTAAGAGAACTGCAGCTGATATACTATTGTGTTTCACAATTTAAGTGAAACCTCAAGTTGTTGATTGTTGCATATCTGAGTATTTTACAGAAAACAGAACAATGATTTCAACCCCTTAAAAAGATGACCAAAACAACACGCGTTCAACATCTCTGGATGAAATGTTTCCTTGTAATACAAATGTAGAAAACTGACCATAGGTCAATCTAGGCAGGTTATCAATTGCTTGTTACAAGTAAGGCTCTAGGGATGATAGACTGATTGATTTATGGAACAAAGCTTCCCATCAAGTCAGAGATAAATAGCAAGCCTATACAATAACTGGATAGCTGACCAAGAGATATGAACTATGAATGCAGATACTGATGATAATGTTCACCGATTAAAAACACTCATTTATTTATTTATTGTTACCAGCTCATATAAAATAGTGTCAGCATTTTTCAGTTTCAAATTTGACCAATGAGTCAAGTCTGTGAACTACAACTGTAAATATTTCAGTGTGAGATGACAATGTGTCAAATGATATGATACGTAATAGTCACATCTCATTAATATGGTCTCAGTATGATAGGAAACGTGACAAATATATTAGATTCAAGATTCACTTACCTCCACCTTGCATCATTTTGTATATCTTGCTCTCTATGTGGAGCTGTGGGTGTTTGGTTTTCACACATTCTAACTTAATAGCAACTTCTTCAGCATTTGTTATATCTGTACCTGCAATACAAAATACAAAACACATCTCATAAACTGTATAATATTTTATAGTTTGTCCAATATGATGACCAGAATGTTACATGCCCACAAGACACCAGCTTATGATGGATGGGCAGTTGGACACTTCCTTTATACCCTCCTACAAACTTTATAGTAAGCTAATAACACAAGCGGGAGAATTTCATGTACACCCTAGCCCCTTTATTTCCAATGTACTTGGTCAATCTTATATTAGTATAGGTCAAATCTAATATAAACTATACCAGTTAAAACAAGGACATCATTGGATAAGTTTATAGGTAAGATGTATATCATAAATGAATACAGAGATCACAATCTACTTATACAAAGTGTACTTTAATATAACAGAGCAGACTGAACTAGTTGTTGTTATCATAATTCATATTTCATACAACATAACCAAAGGGAACATGCTTAAGAGGAGTATAATAAATAGAGTTAATGAGAATCATGTATGTACTATATAGTATTGATTATGTAGTATGGGAATGAAGGGACACTGGTTAGTTATAAGCATCTCACTATGGACAATAAGATCCATCTTAGCTGTACCATCTGGTTAGTTATACCAAAGTACCTCCTATGACAGAACAGAATTAGCATGATTAACCATGACAACTCATTTCAACTCAACTGCATGTATATAATCATGTTTCTCGTGAAACATGAGTGACAGTGTGGAATAGAATATTTGTAGCAACAATAGAAAAGATGGACATAATCTAGTTTTTCAATAAAATATGCCTCAAATCATAAGTTATATATTTATTCTATATAATTTGTGAAACATTTTTCTTTCGCAAATTATTTTTTCATAAATTCTTTAATTGTGTAACTGCACATAGCCACATATTGACAAAGAGATTACAAAGTCAATGACTCAAATTTTCGAGATGTGCAAATAAGGCCTCAACAGGGAACACCATCCAGTAGCTTTATTTTGGTTGAATCATTGAAATATAGAAGAAAGGTGCTAGGCCATCTGTTCTAGTAGCTACATCAAAAATGAATGTGTCAAAATGAGTAACCCAAACAAATTCGAACCTAACAGACTTAAGAAAATACATTTATCAAAGAACTGAGTAGATTGTTCATAACAGTTTCCGAAATCTTTAATTATTCATTTGGATTCTATAGCAATGTGTAAGAGATAACTGTATTAAATATTCCAGTTCTACATCATATGAGCCATACATATTGGTAATTACTAAATTGAGCGGAAGTTATCAGGAATTTCCCTTTACTTATCTGTAGTTTGGAGTTATCTGGCATAAACTAGCATTAGTTTTGATTAGTTTGGATTGATTGTCATATCAGACTAGAGCTTTAAGACCAGGTTCCCGGGCCTCCTTCCTCACTACTTACTTATCAATGTTGCTAAATCACTAGTATAAAGTGTTAATGCATAAAATGATAAGTCCTGAGTATGAGAACAAGTTAATATTGTAATTATCCTACCAAATAAGGTCTGTCCATGTTGCGATATTATGAGAAATGTTTCCAAATTATTTCGAAAATTAGCACATATGAATTAGAGCAAATCTGACACTCCAGGCCATCAGGATTACTATAGATATGGTCTCCTGTATAGTGCTGGCATAGAACATGTAGAAATGGAATAATTCTCTGAACTGTCAGATATTACCTTTGGAAACTGAATTTTTGTCAAACATGTATTTCATTTATAACAGGATTTTGTACAAATCTTAAACTTTCAGTAAAACCGCTAGATGCCTTCATCTTGATAAGAATTTACATGCACAAAATATAACACACAATCATGACAAGATAAATAGATTCTCTACCTAGAATAAAGTACATGTCGCAACATCAAAGGATACTGAAGAACTTCTATGATGCTGCTTGATGATCCTCCCAAAGGAGGTAATATACCATCTACCAACAAACTGATCACATGACTAAGACTGACCAATCAGTGTATACTTAGAGATATAAAAGCTCAATAGGAGAATAGGATGGAACGGCTGATGGGAGATAATAGAAAGTGTGTGTAGACAGCATGCTAATCTTTTCCTGGTTTTACTGACCTCAATATATTTGGATAGTTGTGTTTTAGACTCTCATTTTAACCATTATTGGAGGGGAATTCAGAATTTCATACAATAAAATTCAATCTTTATTCACAAAGCCAGGTTTTGTTTTAGGTCTATAACTCACTGCGGAAAAATTCTCTTGAAAGCCCATGGATAAATTCAGGAAATGAGATACTTTACTTTCTAAGAATTTATAATAATACGACAGAGCTCAATATACAGTAATACCAAACCAACTAACTTAAATGACGTCATGTTAATCAGTTTGATCAACATTTCTGATCTGTATGTTGAGTTACTTATTAACAAATCTGAAGTGATTTAAAAAACCAATGGTAACAAAATTAAAAAATTATCTGATTATATAAAACATTAAATGAGTGAATATTCCACATAGGTACATATACCATAAGGCTACAGGAGGGAGGGGGGGGGGGGGGGGGGGAGTCAATTTTGTGACTTGAATTTCATCTCAGGCAATCAATTTAATACAGTAGATTTATAATACAATATGCCAGAATGACAATGAATCAAGCTCAATTCTTGATCTGGTGAAAATATTGCTAAACATGTGCCGTCTCATATAGAGATTGATATATAACGGAATGTACATGTGGAGATGTACTTTAGTATAGAATAATTAATAGATCATTAATCAACAAGAAAAATAGGAAACATAATTACCACAATCTTTAGTTGACCAACAATGGTAAAAGCAAATTTCAACTTCTTGGTAAAGTTTAACTTAAAGACAATAATGAATACAGAACATATACAAGAACACAAATGTGTACAAAATGTCCCCACCAATGGGTGATCCTGTCAAATGGTTATCCTGAAAATGAGTAGACAAGACTTTACGAACACAATTTGAGGATGGAAAATCCAAAATGGCCACCTTAGAATTTACCCAGAATGCCAAAAATTTAGTCAGTTCTAGAGTTTCATACTAAGAACCACCCCTGAAAATTTGAAATTGATCCGTCGCACAGTTAACCAGAAAACATGTAAACAAGACTTTACAGACAAGATTTCAGGATGGAAAATCCAAAATGGCTGCCTTGACATTTACCCAGAATGTCAAAAAACTAATCTTTTTGTAGATTTTCATACTAAGAATCATCCCTGAAAATATGAAATTGATCTACCAAACGGTTCACCTGAAAACGGGTAGACAAGACTTTACAGACAAGATTTTAGGTCAGAAAATCCAAAATGGCTGCCTTAACATTTACGCAGAATGCAAAAAAATTAATCAGATGTAAATTTTCATACAAAAAAGCATCCCTGAAAATTTGAAATTGATCTATCAAACGGTTCACCTAAAAATGAATAGACAAGACTTTACAGGCAAGATTTTAAGAGGGAAAATCCAAAATGGCTGCCTTGACATTTATCCAGAATGCCAAAAAACTAATGAGATCTAGATTTTTATACTAAGAATCATCCCTGAAAATTTGAAATTGATCTACAGAACGGTTCACCTGGAAATGCGTAGACAAGACTTTACAGCCGGGCAAGATTTAAGGACAGAAAATCCAAAATGCCTGCCTTGACATTTACCCAGAATGCCAAAAAACTAATCAGTTCTAGATTTTCATACTAAGAACCATCCCTGAAAATTTGAAATTGATCTACCAAACAGTTCACCTGAAAATGAGTAGACAAGACTTTACAGACAAGATTTTAGGACGGAAAATCCAAAATGGCTGCCTTGACATTTACCCAGAATGCCAAAAAACTAATGAGATCTAGATATTTATACTAAGAATCATCCCTGAAAATTTGAAATTGATCCACCAAACGGTTCACCTGAAAATGCGCAGACAAGACTTCACAGACAAGATTTTAGGACCAAAAAATCCAAAATGGCCGACAATAAAAAAGTCCTTATGAGTTTTTGCTGATTTCTTTTTACAAAATTATCACATATAACTAGTGTTAACAATAAAGTAGGCTTTTACAACAAAGTACATCTGAAATTATTTATAAAGCTGCTAAATAGTTTAAGTATGAAAACTCAAAAACACCATTCAATATGATACAAAGTATTATCGCGCGCTAACTTTTCTTAAGACATTCAAAATGGCTGACACGACTGAGCTAACAGGTCCAAAACCTAATCAGATTTAGAATGAAGTGAGCTGAACAAGATGTTAAAGTTTTAAAAGCAACTATGAAGCAGTTTTTCTTAAAGTTTGCAGACAAGGATTTTAGTGTTTGACTTCAAAATGGCCGACAGGAAGTAAGTTTCGAGTTAAATTTTTTTCATCCACATCTATAGGCACTCATAAGTTATCCCTGAAAATTTGAAGGTGATATCTGTAGCGGTTTTGGAGAAAACTCCCAGACATACGGACGGTCAGACAGTCGGACGCGCCTAGGCCGACAATATGGCCCTACACTATGTGGTGGGGACATAAAAAGGAAAACTTTGTAAATGTATTATTTTCATAAAATATGTCTTCATTTTTTGTATATACATGTACAGCATATAAAATGTAGGAATCCAAGGTAAAAGAATACAAAGTGACATCAAGTACAAACAAATATATCAAGATATTGATAAAATATTATAATTGTATAACCACAGACTGAACCAAAATGCGACCACACATTATTTTCTAGTTCCTCAATCACTATTCTGTTACTAGAATCTCATTGCCCCCATCTACTTCTCGTAGAATCACATCATGGATAGGATTATGGGGCGGGGGGGGGGGGGTTGAAAATCTAATTGTTTATAAAGACTTACAGCTATTAAGTCATCTTATTTCAAACAAAATACAACAATGAGTAATTTGTTGCGAACATAAAAATACATCTTTATTTGTTGTTTTACCTTGGACAGTCAATGAAATGACAAGAACAAGCAATTGGTCAAACTATAGAATCAGATTATAAGCTTACCTATGTTTTAAATCAAAAATAGGATATTATTTTATATACTGAACAAAATATGGTGTATTGTTACAAATGACAGCTAGACAAATAGCTTCAGTCACAGACTACAACATACTATTATGCCTTTTTATATGCAAATTATAACATGTGCCTATTTATATGAATTGGATTCAGAAATATACTGTACAAATATCAACGGAAAGGGAAAGCAGATCCCGAGATTCAGTAATAATTCAACATGACTTGTAGTCAAACTAACATCAATACCATCTCTTGATTTATACAAGTAACCATATAATTGCATTTCAGAATATAATACCGGATTACAAATATTGGGTGGCAGCTGTCTTTTTCATGATTTATTACTTAGTTGGTAGTATCATTCACTTAAAAAATGGAACATGATAAAATGTTAAAGCAGAAAACATTCATTTATAAGAAAAATCACAAAGATGCAGTGGTTCAGTTGCCTCCACAAAATATCTTAACTTGCCCTTTTTCAAGAAAACCATGTTTCATCAAATTGTGATGTTTTCACTAAGATTTAAGTTCATGTCAATAAATTTTGACCGAATTCTACTTTTTTCTCAAAAATGTGAGCCATACTTTTTTCTCAAAAATGTGAGCCATACTCTCTTCAAACAGCACATATAAGGTAATATTTTCCTACTAATTACACCTATATTTTGCCATTCTTCCTGATATATCATGTATATAGGATGCCTAGTTTGATAATGGTATTTAGAAATGGGACATTTTCCATAACATAGGCAACCCTAAAAGTTAAAAAATGATTCAAAAGCATTCAGTTAACATACTATAGATGTAGTATTTCATAGTTACCACTGAACCAATCAGAAGACATGTATGATATATATATATATATACAGGGTGTCAAATGGCGTTGTGACCCCCCTCCACGGCATAAACTAGGAAAGATACACACACATACCATATACCATTGGAAAGAGCATTTGGTTATTGTTAACATGTGAAAAGATGAAGATGCATGATGGAAAATAAGATATGTTTTTAACTTACTTTAAAAAGTGAGTATGACCCCCTTGGGCAGCCTTAATAGCTACCAATCGAGCCGGATATGAAGCTAAAAGGGAATTGAAAAGGGCTGTGTCTTTCTCAAGAGATTTTAATACTTTTCGGAGGTTCTTGAGCAGGGCATCTTTGGAATATCTGTTCTCTGCAGCTTCAGTGTCAATAAGTTGCTCTGTTTTACCCATTAATATGGACCCCATGTGCTCTGCAGCATTCAGGTCAGGGCTGTTGCTTGGGTATTCATCAATACCAAAAAAGTCTATGCCAGATTCTCAAAAATCAATGAAATAGAGCACTACACTAGTACATTTCAAATGCATGTGACACTATGTAGCAATATCTGACCTAGGTCATCAAGGGTTTATTTTATCCAGAATTGAATGCTCTTTCCAATGACATACATAATGTGTAGGTACCTTTTTAAGTTTATGCTGTGGAAGGGGGGCACAGCGCCATTTGACACCCTGTATATGAACATACATGTATCTGTAACATACAGTCAGGTTTCTTGCTAAGTGTTGAAGCGAAACTTGAGTATGGAAATTCTATAATGCAGCAACTTCATTTGTACTATTTCTGATGTCCTTAAATAAAGGGACATTCCTGGCCAGACCATTTCTATTCTGATATGATAGCTATAATCACATAAATGCTTTCCATATTTAGCAAAACATGGGAAAATGTTTTAATATTATAAGTTATTGAATGATTTGAAGTGCAATACAGGATATATTCTGCTCGAGAATTCCGTATTGGAACGAGATGAAGTCGAGTGCCAATACAGAAAATCGAGACCGAATCCTGTATTGCATTTCAAATCATTCAATAACGTTTTTATCGTGTGATCCTCTGTATTGCTACTGAGATTGTTCCCTCCGTACCAATATTTTCTGTATTGCGACGGAGATGATCAACGGGGACAATCTCAGTATCAATACAGGTTGGTATAGCACAAGAACTGACCAATCAGAGTGCTTCATTTTACAGATCATACGATAAACGCCAATATTGATAATTGAAAATGTAGTGTTTATTTCCAGTAAGCTGCCATCTTTTAAGATTTCAAAAGGAAGTGATGTCATCAACCTTCAACTTTCATAACATTGCCTGTAGAAAAGTAGCACAAAATCACTTCTGGACAAGTGGTCCTTACTTTATGTGCAAAAATATTTTCAGAGCTTGTCAGCTTAGAATAAAAGAAGATACTTTTAGAAGGATTAAATCATTGACAAATTTGAAAAAGAATATTCAGGTGGTTTTGCAATTCTTGATACCTCCTTACCTATTATGTCGTTATCGTCACTGTTGTCGTCACTTCCTGAGAGAAATCTTATAAGATGACAGCTCACTGATATTGGGCACTACATGTTTAAGTGATCAATATTGACCATATCAAAACATTTTTCTGTGTTTTGCTAAACACGGAAAGTATATATATATATATGGTTATAGCTACTATATAAGGAGAGAGATGGTCTGGCAAGGAATATACCTTTAAATAGGTGATTTGATACCGACTTTTATAACCCAGAAATTTTAAGATCATATTCAAATGTAGCATTCAACATTACATATCAAATCTAAAATAAACTATGACAGAGACCTTATTTGCCTTCTGAAACATTGGCACAAGAATATATTTTGTAAAGTGTGATATAACATATTTGTCATTGTCACATTTGTGTCAATGGATTGTCATATATAGATGCAAAGATATAATAGATAATGCATAATAGATGGGCAATGACTTTGAAACAATGTGCATATATTAATGCTCAACTATATATCTGCTTTAAGTGGGCTTATTCGCTCATATAAAATCAAATCTTTCAATTAATCAACTGACAGAAACTTGGCCAGAAGAGATCAGTACCCTTATAAATTGAATACATGTATTATATTATACATCTTACAACTAAATATCATACATGTAATCAGATCATTGTGTTTGACTTTTGGCAGATATCAAGCAGTCATAAAATTCCATGACATATTATGTTAACAAGGTTAAGATGTTTATTGTGACAATAAAGGTAAAAGAACAAGGTCCACTAATAAATATATTTGAATGAGATTGATTGCAAAATACTATAATGTGAAATCGCCTGTTCAATATATGTAATAGTTTAAGTAACTTTTCAATATATAGTGCTGACAGTAAATAATAAAGGTAGGGTTTTCAAACTAAACAGAGTGCTCCTACCAAAATGGATTTGCCTATATACCTCGGAGACTCTTATCTGATAGATAAAATGCACAAATAAAATAAAAGTTTTGCTATTATAGGTAAAAATTAATTCTGTCATTGGTCCGCCATTTTTACGGTAGTTCAAGTTTTACGGAACCATTCAAATTGTCTCTCACAATCGAATCAGCAAAGTTTTGACGAAAATGAAACTGAAATAAACAATAAGAACGGATTGAATAAATTCACTATTTATGATTGGACAACTAGCGACAAGTATATCATGAACAGACTAATATTTGTTTCAAAATAGTGATAATCATGACGCATCATGACCAAGAGATATCATGTGACGTAAAATGTAGCTTCAATCGAATTTATATCGTTTCAACATCTTCGAAACAATAGACAATCACACAGGATATACAAGATGATACAATACATTCAATTCAGTTGATGCAAGCGCAGGAAAATCAAGGTGAAAACAGCTAAATTATGGAATATTTTAGATTGATATTGTCAAATATTTTAGTTGTATTTCAGTTTTTCCAGGGAATTTAGGGGTGTCAGGCCCATTGCCAGGGGGGAGGAAGCAGCTGCCTGTCTGATTTCAAAATCATGCAGTTTTTCACCATTCTGAGCACTTTTTTAAACAATTTTTGGCCAAAAAAGCTCCCTCTTGTAAATCCTAGCTATGGGCCTGGGTGGTAAGCTACCAATCAAACACGTCATAAAGTCTAAAAGTATTATAGATCACGAACGGAATACTTATGTCGTTTGGTTCAACTATCGAATGGAGAGATCAACTTCGGCAGCAAGGGTTTTGGCGAGAGGCAATTTTGCATGACTAGCCAAAATGGGTCCCCTTTAGGGCTCTTTAGCTACACAGAAAAAAATATGGCGAGGCCAATTGAAAGCGCCTAGCCAGATATGGCGACATGTAAAAAAGTTATTTTGCACACTGCCAACTATACGACTTATCAATTATTTTGTATCAGCATTGTAGGTGCTGTTACAGTGGACTGCATCTGCCTTCTATTTTCCGTCCACCCCCCGCCCCATGAATATTTTGGGTTGACATTTTAATACTTGAGAGATATTCTTTATCCCACATGAAATATTCCCAACTGTATACTCCAATTATCCAAGAAACATTTTGCTTGTTCAATATCAAACATCATTACAAAACGATTATTGAAGTTTCTGAGAATATCAACCAATACATTTATTGGTAGGGATTTTGTTTCTATGTTGTCCTTTTGCTCAGTTTTATAACATTAGTAAAGGATACAAACAAACAAATATGTACATAGCCTGATTGTCCTGCACATTAAGATCACAATCAATACCATTTTATAACCTCAATTACTAGTTATAAATGTTTAGTCCATTACATGTACCAGTAGGTAGTGACTAATCTTGCAATCATTAGTCATATTCAGGGGAAAACGACAGAAAATTGCTAGGCTGTGAAAAACAAAGAAAAGAATTCCTGCAAAGGAATGCAAGGAAAACTCTATTTTTGCAATACACTAGCAAAACAAACCAAACGATTGTTTTCAAACAAAATCCACATCCAAGCTGATTATATTGCCACGAAGGCAAGATTTTAGAATCCGACAACTTTTTCAGACAAATGTCAGAAAATTTTATCAAAATTATTTTTTAAAATATTTCGAAAAATTTCTCACCTAAATAAATGTCCCCAAATGATCCACTACCAATCTTTCGACCCAACCGATACTTGTTTCCGACACGAAGCTCCATTACTGAAATTGAAGTACAAAATTTTAATCACAAATGCTACTGTGAACCGAATTTTTTAGAAAAATCTATGACGATCAAGGAAATTTACTGGAGACAACAGAAAAACAATCATTTTCAATTGACGATTTACCTTATTTATTCGTCCTTGATTGATAAAATATAGACTTCAGAGAATGCCCTGATATATGCTTATGACACTGATTGCCTCAAATTTCATTCAATTGGTATATAACAGGCATGATGACACAGATTACGAAGGGTATCCCAAATCTAATCCTCCGCCATTATTTACTTCTTCCTCCGGTTGCTGACGTAAGTGCGCATGCGCGTGTTTCACTTCCGGGTAAAAAGTACCAGGATGTTGGTGATCAGGGACCGATCATTCGTAAAAGAGGTATAATTTTGAGTGACATCTATCAATTGATCGTTGTATTATTTTTGTTGAGAAAATTATTCCATTTACAATACCCGTATTTCTCATCTGAGTAGGCCTTAATTTACACTGTAGTGTTAATGCGTTTTTCTCGCTTGTTTACTTTCTCGATTGAGATCTGATAAAAAATGTAATGAGTATTTAAAGATTAGAATAGATAACTCAAATTCATTCATTGGGGTATATCCATTGTTTCAAAATTACTGTCAAATAAAAGTTCGTTTAAAGGTTAATTTGTTTAATTTTAACCACATTCGTGAATTAAAAACAACAATACAGATACATTACAGGACAATACGAACGAAATACAAGTCGAGTCATTTTTGTCTTGGATTAGGCCTTCATCAAACGGATAAAGACAATATGTTATTCCCAGTTACTTGAAGTTATAATACATGAAGTTGGAACATGGGTGAATTGAGTAACTTGATTCGTTCAGGTATTAGTAAAATAAGATTGGCATCATACTTGCCAATATTGTATGCCATCACCTTTCTACCTCAAATACATGATATAAATGTGGATATGAATATGAACCAAATATTAATAAGTTAATACAGTTCAAAGGGGTAAGGATTCCGGGAAAATATCACATTCGTAAAAACGCAAAAATGCTGATATGATTTGTAGATTCGTTAATAGAACTTTTGGTATGCCATCGATTATAGGGGACCGTATCAATATAACGTACCGTTATCATATATTAGAGAGGTCTCGCACAACGGGTTCTAACCGCATTTCGTTTTGATTGAACGGCTACGCCAAATCTGGTCTATGCGTTACGGATTTTAAATGCGTTGAGCTAAAAACGTTGTGCGAACCCTCTCTATTATTCGTATATTATACAGATCTACGGACATACAGCAAGTTGTTTAGAACAAACAAATGCAAACAAAAGTAGAAACCTTACAAACCCTAAAGATATGAAGATGATATAATTATTTACTTTTTTATCGTAAGTTGACATATTGACACGTTCCCCAATACCAAATAAGATCCTTCGAAATCCAAGCAGAGGCGCATTTCCAAACAAAGTTGTAAGTTGGACTTCGTCGGTGATGAAAACTGCAAAATGAAATGCTAGCTTTTATGAGACAAATAATAAACATTTCTAGAAATGTACACAACAAAAACAGAAGTGATTCTGAAACGAGTATCACGCTTGTATACAGGCATTGCAAACGTAAAAGCAGTATTAAATAGTGAACGTTAAGGCAGGTCGAAAAATACCAAAGAAGATTAAAGAACGAATTAAACTGAAAATGAACGGACCTGAGCGACATCTCTTCTAATTCATGTATATATATATAATTGTTGAGGTCATTTTGACGGGCTGAGAATATGCAAAAAGAGGATAAAACCAAAATGCGTAGTTTACATATCTTCATCGTTCTTAATTTTTTACTGATGATATTCATTGAAACTGAAAGTCAAAAACTTCCAACGAGAGATGAGAGTCAGTTCCATTATCAGATGCAGCAAAAGGAGGTGTTTCATGACTCCATGCTCTTGCCTGATGGAGCGGAGATTCGGGCGTATCTATTGGATCTGGTCGCACGACGGTAAGAGCACAGTATGGCAGTTTTAGTATTAAATGTTGGGGTATTGCGATTGTTAGCAAGGCCTGATTAAACTACATTGTTGTCTAGTTATTGAAATTTTTAGTCTCAGAAAGGAACTTGTTGCCAGCTATTTGAGCCCTCACACACAGAAAGGTCCGGGTCATTTGCAAAATACCTCATTAGTAATTGGAGTAGCCTAGTTTACAATTTTATTCGCAATGGTGATACTTGCTAAAAGTTACACTTTTTTGTGATCCACATTAAGCGCAAGCCAGTGTTTTGGTTAGAAATCCTATGTATATAAACAATGTCACAATATAATAACACATTGGCAAAATATTTCTGTTCTCTACATTGGCCCGATCTAAAAAATTCTATCCTGTTTGAGTTGCAATGACCCAAAAAATTATAGGCTTACAGCAGGCGCAAATTAAAAATTCCTTTGTAAATAAATGGTAAACAACGAACGCCCGATTGTTTTTGTTGGTAGCTATTTCATGTCTCTTGATGCATTCTTGTCTTTTGTACTAATAAAGTACTGTACTTTTTAAAGGAGGATGACTTATCAAATTGTTTGTCATCCAGCAATAATGACACACATTGTGTGTAACTCAATTGGGCCCAAGACACCCCGGGAAGACACCTTACTATAACCCCGGGACTATAACATTTCTTCATCTAGGGGTAGTTCTGTACAGTACGTCATGCTAATTAGATTTTCATTTTGTTACTAGTAGTTTAGTGAAATCGTGGGAATAAGCAAGTTAAAAACACCCTGAGTTAGTTTGAGGGTTGGAGAGCCTGCATATGGAATTCAAATCAAGAAAAAAATCCGTGCACTAAAAATTTCATGCGTATTTTTAAACTTTCGGATCCGCTTACGATTAGGAGTTTTTCTACACATTAGGTTCGAGCTGACTATGCCAATTCCCTCGCCCAATCTACGAAACTACTAATAAGATTGATGCACACTGCACTAGAAATGACAGAAACGATGTAAAGAATGTAACTAGCAAAATATAAGCACATCAGGCTCTAATCAAACTGAGAAAGAACATGTGCCATTAAACATCCATGAAAAATAGATCCATAGTACACCGTACAAACATTTTGGAATACTTTATTTTTCATTATTTCATAAGTACTTTCCGTGATTTCGTTTGTTACTTCTTCATCTGCATTAACACCAAGTAAATGTTCAGTAACAAATCGTGAAATATCCAGAATTCTGTACACTATGTGGGGCTCCTCAAGGGTTGTGTGATAAGGCAACATGGCCCCTAAAAATATGACTAAATGTGTCTTTGGGGTATTTAAAAACGAACAAATGTGACAAATATATCCTTACATGTGACAATTTTGAACATTCATCTGACTGACAAGTATTTTGATAGTGATGAAAATAGAAAATTTGTTCCGAATGTAAATATATGCAAATAAATGTGACTTATTCAAACCAGTAATCAAAAATGGAACAAAAAAAACATTTGTTGCATTAAATTATTTAACTGACTAAAAAGGAATAAAACTGATAAAATATCACAAGTAAATTTAAAATGTGACAAATGACAATTTTGAAAATTTAAAAGTGACTAAAGCGACCTCACTGCCCCCTCTTGGGGATCCCTGACCCTCTATGTCAAAAAAACACAAAACCCAATCTTTTACTTCGCTGTACCACTGCCAAGTTATGTATATTTATTGAGGGCAAGGCCATGTTATTGACACTTTAATATATGTATTGTTCAACTGTTGTTTTTATAGAGACCAAATATTATTACATCCTGAATATGACAAAAAGTGAAAATTTATTTAAATATGGAAACTCCATACATATGCATACGAAAAATAAATAATTTCCATATCTGTGTGAATATGTAGTACAGTGGTGTGACGGTTTAGACCAATTGTCGATAATATTAGTATATGAAGAACGTCATCTCCGGTAAATCATGGGCTTTTCCCAATGGGTAAATCTATCGTTCATTTTAGTTGTGATCTGAATGTCAGTGGAATTCGCATTAAGTAGGATTTATCTCTATTAGACCAGTGTTCTCACAGCAAAACTGGAATACAAGGCATCTATTTATATCGGCTCTAAATAATTAAGAATTTTCCTAAGAAAACCACGTTGTCCGTTTTTAGGGACACATGTGACATAAAGTGAGTGTGACAAATGGCCCCTGACAACTGCCTTTTCGATAACTAATGACTTTAACAAAGGTTTCTGCATATATTTTTTAAGTGCGAATGTTTCATACATATGTTAAACTTTTGAACATCAATTTTGTAACAGCCCTTCAATAACGACAATTGACATTTTGTTAGAGTGGGAGTGTAAAACGAAATCCATGTGCGCCTACTGTGACTCACGAAATTATAAACCAAGCTCCTGTTGAGTTTGATATTTTTCTAGTATGTTTTACGGTTATGTTGTGATGCAATTTATCTAGGTTATTAGCAAACAAATATCAACATTTTATCATAACAGTATCAGAATATAACCGTGTTGTTCTGCTGTGATTCTAAATTAATACGTTTTAAATCATTTTAGTATTTTCTTGCTGCGCCGACTGCAACAGTGTATTTTCCCCGAAGGATTGTACTCAACTGAATCGTCCTTTTAACAATTAATGTCAATTGTGACAAATAAAAGAAATTGAATGGAGGAATTGTACATCTTTGCGTCATGACCTCGAATGAACATGCAGTGAATGGCCTTGACATGACCCCTGACATTGTAGTGCTATCCTGCGCGCAGAGTCTCGGTTTGGTCATTGAGACGAAGCTCTCTTTTAAGAAGCGAGGTCGAGCGAATGCAAAGGGCATTGCAGTAAATACTTCGGCGTGACTTAGTGGTCCATTCCGGCGTACATGTTTTCCTCTACCACTCCTCTGCTAGTGCAAATATTTGGTCAAAAACTGGATTTTTCAGTTTAATGCACTGTTTTATAAATCCCAGATCTGCTCCCGGGACAAAATAGCTTTATGTAGGACGATAAATGATTGTCAAAATTGGTTAGTTCATAAACCTCATACACCATACGAAAAACATAATTTGTTTTCAGCATCGATTCCATCTCACTGATTGATTAGCTTTCATTTTGGAAATATGATTTATGTGGATTGATTTTTTCGCTGCAGGTACTATTTTCTGGTGGAAGAAGATGCTACTCCTTTGATGATTACGTTAACCCCCTGTGGCAGTGCGGTAGAGTGGAGAGTCAGCGTTCACGAGGCCCCCGTTCAGCACAGCGGTGATGGCTCGTTCCCAGGTAAATTTTTCAAAGAAGTTGATGTCCCATCTCTCCCTTTAACCACACTTTTGGGAAAAGGATACTGTGTATAGTAAATACCGTTCCTATGAATGATGGGAGCCGTGCACCTTCTGCTTGTTTACTTGGTGCAATTTCTGTAATTCTGAAAGTGCCTGGTTCGAGATAACTAGATTTGTCAAGCTGTGATTTCTGCAATTTTCTTTGATCATGGCTAATAAATCATTCCAAAAATCAACTTATAATTTAAAAAATCATTATTTTACATAAAATCTGAGCCCCAGGAATGGCGTGAAGCCAACAAGATGACGTCATCTTATCATAATTTGATGCTCTTTCAGAAGACGATCCTTTGCTTGAGCAAGAGGAACACATTACTCCAAATGATATAGATGGTGTTACCCTGCAGTATTTCAATGCGAAATATGGCGCACAGACGTATCTGAATGATCAGTCCCCAGCTGGAATCTATGTCATAGAGGCTAGATCGAACGGGGGAGATTGTGGGGTGGTGATCTACGCGACAACTACTCCGTATTCTGACCAACCATATCCTCCATTGCCTCGAGACCCCCATGTCCACATCCTTGCTTCATCTGCTACAACGGTTACAATAACATGGAAGAAAAGTCACGCAATGTCCGAACCTTCTGATGTTGAATATTGCGTTTCTGTTAACAAAAAGAGGGCGCTGCAAACAATGTGTTCCGCCCAAGCGTTGCATAGATCCGATCATTCAAAGAATAGACTCACAACTGGGTTTGACATTGTTAGAAACGCACCCCATATGTTGGATCGTGAAATGGACAACAATAGACCCGTCTCTTTCAACCCTCACAAAGATAGAAAATCAGTTTCCAATAAGTCTTCTATTCAGTGTATCGGCAAAAAGACCACCTACACACACGGGGGGCTATTGCCCGGAAGAACCTATTTCTTTGACGTTTTTGTCATCAGCAAGTCGACAAATAGAAGCTCAGCGTATATTGGTACATCCATAAGAACAAAAAGGCCAAATATGATTTCGAAAACCATAACAGACGGTGTTGTCGAAAATGGAATGCTAACGACAATAAGTAAAGGGAAAATGTACAAGTTTACAGTAAATAAGGATGCAAAGACACTGTTTTTGTCTATTCAACCTTGTTCCGGAAAGGTCCATGTTCACCTGTCACATGAAGGTCGTACAATGATGTCAATGAAGGCAAAGAACTTTAGATCTGTTCATTTCCCTATTGACCCAAGATCGAAAGATGAAAAAGATGCTGTGTTCAAATTAAGAATCACAAACACTGGATCAAGACGCCAATATGCTCACTATCGTCTATTCATGAGCACAAAGCCAGAGAACAATCCCTTCCCAAGTTTGCCAAATGATACTACCATTAAAGTTCTTACAAAATCAAGAGATTGCAAAACAGTAACATTGGTTTGGCCTGGAACAAGGGAGAGGCAAAAATATTGCCTGTACAAACGTTCGATTGCCCTGAGCAACTACACAACTGAAAATATTGACAAACTTTCTCTTTTCCCAAAACAGAATGCAGCCCAACAGTGTGGCTTCACAACAAATGACGCCATTGTCGACGAGGTGAATGATCGCAATTTGTGGTCAAATAAAGAAAAAATTCTTTGCCGCAATTTCAGATATAAGGAACAGAGGAACACAGTTATGAAGGCAACGGTCAGGAATTTAAAGCCCGACTCCATCTATGTTTTTGAAGTTGTAGTAACAAAGACGCTGGGCGTTTCTTTGCCATATGAACAATTATGGATGCGAACGCCGAAAAATTGTAAATAAAGAAATCATTATGGGCGTTCAATTCGTCATGGGAAATTCACTTGTAAATAATTCAATGACCACCAGTGTTAGATCATCGAAATAAAATCGTTGAAGTTGTATGTCTTGTTCAAGTTGTTATGGCATTTGACTGAAGGCTCCACAGGTTCATCCTTGGTCCAAAAGGGTATTTCACTTCTTTTTAAAGCATAAATGAAGTTCTTTGAAGAGGGATGCCACAACTTAATCATATCGACAAACTTCGAAGACTGATTTTGTCACAACACCTGCGCGCATTCGCTGATTGGCATGATTTGGTTATCCATGGATGGTCGCAAAAGTTTGTCATTGAGGCAAAATATGAGATAAATTCGTCATTGCATTTTCGCTTTCTTTAAAATGTTCGACAGTACGGGGTAGCATCTAGTGCATGTTATGTCATGATTTTGATTGTGGGATTTTCGCTTTTTCAATTTTTTTTAGTTTTTTCAAATGAATTCATTTTTAGTCTGTAAAAAGTCGTAGATGCCTTAGAAAAACATTATGAGAAATTCTCTCAATACATTTTTCATACTTACATCGAAAGATTCGTATTTTCCAGCATTATTCGGGTTAATTCGTTTCCATCAAGTTTTGATGTGAAGGCGCATGTGAAAAAACAAATATCTAATTGAAAAATGTTAGTATCCGATAATGTTATTTTCTGGCTCATAATAAGAGCATGTTCTTTTTCTGTTCTCAACCAAAACTAAAATTGCTAGATCATTATTTGTGACGCAAATCTTGGACGCAAATAGTTTGTTTTTATACTATTTAATGGCACATGACAACATAATTGGTGACTCGTCCATGACTATTTCCAAAGACCTGTTATGTAAAGTTGATGTCAAGACATTTTATTCTAGCTAATATGGAGCACTTTTAGATTGCGAAACTTGGTGAGGAAACGAGAGATACATTAGAATTCAAGAAAGAAAGGCTCATAGACAAAAGTATTCTCTCCCTGGAATCAGCACTCATTACTCGGCAATATTACAAGTCCCTCGGGGGTCAAGTATACCGTTTTTCACAAAATGTTTTAATTTCCGCCTTTACACGAACCTCTCCCGGGAACCTCTGCGGCATTTGCGTCACTGTCAGGCTCATTACGAACTTCATTATTTATGGTTATATCTTTACTGAGTGACAAAAGGTCATCTCGACATGAGTGTGAGGAACATGTACATGACATAATTCGATGCCTATCGGCAATAATTAAAAACACATGTTTCCAACAGGTGAATATGATACCACTATGCTCTACGAACACACGATGATTTCATAATTATTTGATATAACTAATTTTGAACAATTAGGCCAAGTTAATTAATGATACTGAGCAAGGTGTACCCCTGGGTGATTTCAATCGATCTATATTAACCATTGAATTAATAAATAGATACAAACCACACCGTGTTCATAACATCATATTGGTTTTCGGAAGATATATTAATTTTATAAGCCGATCAATGTATACCGCATTCGTATGACTCATGGACCGATAAAGGATTTAATGATAAGGATATAATATTAATTTATTTACTCATAACTAACAAGAGTTATATTGAACTACGACTCGAGTGTCAGTATAACCGCCACAATTTGAGTGCAAGTCATTTATTTTCAAAAGAAGTTTAAAGAATTGAAAAAACATACTAGTATTTAACATTTAACAGGATTTTTTCTTCATTGACTTAGTCACATGATAGTCATGTGATCTACTAGGTCAGACTCACTGACAGATGCAATATACATTGAGCTGCCACGTCTCTGAATGGAACTGAAGAAATCCATGTAGATTTCACATAAAATCAACAACTTCAGCGCGTTCAATAGGGATGGAATCTTAGTGAAATCTACAATAAGACATGAGAATGAATTCCCCAACTGGAAGTGTGGATTATGAGAGCGATACTCCATGGTATGAAAATGGTAAGTAAGTGTTAACTCAATGGTAAATTTATGTTTGTACTGTTTTGTATGCGATCATTGTTTATAAATTATGCCAGGAGTGTTGTCTGGCTGAAGGCATAACTATAAGAGAAATCTAACCAACTATATGTATATATTCACATCTGTTTCATTTACACGATGATTAAGATTTTAGATTGATTTTAGGTTTCGATTTATGCACTAATATCACAATGAACCAGCACTATAAGGAAAGAGTCACACTGTCGTATAATCTCACCATCCTTGTATACGTTATTTGATTGATTCACACTAAGAATTATTATCAGTATCAGGCGTGAGGGGGCCAAGGGTATCAAAGATGTCAAGACCTTTTTAATAGTTGATACTAGTATCGTCTGAGACGATTCGAACGTTTTTTGAGAATTAATATTCAGACAGTGTCACTGATATAATGATTATTAACCGTATATGTGAAGAACATTCGTTATCAACTGGTCAATTGAATGGTATATTAGACGACGGAGCTCTGTGTATCTTACACTACAAATTGAAACATACCTTACAAATGATGAGATAACCGTGAGACCAGCCATCATTGAAATTTATTTTACGAGGGACAAATTAAGAGCATTTTCCTTGGAGGTTTATGGCGAACAAATAATTAATAAATTAGTTGCATTAATCTCAATAGATATGAAAATTGTATCCTTTTCTGACTATACTGCATCACAATATCCACATAATGCAATGAATCAATATTCTATGTTCAGGGTTTTTGCTTCTGTTCACTGTTTCTAGTTATAACCAATTCCAGACACGCAGAGGAAGCACAAGCCCCTAATGTAGTTTGCCAAAAGATGTATTAGACATGTTAATATCCTGGCATTTCACAATGATCTCTCAGAACGGACATCCATCATGTAAAATATAAGGAACTTCAGAAAATCAATACTGAATTAATTTGCCAAAGGATGTGAACCACATTATTTATATTTGACTGTTTCTTAGGAAATGTAATGAATGAAAATGTTACATTTCCGATGTAGGAGAGGTTTAGTATGTGGTCTTAGAAATATTTTAGGAGGTTATTAAGAGGAGTGAACATCGTCGAACCTGAAGAGCACATTCTTGAATTAAAGCCAGACTATGTAAACTGATCCAGATTGAGCAACGATTTTCTTATTGTACAAGGGAGTTATTGAATAAATGCAAGAGTTTTTATTCAAATTCAGAATTTCATTCATTTTTTATTGCCCAAGACTGAATTCATATTTCCAATATAACGTCCGTATGTCTGTACAGCCAGGATGGAAAGGCTTACGATCTCACAAAAGGGTCAAAAGCCTGGGACACATCCTTTCATTGCATTGCATTGTACTACTAACCAGAGGCGGTCCATTAGTTCACGCCTCTGGTTCCACATTAGAACGAAATAGTTTTTCAGGAACAACTATAGGCTTGTTTCCTTAATCATTTTTGTGCTATCCAAGGACTTCAATAGACAGACCCCTATAATGTACTTTTCTGGAGAGCTAAAACCCCGCAATTTAACAAGGTACATGGTACATCCCCTAGATTATACGTCTACTTGTAAACATAAACCATTGTAAACAAGAGGAATGAGAACCAACAATTCCAGCACAACTGAAGTACTTCCTAATCCTAATGCTGTTCTCAATATGGTAGCTTATAGTAACTGTTATTGTAGTACAAATATGAAGGAGGTTAGTTACAGATAACACATTAGGGTTATCATGGTAATCTCTTCTGTATATGCTTTCCATTCATCCTTATTACTCTTTTCATTGAATAGATCAGTGGCATTCTGGATCAGTTCTCATGTGTTAACACTTCATAACTCCATTTCTATCATCACATTCATCACATCTGTTCTCTGTTCAAAGTATAGAAATCGGATCATTTCCACTCTCGACATATTTTGACGTCTTGGGATTAGTTTGTGGATTTTCAAGAACTCATATTGTATCGTTTTTATCTATCAGACTATCACCGTCTTGTCAATTATCAAATTCCTTTTTTACTTAAGAGTGGGAGTGTGACATCTATAGCTTGTCAAGAAAAACAATGTGCCGGTGGCTCTATCATATCAAACCTATTATAACCCTATCTCTAACCGTCTCTAACCCCACATCACGACAAGAGGAACTAAAACCATGACAATGCGAATAAGGGCTGGATATGAAATATTACATTGATTCATTCTACGATTGTCTTTGTTCCAACCAGTTCCACGAATGCCATTGATTTTCATATTGCTAATGTGGAGAATTCAGAAGGCAGCTAGCAAATTAGCAATTGTAGGAATCTAATTCCCAGATAAGCTGTCGATAATTGCTGGTATGGAGAATAAATTGGGTGCCTGTTTTTCAAATTAAGCAGCTGTATGATTCAGTTTGTCGGCAGGGAGTAATAAAAGCCAAATGACAATGACCAACAAGACTGAATCATTGATGTTAGGCTTTAGGGATCGAGACAGGAACTTCGCTGTGAAACGATTTTACCGTGACCGAAATATTGCCCAGTAAAACTGGTGTACCATTTTATGCAATTCAGTTGATCAAGATGGCCACCAGTGCCGGTGTATACATGTTAGAATGCCTGTCGATTAATTAATGGATATTCATATATTTATATTGTATTAATCGGCATTAAGTCTCATTTAAATGATATTGAACTTTCTTGAAAAATCATTAACGGAATCAAATACACATAAGGGAAACATTTTGAGGGAATAGCAACATTTTGTGTCTTTGACGATTCAATGATATAGCCCCAGTCTCTCTTCCCAGTATATCGTTTTTGTCCAGATGAACATCAAAGCTCGATGGAAGATAGGAAAAATTCATGGAGAAGGGTCACCTGCTTTAGATGAAGTATTGTTTATAGATATCATGCATGATTGATCTCCATCGTGGTAAACCATGACATCTATCTAATTTCTTCTGTCTTGAGATGTTTCTGGTGAAACAGAAAGATGCCATGCACTGGCGGATCTGCCCCACCCCCCCCCCCCCTTGGGTGGGCCCAGAAGAAATTGGGCCCAAAATTTTCCAAGGGGCCCGATTAATGGGCCTTTTTGGGCACATTTTAACGCCTTATTTTTTAATATTAGGCTAAATTATCAAGCAAATGGGCCTTAAATTTTCAAAATTTGGCCCCACTACTAGTATTTGGTTTTAGGAACCCAAAATCTTTTTTTCATACTTCAAATATGGACCCCCTTGTTGTTTCCTAGATCCGCCCCTGCTATGAGTATCAGAATGATTGACCTCGACGAAGACGTCCATGTTAACTTGACATTTCCTTTCGACCTTTAAGTTATTTCACCAAACTTGCAATTGTTCATTGAACATTACGTTCTTCCAAACCAAATGTCATGTCAGGATCACCTTCAATAAACACCACCTTGTTACGGTTATCATAGCCAAGCCTATAATGGTTTCAGTGCTGTTTCTGATACTTAATGACTTTAGCTCTTGGAAAAGAAAACGTTTTAAAGGCCTCATACAAAGTTTGAACCACTTTGGATCTGTGTATTATAGCTCTCTTACCCAATGTTATAAAAATATGGTCTGTGAAACTTTTCAAAATTTCAAAACGCTGATTTCGAAGAAATATTTGTCGAAGAACTGTGCATTTATATAAAAAAAACTTCAAATTAATTTCAAAACACTGATTTTGAAGAAATATTTGTCAAAAAATTGCAAATTTATTTATAAAAAAGCGCATGCCAAGAAATAATTTACACCAAAGCATAACATCATAAATTGAGTGGTTGAAATATATTGCCTAATATAATTTCACAAGATGAACAACTCATTCTTTCAAAAGTCATATTTTTTTAAATGTCTCGAATGGTTTCCAAGTTGATATTTTCAAACGTCATACGGGGCCTTTAAGTTCATAACTCAGATATATTGCTCGTCGCCATTAATGACATAACCATATTACCCTTTGTGACAATCCACAGACCATCCAGTTATGCATTTGTGTTTAGATAGGTTGTTACTCCTTTTCCAGGGTACACCATATTCATCTATTCTATACTCGCTTACCAGTTGGATTTTCAATTATCAAAACATTATACCTTGCAATTCAACTTACGCCCAAGTGTTCAGATTCATTAGGAGTCTCTTATGTTTCAGATTTACAATTAGCAGCTGAATTGGGCAAGACTTTGCTGGAACGGAATAAGGAACTGGAACATCAAGTTGCACTGCTTCAGCAAGAGAACCATGAAAAAGAACTTGAAGTAGACGTAAGTAGAATTGCAGTAGTAATTATCATTCAAAGAAACTAACTCAAAAATATTGAAAAGGATAATTTCAAGTGTTACAGAAATTCTAGTCGCATCGGATTCTAGTCCAACGTGTACATCATACATCAAATGGGCCCGCCATATCACCGTGTCGTGAAGACTGATGGCAGTTTTACGTCCGCTGTCTTCAACTGTTGTCTGCAAGTGCAACAGCCCACAATTAAGTTTGTGTTGCTCTTGTAAGTAACCATTTCTTTATTATCTTGATTTCAGTTTCTGGCAAAGCAAGTTGATACCCTAAGAGACTTGGGTGAATCCAGGTCTAGAGTGTATGATGAGGTTGACAAGAATTCCCATAAGCTGGAACATGCCATGAAACGACAGACTCAGCAAAGCCACAACGATAAACAAAAGATCAACAGGTAAAATATATGATCTATATAGCATATATCATACAGCCTGGGATTTATCGTTCTGAACCGTACATGATTTTGCACTGTACAATCGAACAGCACTCTGAATCATAATTCGGAATCATAATTTCGCTTCTTTTGTTTTGGTTATTTGCGATTTTATGATCGTACAACATTGCCATATGTTTGATATGTTTTTGTTGTTGTTATAGTACTTCCATTATTTGATCTTCAGGTTGAATGATACTATCAGTAGCCTAGAGACAAAGTGTGAAAACCTACAAGCAACGCTAGAAGAACTACGTAAAACAGACCGTAAACGCAAACGACGTGAACGTCGGTCCACCGTCAGCGTTCCCACCGAAAAAGAAGTTCTAGAGCTTTTCCATTTTTATAACTTACATACCAAAGATAACGAACAGCTACACTCCATTTTCCACCAACCAAGTCAGAATGAGATCCAGTCTTTGAAAGATCACATAAAAGAACTAAGGGATCAAGTCAATGTTCAAAAAGCAAAATATTCAGAACTTGACACTGATTTTGGGATCTTAGAGCAAGAGAACAAACATCTCACTGAGAGAATACAAGATCAAGAACACAAGGAAATTGATCTCATTAAAGATCTAGAACATAAATACGAAAAACAGCTACAGGATATAGAGAGGTCAAATGCCACAAAGATGTGCAGAAGCTGTCAAAAACAATTTGAACAACACGAAAAGGAAGCAAAAGTTTTGGAACCAAAGGTTGAGTATGACGTTGAAAATGTCCGACAAGGAGTATGCGTCCGACTCAAGAGTGGAGGTAGCGCGTTTGGAAGTAGGGAGTCCCTCAATAAAGCTGGACTTGAAACAAGTGACGATTTGGTGACCTCTCTTACGGACAACTCACTCCTCAGTGAGCTTGACCAGCAGTATCATTCCCTAGTTGAAAAGTATGAATCTCTCATTGACTCTAGGAACAAAAAGATCTCAACCAAAGAAGTCCAAACAACAGTGATCAAGTCTTCCATTACGACAAGCATTAGTGTGAAAAGTCCTAAAAAGATCGACCAACATAGGTTTGATCATGGACCTCCAGAATACAAGAAACTATTCAAAGAGATATTCGACACATTGAAAAAATCTACAATTTCTGAAGCTGCTAGTGGGAAAGATGATATAGAGATATAGACTTCGCAACAGCCTAAAACAGATACTAGCTTTATCGTACCACCATAATGGGATTTATTATCTACAACGTCTACCTTTTCTGGATAGCCAAGCATCTAAGTATGCGATATATAAGATCACCCAAGATATGGTTTCCTCTCCAAGAAATAAAAGGAACATATCCGATAAAATCATTCTATTTAGAAATTTCTCTTGATTGGTATAAATTGTATCTGCTATTTGGGCGTTTTAATGGCATTTGGTTTGTATCTGATGGTTGGGACATTGGTGCAATTATCAACGCCGTGTATCTATTTATTCTATTATTCTAAGCATTGCTTGCAGCATTGCGATCTTTTGCTTACTAGTATATGCTGTTGCAGGATTCGCTGGGAAGACTTGCATAAGGGTTAACAGATGGCAAACGGTGTTGCAACTTGCAATATTTGATTATGTGATTATTTATCCGAGGTTTACGAATTTATTATTATTTCATCTAACATTTGTATTTTCGGTATTCTGTAGTGGTCAGCATTATTGGATGTTAATAAAATTGATACATGTACGTTTAATTCAGTGTTTGTTAATAGTTACATGAAGCAAAATAGCTCAACTGATCTATCAACAACAAAGGAACAAAATAACAAATGTTTCTTACAATTTTTCTACAAATTGAAATAATGAATTCTAGGTGAAACTGAATTTCTTCGAGGGAAAAAAAGTTTATTAGGAAAATGATACAAACGCGAGAAAGATATTCCATAAGTTATTCGCGCGTTCAGTCACAAAGATTGTTATCTAGCAACTAAATCGACAAACTCAAATTGGAATGTTGTTTTGGGATTTGTTAGGAGAATTCTAACCAGAAATACAGCTGCTGAAACCAAGGAATTATCGAGCATACTTTCAAAAAGGAAGGAAATTGGTCAGAATATCGACTTAAAAAATCGCAAAATCGGTGAAAAACGCAAGCCACATGGCGCCTCAGTTTAAATTCAAATTTCAACGTGGATGGTCATGGAACCAAATATTAAAAGAAATAACATTATTGAATTGTATTCGACACTTAGTTTGTCAATAGAACACAATTACAATACAGGGTGTATCAAAAAAACGCAACAAGTAGTTATCTCGTAAAATCACAAAACTAGTAATGATCAATTTCATTCAATGTACCATAAAGCCACGTCTCTCCTCTTTGCAATGATATGTCATTCATTCACATGTGGCAATGGTTTGGTGAGAAATCCTTCCATGTTTGCACTGTGGGTCAAAATCGGCTCTGTACCAAGTTTTAGATATTGAAAAATCAGTGCAGGGGCTAAGTGCACATGGAAGTTCCCCTGACTTGAATTGTTGTGACTTTTTCTTTTGGAGCTATCTCAGGAGCATCTGTGCTCACAATTCCTCCACCAGATATTGCAAAACCTTGAGAAAGAATTTCCCATGGGCTGCTTTTCTCTGCTTTAACACACAGATGACTCAGGGCTGAACCATGCATAACATGGACAGATGAGCGCATCTTTATCTGCAAGGAAGTGGTGGCAATTTGGAGGGGTATAGGATGTATTCTTGCAAGAGTATGAGTAGGAATACTTTACTGTCTATGCCACACCTGTCACACCTTCTTCGAAGAGCCCCTATGCCCCTTGTACCGACTTTTGCAATGTTTAAAACTTGGGTCCCAGCAGAATTTTGCCCCACTTTGCAAAATTAATGATAATTCGGCCAGAGATGACTCCCTGTGAATGAATGATATTCCATTGCAAAGAGGAGTAATTTGGCTTTTTGGTACATTGAATGAAAAGGATGCAGTCAGCATTGGTTTTATGTTTTCTTCCAATATTGCATCGGGCTCCGAACACTGACTTTTGCGATGTTTATAACTTGGCCCCAAGCTAATTTTGGCCCACTTTGCAAATGGAATGATTACTCGCTCAACCATGACCAAATATCAATGAATGATATATCATTGTAAAGAGGAGACATGTGGCTTTATGGTGCATTGAATGAAATCAATGCTGTTATCACTGGTTTTGTGCTTTTCCGAGATAACAATATCTGTTGCGTTTTTTATACGCACTGTATAACATGGTGGAGCTGCCGGGTCAATTTGTATCACCATTATTGCATTAATGAAGAATATTAGGAACATGCTTTATTTTATTATAGTGTCACCTATGGTACAAAATAGCCAAAGCCAACTGGGCTTATGAGATATGGGAAACATTTAAAATTAAAACAGTTTCTTAACAATATTCTTGGTTTTAAATATGTTTATAAATGATTCAAAATGTGGCATTCTGATTTATAAGAGTCTCTCTTCATCTAAGGCTTGAGAGAGATAGTATAGAGACGGTTGATCCCACAATGGATATGTAGTGTTTAAAAGGACTCTCACTGTTTCATAGGTCTTGTTCATACAAATACATTTAGTGTTTCCATCCTTAACTATTTTTAATTGCAAACATGACACAGTCTTTCTTGAATTGGCCGTTTTCTTGTTTGTTTATATCGTCAAGTCTCTATTATTAGTGGAAGGATGCCACACATGAATTATGCTATTGGTGACAATGTTATTTGACACTGACATTTTCAGTAGTGGGTTCACTTTGAAAGTGATATAAATGCATGTGCGCAATATATCTTAGTGAAGTAATATCCTTTTCCATTTTTCTGTGTGGTCGGAAAAAATCTTGATTTGGCTGTAGCCAGATTGATGGTCTAGTGTATCAATTTTTTGAGATAAACGTAAATCAGATTCGGAACAAATATTTTTGATGTCTGTTCACCAACCATTTCTACAATTGTGATAATCCTCGAGAAATATTTGTTAATTAGTCTATTGTCCTCCATTTTGACATATCTGTTCCAAAGACGTAACATTTCCAGTTTCCAATTTGCGTATGCCATTTGTTCGGGTGGTTCATACTGTATCACTATACATATAACTGATCATATACACGGTGTATAACCCAAACGCTCCTACATGCACGACGGAGCGTTTCATTACTGAAATTAAACAAAGAAACGCTCCGGAGTAGGAAAACTGGCTGGCGGGAATGATGAGCCGTCTGACAATTTCCCCAATAATCACATTCGATGGGTGTGATATTCATGTTGTACTTGGCTGGCTGTTGACGTTTGAAGCAATAAGGAAGAGCTGTACGAAGCAGTATAGTTATCAAAATCCAAAAACGTATCTGTCATTCTACCGGTCAAAACCCCTTTTGTCGATACATGTGATTAGTTGAGCCAAGATTAGAGCACCAACGTATATTTTAGTCAAATTCCAATGCTTCAACGCACCATACATAATCGTAATAGTGATTTGATGACCGAAAATCCAGTCTTAAAAATGATGACATTCTCGTATTCAAGAAACGCTCCGATCTGGTTAACACAGTGAACTGGAAACGCTCCGATAGTCTAGATCAGTTTAGGAGCTTGCCTTTCCTTTTCAGGAAGAGAAAGAAAAGATCTATTATACCCCTTGGCATCAAAAGAAGAAAAATTAATTCACATATAAATTTTCGTTTTTTTCTATAGTTTTATGATTTAGCACACATGTAGGCATGACATCATCTAATGTAGGCTTAAATCGGTAGTTTAGAGAATACAACACCAAGAAAATGCATGCTGGTGGCTCCCAGAGGGTATACACATTTTTCACCAAGTGCTTTTTCATCTCCAATCAAATTGCAGGATTCGATCACGTGAACAATCATGGGCACATGCTCTCTCAGTGCTGCGCATGCGCAGAGTTAAATTTGAAATCGTGGGAATGGCGTTTACATCAGTTCAACATCGTCATTTCAAACCTACGGTAATACTATTGAAGTTACTCGATCCATACTTGTAAAGAATACTCATAAAACTACAGTGAAAATTTGGAGATCCATTTCAACGGCAAATTGAGGCCTGTTTATAAAATTTGTTTTCGAACATGCTAATATGATAGGGCATCTTTGGGGAATCTCCCCCCTGGCCAACACGGTAAAATACCGAATGGCGAAAAAAGCGAACGCATTCCGTTCGGTCTTTGCACGCGATTGCCGTTTATGTCACGCATTTGGTACAAAATATGTGTATATATCACTCATTTGTTTCGAAAATATTCACATCTACTATATATATTTTGCAAGTGGATCCAAGAGACCAAGTGGGCAAGTCAATTATTTTGCAGGGGTGGCATGATACACAGATTTCAATTTTGTATATAGTGAATTCCCAGTGATTGATTTCAGTACAGTAAAACTGTCATAGTGAACACCTCTTTAGTGAAGATCTGTGCCCAGTGACATGCCTCTACTCTATTGAACACCTGTGTATATTATAGTGAACACCGATTCCGTCCCAGCCAGTGAGTTCAGTACAGTAAAAATATCCTAATGAACACCTCTTTAGTGAAGATCTGTGCCCAGTGAAAACATGCGTCTACTCTATTGAACACCTGTGTATAGTGAACACCAATTCCCAGTACAGTAAAACTGTCATAATGAACAGCTCTTTAGTGAAATACTGTGCCCAGCGAACATATGAGTATAATCTATTGAACACCTGTGTGTAAGCGAACACCAATTCCCAGCCAGTGATTTCAGTAACTTTTAGAGGGGATTGTACCTACAGTAAAATCTGTCTAATCCAAGGGACCAGCTCAGAGCGTTCGGATTAGGAGGTGTTCACATTTTGAGGTTTTGCATTTGCAAGATTTGGGTTTTTGAAGAAATAGAAACAAATTCTCAATAAATATTATAGTTCTTTTGACTACTTAGCTTTGGCATTAGAGTGACATGAAAATCTGATTCAAATGAATTTAGTCATCCTAGAAAGCCCCACCATGAGTGAGATCATTCAAGTTTTTTTCAAATATTTGATCAATTTATGGAACATGTGATATTTTATGTGTTCAGATTAGATAGGTTAATTTTCAAACATGACTGTTCACTGTCAAAATTGGGAGATGTTCATATTTCAAGTTTTTTAAACATTTGAGTCAATGGGAGAAAAAACGGGACCAAAAAATGTTCACATTGGGAGGTGTTCGGATTAGCCAAGTGTTCAGATATACAGGTTTTACTGTACTACAATTGTTTTCAATCTTTTGGAGGAAAGTGTACATCATTCCAAAGAAATGACAGATGCACTGTATATACAGTGATCGCCTACTATTAAAAGTGCGTGATCAAAGACTCGACAAGATGCGCAAAATTCAAATATTTTGTAACGGTTACTTTTAAGAGATTTATTTGTGTTTATATTACAGGCTACTGGTGATTCAATTAGGTTTTGTAGGCACAAGAACACCCATATGCTTTGAGAAATATATATTAGTTTGACCATTTTTCGTATATCGTATATTGATTTTACAATTTAAAGATATAAATGCGATACAATATGTGTTATTTTATTTAAAAAGCTTGAAAATATCAAAAACAATAGAACATTTTTACTCTCTTTAATTTTTTATACTTAGGTAGGGTCTTGGACTTCCATTTGACCATGATGAAATTCACGTTTCCCCTTCAATAACATGGAATAAATATTTTAACACAGAAACGAATGGATCAGCCAATAGCGTGAGTTTCAGCAAACCATACACCCATATCTATATGCTTTTCAAGAGAAGAAAATGGGGATCTCGCAAAATGTATGTCCAAACTGATTCAGTCAATTAAATGGTCACTGTGTGTGTGTTCATTTTGTTTTTCTGCCTAGATTTGAATACATTACCATTAAATGATATATACACTGAACCTCTAGAACCTGCTAAGTGAAACACCTCTTGAAGCGTAACACCTTACAAGTGGAACCGTTTTTTAAGTTCGATTTTAGTCCATTTATTTTACGCCTCTGATCCCAAGGTATGAGAACTATACACCTTGGCATCCAAGATGATTGTCGAATTATAATGTAATTGTAATTGTAATAAAATATAAAATCTGAATTGTACATTATCTATTTCATTGGATTATTGTCAATCACTGAAATTGTCATGAATTCAATACTTTCTACAAGTATGTGTTTATTTATTGATTTCACTTAATTTGGTATTATTCCAGAGAAATTTCTTGTTATCATTCTAGATTTGCCTCTATTTTCAGTAATCTTTCTCATCTTCATCTCTTCTTCTTCATGATGTTCTACAAGGTGGTTTATAATGATTTGAAATTTAGGAGTTCGTAATGAAGGACAGTAAAATCATGTAAACCCAACCACTCTGAAATGCAAAGAACATATCATTAGAATCCACATGGTAAAATCACCCACTTGGCTGATCATAAATTGTTTTCATAACATCCTTCTTACTCGATACTGAAGGGGAGTTGGAACGTCTGATATGCATGTAATGTTAAGTATTATGTATATATTTTTTTTTATCATCTTTCATATTTATTGTAAGCACAAGTCATTTAGATACAATTACAAGGGGCAAAGCGCTGTAAGCATTAGATGTCCCCTTATATAATTAAACAATAAAGTACAATATTCATTTTAACCTGGATGTCACCTGTAAATGGTAGAATGCCTTGCAATGAAACAAAAGATAGGAGGGCTGCTGATATCCTGGGGGAGGGGTAGTATGTTGAAAAATGGAAACAGGTCATATGTATATTAACCATAAGCATGTTGGTTTTGTGGTTTTGGTAATCTAAAAACAGAAAATTTGGTGAAATATACATTTTCATTCGGCGGGTTTTTTGATTTTGCTTCATTTATTAACTCAGTTCAGGTATTTCGGTTGAACCAATCACCGAATCCTGTTACCAAATGAATCTTGAGTCTCTTATACAGCATATGGAATACCATCTGTAGGTAAAATGTCATTAAGGTGGTAAAGAAAAGAGAAACAAACATACCTTTCCTCCGACATTTCGAATTTTGCGCATCTTGTCGAGTCTTTGATCACGCACTTTTAATAGTAGGCGATCACTGTACATACAGTGAGGTGACACACTGTTATGGGAACTGGTCATATCACATGTTCCCACGCTTTTCGTCCAGAAGAGGTCATTTCCCAGGATTATAGATGAACCCTTAGCCAATCAATGATATAGTTTACATAAGAGAAGTATGACTGTATGAATTCTGGGATATTCCTGTTTTTGTTGAGACAGGTGAGAATAAAATTAACCCTTTGCAAATTTGATCAATACTGCCTCCAATCATCCAATACTTGGCTCAGTTAAAATAGTTGATTTATATTTGAATTCGATAATAACATTTAAAAATTAAATGTGTAGTTGTAATACTTTAGTACCTCTTATTAATTAATTTATAATATTACAACATACATTATGATAAGGCAATTTGTTTCATAAAAATCTAAAAGTAAAATTCATAATTTAAATTTACCCTCTGGGAGCCCCAAAATTTTAGAAAATGCATTTTCTTGGTGATGTATTTTCTAAACTACCGCTTAAATCAGCTAGTTGCACGTTTAGCACCACCAGGTTCAGATGTTTCAATTTGCCTAACAAGTACAAACCATTTTTGAGAGAAAGATTCGATTCGAAACTCTTCTCTAATAATCTGAAAATGATATCAAAACAAAATGGTAAGAGCGTTTCTAAAATTGTGTTCTAAATCGACGGAGCGTGTCGAGGAAAACAAGCGATTTCTTGAGAACAAGTAATGGATTTGGACTGGAATTTTAGGAAATGAGAATATACGAGTTCTTGATCTACTACATTAACAGAAAGATTAACGTTTTCAGAGAAATACTAGTTTAATTCGTAATTTGTGGTCAAATCGTCATCTTGAGATTCGTTCGATCTACACTACGGAGCTTTGATCAAGCAAATAACAGTTTACCACCAGAAGTTGAATAAATAAGATCTTTGCTCACGGTATTGTTCATCGAATGGTACATAATATTTCACCATAACATATGATATGTAAGAGAAACGAGAGAAACAATACTGACGGTCATAGTGGAATCTTCATTAGCCGCCATTTTATTTCGCTCCGGAGCGTTTCCGCGTAAATAAAACGCTCCGTCGTGCATGTTGGAGCGTTTGGGTTATACACCGTGATATATGCGATAGAGAGCAAAACCTTTGGACCCCCAAAAAGCCATCGTTGCGCGATGAGCCACATCGATATCTGATCTGGGTATTTAACGGATTATTCTCAAGATTGCTGTGCTCAATGTAAAAACTGTGATGCAATTTAATTTTTCTAATATTTCCAACATCAAGTGACGAACATTTTTATCAAAATTGAAATTGGAAAAATTAAAACCCCCAAATTTTAATTTCTTTTAAACTATGGGTCCTCAAGCTGTTTCTCCTTTGTATTTCATACATCGTGACATGCAGCAATTTTTTCATGATAACGACTATTTGTTTTTAGCATAGGTTATTCATTTTGACCATTTGCACTGCAGGACAGGAGGTCTAAAGGTCTAAAGAAAATGTGCATTTACTTGTCAAATACAACTAGGGAACAGTGGGATAAGGGCTGTGGGACAGGACGGGACAAGTTTGATTAATTGTTTTAAAATGTCGCCTGATATTATCTCTGACAGGGGATCTCCTACCAGCCTCATCGGTCATTGATTTCATTTAGGCGCCAGATTAAAAAAAACGGTTCTTGTCCCCAAAAGTGGCCCATCTTGCATCACTTCTGTAAGTCTTTGGTAAAAGCCTACCATACGATGCAAAGTAGTTACAGATACATAAGTAAGATTACGTAGTGCAGATTGGTTATGTGAGACAACTCACTAATGTACGGTCTAAAATAAACTTTGGTAAAATGAAACGGTAAGGAAATTAAAAAAAATTAGGTTGTGCGATTTTTCTAACTCACGTACCACTGAATCAACGTGCTATTTAATCCACGTGCTCTTGAATTCGCACTCAACACCCAAACGCGAATATAGCGGAAATTAGGGCACCTTGAAAATTTGGGCTTTTACAGTATTTGATAGGACAGGGCTTTGCCCCACGAGGGTCCTTGTTGCCTCATGACCACACGATTCATTTTTTCAATAGTGAGAAGCACATTTGCAATTCAAAAATATATTTCATAGTCAATACTACCAAGTATTGGACATTGGGTATCAGAGATCAAGGCAAATTCTGCCATTAGAATAGCAGAAATAGTGACCTACGAAATAGGAAATAGTTTCAGATCATGCAGATTTCGCGCGTTATTGTAACAAACACACCATCAAAAAATATCATTAAACACAACATAATCTTTCATTTTAACATCTACAGTATTGACATCTAGCAAAACTTGAAAAAGTTGAGACCCTTTTCAATTCCAACGAATTGGACATTTCTGTACCTTAAACTTATATGTCTCTGCTTAAACTTCAATTGCTTGTCGCATGTTTGATTTAGTATCACAAATAAAAAATGAAATAAAAAGGATTTCAAACAATAATTTATTGTAATAACAATAATGTTTTTTTCAACTTTTACAAAATTGCATTTTTTTGTGGGGGGGGGGGTGCGATCAGTGTTCCATTATACCTTCTTCTAAGGCTTCCACTATATTGGCAAAACTCGATTAAGTTCCATCATCTCTTATACGAAGGATACTGCCACAAAAGTACCTTACCTACTGACATGGGTTATGATGATTTTCATGAGCACATCTGCTCTAATTCCATTGATATTTATTTTAATTTTTTATAGAATGAATGTGGAATGTGGAATGAAATGAAATACCCTTGGACCAAGGATGCTTCTCCCTATAATAGTACCTTATCGACTTTCTTTAAAATGTTGGTCCATTTTCACAAAAGCACAGCCAATTTCACATGTATCGTAGTATTCTTTGTACAATAAATGACAAAACGAATTATGCCAATTTTCATAGGGAAAACTGCCATGAAAAAGATTAATATACTATAGAGGTTTTCTAGTACATGGTGTTCCAGTATGTCCACGATCCACGTCCACTCAGGTCTCAAATACCCGGGAATCTTTACGAGAGTATGCCCGCGTTTCGTTCTTAGCTTCAAAACAAACGTAATCTTGTAGCTGTTTTGAAAATAAGTAAGTTGAGCTTTATTCAGTCGCTTTTATATCGATTTTCAATCTCACTCTGACTTTGATTTGTAGAATAACTCCATTAATTTATTTCTGGGTATGTCCTTTTTTAATAGGAACGAATGAAATCACTCTCAGTAGATTTGCAGAGTGTGAATTCACAGTGTATAAAAGAGTATATGCACGTTTGACCTACTTCCGGGTATGATTGGCATGACATATTTTTGATCTATATCCACAGGAACCTGTATCAACACCTGACATCTAGATCTATTGCCAAACCTGAAATAGAATGAGCTTCTATTCTTAATAGGTAGGTCTATATAGTCTATTCAGTATTACTCTTCCAGGTTGGGCCACCAATCGATGTCAGGTGTTAGTTATTCTCTATGTGTCTACTCCATTTTAGATCTCTCAGTTTATATAACTATAAGTCCAAAATTCACATGATAACTTGATACTTGAATACAAATATGACTGAATGGAAACCATCGGTGCACACCTAAACGCATCTACATTAATCAGAAATTGGTGTGCCAAACTTGCTAGGTAAAATGGAGTCAGGGAAACACATTCTATTCCTTACTCTTTTCTGCATTCCAGGTTACGGAATGCTTAGAACTGTCCCATATGCTCCTACTGTGCAAAGACTATTGGCAAATGTGCAGCCACTAAGAACAACTAATTACCCAAGATTTGGTACAATATTAAGGCAGACATCTGCGACTAATAACAGCAGATACTTATACTCTAAATGCATATTCAGGTATATGATATTTATAATGTGTGCAGTATTTAGGGCTTTGTTAGGGATCTTACCCTTTGAGTTTAGCATGTATATGCTTTACATTGTTCTGCTTGTTCATTGTTCCTGATTCTTAGTAAATAAGATAAAAAGATGGGGCAAGCATGCAAAACACATTTGAACAATATACCCTACTGTATCTATTAAGGCCTGATAGATTTGACAGGAATTTGTCCTTGTATTACCGGATTTTCTCGCATATACGCCCCCCTAAATTTAGGCCCATGAGCCAAAAATCGAATGTAGAACGCTTATACGCCCATGGGCCTATAAAAAATGACTATTTATTGATTTTTTGAATAAATTCAAGGGTATTTTGTCACTGGCAGATCGTTCTGTCGTTTCAACATTAAGTTCAACGCTGTGCCGTAAGTGGCAGTGGTGGATCGTTCTGTTGTTACTTTGTTTCAACATTAAGTCCAAGGTTGTAGGTGACATTTCCTTTATAATTCTTACAAAACATGCGGTAGGACTACAACCGAGTAGGTACGGTAGTCTTTGAGGAAGATGGCTGATGCCCACCTTTACGCCCACTGGGCCAAAAATCGAAAGTAGTACACTTATACGCCCATGGGCGAAAAATAAGAGGTAAAATAACAGACGAAATTACCCCTTCTTTCAGTTATACGCCCAGGGCTTATATGCGAGAAAATCCGGTAGTTCAATAGTAATAAATTATCGTATATAAAATTTCTTATATAAATGCATTTACATGTAGATGTCACTACTTTTGTCTTTTTTTTAAAGATAGCAAACGAGTACTCAGTTTAGAGTAAATAGTTTATGTAATATGTGTGTAAACGCCTTGTTTAAGTGAAAACCTCAAAATGTAAATAACTGCCATGCTATATATTAACTTTAAAATATAATAGAGCCAATAGACTTCAGGCAAAAGTAAATCATTCCATGTCTATCAGTCTTTAGATAGAAAGTAGGTGTGGGATGAACAAGTTGAACATATTGAACCTTAAATGTGAAGAAAAATATATTTTAATCAACCTTGCCTCTTGTTTCAGGGCCATGGCTACTTCATCAGGGGATCAGGCAAGAGGAACCAACAGACTGGCTATGGAGAAGTCCCCGTATCTACTACAGCATGCAAATAACCCTGTAGATTGGTAAGTCCACCTATCTACCACAACATGTAAGTTACTATGTAGACTGGTAAGTCCACCTATCTACCACAACATGCAAGTAACTCTGTAGATTGGTAATTCCACCTATCTTCCACAACATGCAAGTTACTCTGTAGATTGGTAAGTCCACCTATCTACCAAAGCATGCAAGTTACTCTGTAGATTGGTAAGTCCACCTATCTACCACAGCATGCAAGTAACTCCGTAGATTGGTAAGCCCACCTATCTACCAAAGCATGCAAGTTACTCTTTAGATTGGTAAGTCCACCTATCTACCACAGCATGCAAGTAACTCTGTAGATTGGTAAGTACACCTATCTACCAAAGCATGCAAGTTACTCTGTAGATTGGTAAGTCCACCTATCTACCACAACATGCAAGTTACTCTGTAGATTGGTAAGTCCACCTATCTACCACAGCATGCAAGTTACTCTGTAGATTGGTAAGTCCACCTATCTACCAAAGCATGCAAGTAACTCTGTAGATTTGTAAGTCCACCTATCTACCAAAGCATGCAAGTTACTCTGTAGATTGGTAAGTCCACCTATCTACCAAAGCATGCAACTAACTCTGTAGATTGGTAAGTCCACCTATCTACCAAAGCATCCACGTAACTGTAGTTTTGGAAGTCACATTATCTATTTAGACTTTGAACAAGTCTCTAGCCCCAAACTGCCTAGAACTCTAGAAAGGGCTTTGTATAAAAAACCTCCTACCTCATACCCACCTATCCACCTACGTGGGACATGATACAGTCATTGAAGTGTTCAATTTTAAAGATTTTTAAATCTCAAAATAGCTCTAATTATTAACATTTCTACTAGCAGCTTTATTTTATGACTAGATGAATGACAGATCCATAAATAAAGGCATATGGGTGCATTTTAATGGTAATGACCAGAGGGCGCACCAGTGGAATAACTAACTAATGACCGTGAGCATAGGACCCTACCAGCCAGATAAAGAAATTGAAAGAAAGTGTGCTAAATTTGATGCCCCGAGTGGGAATCAAACCCAGCTGGGCTGTAGTAGCAACTTGCTATCAAGGGTCGTTACAAATCCATCTATAATTCATCATAAACTAAGATTTAATAAACTAAGATTTTTAAAATTGAACCCTTCAAAGACTGTATCATGTCCAACGTACGTGGGTAGGTGGGTATGAGGTAGGACGTTTTTTATACAAAGCCCTCTAGAAAGTGCAGGCGTAAGAGATGCACAATGGTTTTTGATTCAAGACAACTTTTTTTCAGGTATCCATGGGGCAGGGAGGCATTTGAGAAAGCTAGGGCTGAGGATAAACTTATTTTCCTATCAGGTAGTCATTCAAAAAGTTGTTTTTATGATCAGTGGATGTCAGAAAGGTTTTTCCATGTAAAAGAAAATGTCCCAGCTCGCTCATTTCTAACCTATACAACATTTTTTATCAGCAACTGTTTTCACAGCTGGGATAATTATTTTGCTATCTTTGAACATGGTATGATTTTATGACATAAAAAGGGACAGTATTTTTTAAAAGTAGAAACTCAGTGTTAGGGAAACAAGAATATTTTTTATTCTTAATCTGTTTTTGAAACAATAGATTTTTTATTTAATGATTACCATAACATGAAGTATCAATAATGGAAAAAATCATATACAGTAAAACCTGTCTTAGTGAACATCTCTCTCTAGTGAACACCTGTCTCTAGTGGACACCCTTCCTACGCACATAGTCCACTGACTTCTGTATAAATTACCCTCTCTCTAGTGAACACCTACCTACAGTGAACGCTTTTTCTTGGCAAAAAAATGTTCACTATACACAAGTTTTACTGTATTTAGAAAGATGCAAAATTCTAAAAAATTCAGAATTGTGTGAATTCAGATTTGTTTAATACCTGATACATGATGTATATGATGTACATATATTTTAGTTGGGTATTCTACCTGTCATTGGTGTCATGTGATGGAACATGAATCATTTGAGGACCAGGAAATTGGAGATATTCTAAATGAATACTTTGTCAGCATTAAGGTGGACAGAGAGGAACGTCTTGATGTGGACAAAGTCTACATGACATTTATACAAGTAATACATATGGCAGTTATACAAGTTTTGCATGATTATTTCTGTATTTTCATGAATATTTCACGAGCTATTAAAATGGATAAATTTGCAAATCGAATATCTGTGAAGTCTGAATTTCCAAAACATAACATTCCCATTTCTTCGGCAAAGGGGATTTTATAATCTTCGTACAAATTCTTCATGGTAAAATCTTTTTGTGTAAGGCAAACTGTTAAATGGAACCTGAAGTGGGAAAACTGAATGCAGTAGACTTACTTTCCAGAAATTGCCAAATTAGTGAAAATAAATTGTAGTATCAATGGCAGAAAGTATTATACCATCAAATCAGCAGTACATGTAAAGTATGCCTTTTGCATCTGCATTGACTTCTAGAGATATCATTTGATTACTTAGAAACATGCAGATTTTACAGTCTCTTAACTTGTTTTACATATTTTTCAGGCCACATCAGGCGGAGGTGGTTGGCCTATGAGCGTGTGGCTGACCCCAGATCTAAAACCAATAGTTGGGGGCACATACTTCCCACCAGATGGAAAGTATGAGGGCAGACCAGGCTTCAAGACAATTCTGTTAAAGATTGCATCAGAAGTATGAATTATTTAACAAATTATGGTAATTGATGATATGCAAACATAGTGATACGTCAAAAATATTCAACCACCTCAATATTCCACAATTTTAACTTGGCACTATTTTAAGCATTTTGAAGTTTTGGTTCTATAGGATAAATTGTGACTTTGTGACTACAATTCATACAGATTTAAGTCTTCCGGAAATGTCATGTACATGTATCTTAATTTGTATCAGTCCTGTCTGATCTGCTATATACATGTATATATATCATCATGCATCCATATAAAAGTTTTTCAATAAAATATGATTATCCACTTTCCAGTGGGCCAAGGACCATAAAATAATATCAGAGAAAGGCACATCTATTCTTGACACTTTGCTACGTCATTCTGACATAAAACCTGTTCCTGAAACAGTTGTAGACATTAATGCCATCTATAAATGCTTCCAAATGTTCGATGCACAATTTGATAAAGACCTTGGTGGATTTGGAAAAGAACCTAAATTCCCGCAACCAGGTAAGTGACTGACTTCTCAGGAAGATTTGTATTAAAGAAATACTTTACAAATACTTACCAGTACAGTACCCATGTCCAGTGAGCAATTAAACAACACCCCCCCCCTTAACATGACATGAAAATAATACATAAAAAGATCTGGATTATACAGGACTATCCTTCTTTCCAGAATTATAGTAGATTTCTAGTATTATTTAAAGATTTGGATGTCCAGTAAGTATTAGATTTTGAGTAAGTATTAGATTTCCAGTATAAGTATTTCCATTTTACGAGTATTTCTTTTGTTTAATAAATCAAGGTTCATTTCATTGCTATACTTCATATTGGACAAGCTTAATGTCCATAAGTAAATAGAAAGTTCCATTTAGGGATATCTATCTTTGTAAAGATGTCATGTGTGTTTCTTGAGTGCACATGCACTGTCTCCAAGTTTTGCTCTAAACCATATCATATTCTTACCAGAAAGATAGAATTTTTATTTAAAATTATTTCAGTTAACCTCAATTTTCTGATGCGTCTTTATGCCTTCCAACCAGCATCTATTAAAGGAGCCGAATGTCTGAAGATATGTGGTCATACCCTCAATATGATGGCTAAAGGTGGAATACATGACCATATAGCTCAGGTTAGTTGAGCTGTTGTCCCAAGAACAGTGAACAGTGGACTGAACATATACATTGTATGTTAAAGAGAACCAGTCAAATTCAGTTGATTTAAACTAATAACCTACTCATAACCTACACAATATTTCCTGGTCTAGATTTTATGTGTTATGTAATTCTGGATGTTTGACTGAGTAGTCCACAACTTGTATATGCCGTGGTGTGTACTTGTATGTCTGTTTATCGGAGCACATAAAAGAACACAGGGCTCCTCCAAGGAGGGGATTCTGGGTCTGACTTTATGTATAAAATATGAAAATATGGAACATACCAATGCAAATAACAAAATATGGTGGTAACCAAAATACTATACTGTACAACACTTTATTAATTAATCAACCCTGTTTTGAGTTATTACTGTAATAACAGGAAATACCTGGGATATTTCCTGTTATTACATGTGCATGTACATGTGGAAAATATTATTGTCATTTGCACTACACTACAAGTATTACCTGAAGTAGAATTTAATGCATTACCAGGTTTTGATTGATTTTTCAATTCAAAAAATGAATTAATCAAACTTCTCAATTTTGAAAAAAGAGCAATGTGCAGGGAAATATGTTTTTTAATCAAATCAAACATTTGTTGTGAAATAGATAATTGTTTTTGTATTTTTTATTACATGTTTTAATACACCATTAACCACCCAAAATAATAAATCAACATATTGACTTTTTCTTTGAAGGGATTTCATCGCTACAGCACAGACAGGGAGTGGCACGTCCCTCACTTTGAGAAGATGCTGTATGACCAGGGGCAGCTAACGGTGGCGTATGTTAACATGTACCAAATAACTAAGGATGAAGCATTTGCAGAGATGGCTAGAGATATACTGATGTACATGCAGAGAGATCTGAGTCACAAGGTTTGCCACCTTACAAATGCCTTATAATCGGATATGAGCTCATATGCAATTATATTTATGAAACGGTACTTAGTCTCCCGTGGCTTTGATAAAGACAATGACTAATATCTTTAATTACAAATGATGGCATTGATAATTTTTGAATCATTATTTAGTCTCTTTTCTACAGATGTCATTGGTTATATTATAGATTACATATAATTATAAAAATAATGTGATAGTTCTTGTGGTCTTGATTTATTGAACAAGAACATCAGAATTATTTCATGGTTACCATGCACATACATGTATTTTGATATGTTTTTTTTTCTCTTAAGTTTATTTAGTCCTAAATTATTCTACCATTTGTTAGATAAAATGAATGAATGTTTTAGTACTACTTTGCCAGATAAATTTAATGTTGATAAATGTTGATTTCTTTCTTAATATCATTTTCACCCAGTCAGGGGGCTTCTACAGTGCTGAAGATGCAGATTCCCTACCTACTCACAATTCTGTCAAGAAAACTGAAGGTGCTTTCTGCGTATGGACTGAAAAGGAGGCTAGGAGCTTACTTACTGATGTAGTAGATGAGAGAAATAATATCACAATGGCTGATGTTGTGTGTTCACATTATAACATCAAACCTGATGGAAATGTTGATCCAGCAAAGGTATATACACTGATTTTCTTTTGCTTGTTGTGAAATATGGTTAAGTCCTGATTTTTAAGATTTCAGGCAATTATTCTGAAAAATTTGACATCCACTTTAATTAAGGATCTTTTCAGATTTTCCTGATTATATTGAAAAGATTTCTCTGCAACATTTTACACTCTATCAGCATCACAACAGATTCTTAGTCCTATCTACATTGAATTGATACGCATGTTCTAGGATGCACATGGGGATCTTGCAGGACAAAACGTGTTAATTGTGAGAGGTTCTGTGAACCACACAGCCATGCAGTTTGACCTCACCATACCAGAGACTAATGTTATACTTCACAAAGGCAGGAAGATTCTGCATGAGTCAAGGCTAAGCCGGCCAAAACCTCACTTGGACAATAAGATAATTACTGCTTGGAATGGTGAGTGAAACATCATTATAAATCAAGCGGTCAATAGAGGATATCAAGATCTGGAGCTGATTTACTTTTGGGCAGCCATCTTGTTTTCTGGTGGCCATTTATACATTGAATAACGATTTTCCTAAATAGGGTGTCAAATAAGTCCCGTCCCCCCTGCTACAGCTAAAACCTCAACAGACGGTACCTAGTGTGATATACCATTGGAAAGATCATCCAAAGTTATGTTAATTCAACAACTCTCAAGTATTTTGGATGAAATTTACCTATACTTTTATGATGTCTTTTATAGTTAATGTGCCATCCTTTAAGTAGCTTTTTTGCATCAAAATGACAAGGATATGACCTCAGAATTACGTCAAAAAGTTAATCTTTTTCGCATTCCACTTGTTACAAAAAGGTTTCACCACTTTCCTTGCACCTCTATTTTCTATACATCTAACCCTATCCAGAAATTGGTTAAATTCATCGCCATAAACATATTTAGTCATCTTTTGGTCCCTTGACCTTTCTTATACTCGGTTCTTAAAATCCTGCCAAATACGCCAAATTGCCATGTTTCTAGGCATATGGTCACCTCAATTGATACAATGTAAAAATTTGTGAGATTGATTGACATGTGGCAGATATATGCCTATCAACGTAACTTTGGAAGACCTTTCCAATGATATATCACACTTGGTACCAAATATCTTGGTTTTGGCTGTAGAGGGGGGGAGGGGACTTATTTGACACCCTTTTATATACATTTGTATATTTTATATATTTTGTATATTTTTGTCGTGTTTGCGTTTAGTAATCTCAATTCATTTACTTTATCTTAGGTCTTGCCATATCAGCATTTGCAAAAGCTGGCGCAGTGTTAGGCCAGATCGAGTACATTGAAAGAGCAACAGAGGCCGCACGGTTTCTACAGCAACACATGTACAATTCGGAAACAGGCGTCTTGCTTAGGAGCTCCTATGTCGACCAGGATGGAAATATTGCTCAAATGTAAGTTCACAGTGATCTATATATGAGATTTATATCCACAGAAAAATATAGATATTATACGTAACTACATGTAGTATATATATGCATTGTGTGAGTTTGTAAATGGAGCATTATAAGTCACATTTGATGAAACAATGACAAGAAATGGAACACTTGGGAGTAATTCATGAATCTTTGAAAAGAAATTCTCGATTTTCACCACCAGAAAATGATATGATGTCATGCTTGGTAGCCATTTTTGCTTTAAGGTATTATATTGTTCAATGTGTGGCTTGTTGAATTTCAGTCCCAACCCTATCAATGGCTTTGCAGATGACTATTCTTATTTGATTCGTTCACTTTTGGACCTTTATGAAAGTTGCTATGACATCAGTTGGCTTGAATGGGCAGCTAAGCTCCAGAGAACTATGGACTCACTATTCTGGGACAAGGAATTTGGTGGCTACTTTACCAGTGCAGCTGATGACAGCTCAATTGTGATGAGGCTAAAAGAAGGTGCAAAATTTAAAACTGCATAAATATATACAAATATATATAGTATAGTCTGGTTTAACATACATGTAGTAAAATCAAACCGTATTGTCATTATAAGGTACATGCAGCCTAAATTATTAGTTTTCAATCTAATGCGGACTACATTTGTAATTTTGTATGTAAGACTAATAAGACGGATCAGCTCAGTTACTTGTATTCTACCATTAGAATAACAGAGAACTATGTTCTCATTTTATAATGCCTTTCACTGATACAAAGGTTCCTCAAACTGCCTGAAGAGGCTAATTTTGATCAAAGCCAATTAGAAACAAAAGTAGTCCAGCTTCAGCATTGAAACTTGGCTGGTGAAATCCTAAAATCTGGAATCAGATTGATTATATTGGGGTAGTGACTGCTTCTATTTCTAGTTCAGTAAAGCAAATGGAATGCCTCTACTGTAAGTGCTCATAAAACATCTCCATAGATAAAATGGAACACCTGCCAATTAAGTGGAATACTTTCCATAAGTGGAAGTCCTTTTACTTATTAATTTAATATGAAATGAATCTCTATAAGTTGAACACCTGCCAAGTGGAACACCTTTCATAAGTGGAAGTCCTTTTACTTATTAATTTAATATGAAATGAACCTCTATAAGTTGAACACCTGCCAAATGGAGCACCTTTCATAAGTGGAAGTCCTTTTACTTATTAATTTAATATGAAATGAACCTCTATAAGTTGAACACCTGCCAAGTGGAACACCTTTCATAAGTGGAAGTCCTTTTACTTATTAATTTAATATGAAATGAACCTCTATAAGTTGAACACCTGCCAAATGGAACACCTTTCATAAGTGGAAGTCCTTTTACTTATTAATTTAATATGAAATGAACCTCTATAAGTTGAACACCTGCCAAATGGAACACCTTTCATAAGTGGAAGTCCTTTTACTTATTAATTTAATATGAAATGAACCTCTATAAGTTGAACACCTGCCAAGTGGAACACCTTTCATAAGTGGAAGTCCTTTTACTTATTAATTTAATATGCCAAATGGAACACCTTTCATAAGTGGAAGTCCTTTTACTTATTAATTTAATATGAAATGAACCTCTATAAGTTGAACACCTGCCAAATGGAACACCTTTCATAAGTGGAAGTCCTTTTACTTATTAATTTAATATGAAATGAACCTCTATAAGTTGAACACCTGCCAAATGGAACACCTTTCATATGTGGAAGTCATTTTATTTATTAATTTAATATGAAATGAATCTCTATAAGTTGAACACCTGCCAAGTGGAACACTTAAAGATACCAAAGCCATTACAATCCCACAGATTTGAATGTGCACCTCTAACTCAATGTTTCACAGATGCAGATGGTGCTGAGCCAAGTGCCAACTCTGTGGCTGCCAGTAACTTGTACAGACTTTCACACTACTTCAATGACGCTGGGTACAGTGCTAAGGCACAGCAGATTCTCAATTTATTTGCAGACAGGTTGCTTTTTTTCTTATTTCTTAAATAACTTAACAATAACTTAACTTTGCAATAAACTGAGGTTTTGTACCAGTACATAGATATTTCATTTCAAAATTGGAAAAATTATACTTCAATATGTCATTACTAATATTCAACCACTCTCCAGATCGATTTAAACTGAATGCTAACTGATTTTTTGACTGCTGTTTTTTATATAAAAAATAATTTCTTTTATGATAATTGAGTCTTAATGAACCTCATTTTGTTCCAGGCCTCACACACCATGCCCGATTTGGACTAAACTTAAATAATTATCAATCAATTACTTTTTGCCATGTTCTTTGCTACCATTATATGTAATTACTAATAATTTTTTAAGGTTGAATGTGATCCCTATGGCACTACCAGAGATGCTATGTTCCCTCTTCTACTCTCTGGAGACACAAAAACAGGTATTACAAATGATTTTAGACAAGCATATCTTTAACCATAGTATTTTTAAAAAAACATTGTTAAAGATTTCATATTTTGTTTAAATCAATATAAAAAAAAGTGGAATGGATACTAGGTAAACTAAAAATAATTCATTTCAAATATTAAAACAAATTGATTATTCTCTTATATGTTTTTGTGCTAGGAATTATTAACCATTGTGTCTTAAGATAATCAATTCCATAAAGTACAACAAATTAATTTAGTTATGTTAATATTCATTTATTTATTTTGACTTACACTTTTCTAATAGTGACACTCTTGCCTGTAAAGGTATGTCAAGTTATACATATAATGATAAAACGAATATTTAATAAATTACACTAAGAGCATTCATTTGGAATATTTACTGTATGGTAACTGTTTTTAAAAACCTTTTATAAAACATTTCTTATATTATTCTTTACTCCTCGTTCTTTTCCCCCATAATTTCAAAGATATCACTCCCTCACAGATATTTTAGTTTTTCTTTGAAGAAAGAAAGATGAACTACCTACTTAAAGAGCAACATATTTGAAAGATATCTCTTAAAATTCTAACCTTTCATTTTTAAAGGGAGGGCATTACATATAATGAATCATGTATAGAATCTTTAGTGTCATTACATTTCCAGTGAGGACAAATACAATTACTTTACTTTAAACGTTTATTGTTCTCCTCTAGGTTAAAGCAACCAGTTCTTGCCATAAATTTTAACCCTGGAGCAGAAAAAATCAGTGTAATTTTGTAAATAGTTCTCTTTAAATGTATGCATGATCTGAAGCACTGTATGTTTTGAGGCATGTTCTCTCATCTACAGGTTTAAAACTCTGTATTTTCATTTCATTTGAGATCTTTAAAATAAAAAAACATCAAAAACAAAAATTGGTGTATCATGCTGTTTGTTGGAAAACTGTTTTTGTTGCAGATTATAATACAGGGGGACCCAAAAGTAGATACAACAAAGAGACTATTAGAGGAAGTGCACCAGCACTATATTCCAAACAAAGTCTTGATTGTTGCTGATGGAAATAAGGACAACATCCTCTGTGAAAATATACCAATTTTGAACAGTATGAAAAGTAAAGATGGCCAAGCAACTGCTTATGTATGTGAAAACTATACATGTGCCCAACCCGTGAACACCGCTGAGGAATTACACAAGCTTCTGATTGAGAAATCATGATTGTTCCAAAAGCCGATAATGATTTTAATAAATGTATTTATTGATAGAAATATAATTATTATGTGATAAATGAGGTTATGAATCAGTTCTTAGAAACAATGATTCACCATCAAAATAATTGATCTCCAGAAAAATATCTCATTTCATCTCATTACATTGCGTATTGAGGTTTTAGTAACTCTATCTGCTTTATCTGGCTTAATCAATTATCTAGTTTTGCCAAGATGTAGGCTGCTACACAGAGATTTTTATAAAATTTAATACTTTTATTTTGTTACTTTACTTAAAATCATGGATTTGAAAAGTATAGGGTGTCCGCTATATAAGCAACTCCCTTTAAGTCATATATTCTAGACTTACTAGTATGCAGATGTGTTATTGTTCGCACCATTGTAACATATTAACTTTTTAGCACCACTGCGAAGATTAAACAAATACCATTGGTTTCTATGAGAACTAAAATTGGAAATGCATTTTTCTCTGAACCACTTTTATGCATAGTATTAGATGCGTTCATTGCTTATTTATCAACTACTTCTCTAAATTCAATCTTCAAAAGACAATTGAGGATGAATGCTATGTATTGGTGTGAACTATTGGATATTAAAGCATGTGTGAGCTCTAAAATTTCTTTTTGAATAGATTCCAAATTTTTTAACCTATACAGCTGTTGGTCCTCCAAAAAACACTTTTTGAAATTTAAAAACTAAGTTTCACATATCACATTTTGATCATATTGGGTAAGACTACAATATAAGCCAAAGTGGTTTAAACTTAAAAAAACAAATTAGGTCTTGTACATATGTTTCTATTTTCGCATACTGTTGTAATGTGGTTCTTTAATTAATTTTATGATTCAAAGTTGTCAATGAAATTGAATCTGACTACATGTTATCATAACCATGCTTGAATTAGCGAATGCAAATAAAGGCTGTCGGCTACCGGATTAACCGGGTAACTCATTTAGATACGAATACTACCTGCCTTTATTCCATTGATATTTAAATGCGTTGGTTATAAAATAGTAGTTAATCCTGTAGCCGACAGCCGTTAGTTGCATTGCCGAATACAAGCTAAGTTTTTTTTTACCAAAACGCTGTTATACTCTAAGAGCAAGGAGGAAAATTCTTCATAAATGGTGTATAGTTGGTTTGGCAGCATTTTCAGTTAGGGGAGAGTCTCGGATGAAACTTCCATAAAGGTGATAGCTTCCCAAAGTTGTAGAGTTACGAAAGGTATAGCTATGAACCACTTTGAATCATACAAACCTATAATTGGAGATACTAGCTAATAGCTGTGTTACTCATACCTAATAAGTCAAATTTAGTCGAAGGTGAAGTCTCTCTCCAGAGAGAAAATGAAACATTAGGGTTAGCCTACCTAACAATGCAATCTACTAAATTATCACTTGATTTTCTGAAATTTAATTGGAGACAATCTTCAGAACCTAACGGGTTGTAATAATTAAAAGTAACCAAAGGCTTCGAAAACCAAGTGAAATCTACTGTTTTTAAGGAATCCCTACTCCAATGGAATTTATTTTAGAAATACTTGAAGTAACATGATTTGACCAATTTTTGGATGGAGTTTCAACAAGTAGAATTCTGTAACGTATTTTCAAGCTTAGTATCTGTAAATTATAAAGCGAATAAATTAAGCTAATTTGGCGGCTATCTTGAACTTCAAATGTCTCCCATCTGGAATATGTAGAGAAAGGTATCAGCTTAAGATCTACAGATTTCAGACAGTCATATGTTGGATTTTGGCTATTTTCTGAGGATTTCAACAGGTGCATATTTATTTTTATTTATTTATTTATTTCGACTTACACTTTTAAAACAGTGGCTCACATATATGTTAGGCCAATTCATTAACTCCAGGACACGGACTCATAGAGATGATAGATAATTTGTACTTTGAGACAATTTTTCAAAATCATCTAGAAGTTCTTACAAGTTCAAATCTGACTTTAGATTTGACATTCAATTACATTCTCCATGTAAAAACAAGGCACATGACGTGAACGAGATCACACCATCAAAAAATGGCTGCCAGAATTAAATGGCTGCCCAGAAGTTAATCAGCTCTAGAACTTGATATCCTCTATCCATCATAATTAAGTATCATGTGTGCGAATTTGGAGACAATCTGACAAGCGGTTTTACTGGGATGGCGATGACAAGATTTTTCGGAAAATCTTCAAAATGGCCGCCAGAAAACAAGATGATCGCCCAAAAGTTAATCAGCTCAAGAATTTAATATCCTCTATTATGTGTGCGAATTTGGAGGAAATCCGATGAGCGGTTTTCCTGAATTGGTGATGACAAGATTTTCCGAAAAACCTTCAAAAAGGCCACCAGAAAACAGGATGGCCGCTCGAAAGTTAATCAGCTCTAGAACTTGATATCCACTATCACGAGTGCGAATTTGGAGAAAATCTGATGAGCGGTTTTCCTGAAATGGTGAAGACAAAAAACCAGAGCGATCACGATCACGACGACTATGACGACTATATCCCACCGGTGGTGTGTTAAAAATATTTGACCTTCTCAGGGTCAAGAAGGTCTTTTTACAACTTGCTTCAAATTGATCAATTTTTATTTTCAAAATCATCTACAAGTTCTCAGAAATTCAAATCTGACTTTAAATTGAACTAATTCTATTGGGAGCAACTAGGTGGTGACATTTTGTCATGTTAATGCCTTGTATATGTCTCTACAAGAGCGTAGGTTGAAATCAAAGCAACAGGGGACATAATATACAGGTATCATTCGAATATCATCGGATTTTATTTTTCATATGGATTGCTCCAGTTGTACTATAACCTGAAACCTAAAAACGGTGATGTGATACTATCGATAAAACCACTAAAACCCTCTAAAGGATAGGTATCGATATGGTGAACTGAATTAAACAATGTTTTTCTCTTAAACCAATTATTGAAAACATTCTGTAAAAAACACGTTTACTGATTGACAACAATTTAATTTATATATATTTTATATAACTGTTTTTGTTAAAAAAAAATTGTTTTTAGTGCAATCGGTTTTTGTTCCTTTCTACCAATTCTTGGGAATGAAATAAAATGTCTTTCCAAACCTTGTTGGAACAAAATTGCAGATACAACATTTTCTTAGACCTCTCAATATTATATAGTTAGGGATAAAAATCAAAAGACTTATCTAGCTTTCATCGATATATCGAAAGCCTTTGACGTTATTGACCGTGAACAAGTCTTTATATCTCTTTGGAAGAAAGGAATCCAGGGCAAAGCCTGGCGTGTATTGAAAAATCTATACGCATGTGTCAAAAACAAAGTTATATTTGGTAATTTTGGTAGTGAATGTTTCGAAGTTGAATCTGGCCTAAAACAGGGATGTGTACTCTCACCTACTCTATTTACTGTAATTATGACCGATTTGATTGACAGCCTGATCGAAAATGATATGGGTATCCCTTTCAAAGATCTAACTCTACCCGCATTGCTTTTTGCAGATGACATCGTCCTCACAGCTACCAGCGAATCTGATCTCTGTAGAATGCTTGATATTACAAACGAATTTGGTAAAAAATGGGGGTTTAGTTTCAGCTCAAAAAAGTCTCAAGTTATGATCATAGGTGGAAAAGTTAACAAACATAAAGTTTGGAAGCTTGGTGAGCTCTCCCTCAATGAAGTAAAAACATATAAGTACCTTGGCATTTATTTTGACAAAACACTGAAAGACTCGCACCATATTAATAATATTCTTGGTTTAAAATCAAAAAAGCTCAAAGGTTACATAACCTCAACCCTCAACAAACATTGTAATATCCAACGAATTCAATATGGTAACACCATGTATAATAACATGTTCCTTCCTTCAATATTACATGGAGCAGGAGTCCTCCTTCCAAACACAAGCGAAATGAAGAAAAATTTAAAGTCGTATCAATACCAAGCTGGTTTATCCATTCTTAGCCTTAAGTGTTCCCCAGCTTATGAAGCCCTTGTCTGTGATATGGGCTGGCGTCCAATTGAAAAGATCTTTCAAAAACGTCAAATTGACTATTTCTGCTACAGTATCTAAAGAATAAGAACTCACAAACCCTAGTATCAAAGGTTTTATCTGCCCTCTTGGAATCATATTCAATAAATAAAGAATCTAATTGGAAGTATGTTTCTAACATAGCAAATATATTAGTGCTCCATGGGCTCGATAATAAATTGAATGTTAATTCTGAAGAATGGTACTCATCCTTTCTCAATATTTCCAACGAAATTACTACTAAGGAATTGTTTTCATCAATTTGCAACCGGCCATCCCTATCCCTTTATAGAAATGTTAAGAGACATGTCTTTCATGAAGAGTACCTAAAAAACCCATTCAACTTCCAAGGAGCAAGACAAAAATTCTTAGCCAGGTCGGGTTGTTTTAAATTAGAATCAGACCTTAAAAGGTGGAATAAAAGTGATGGCTTTTGTAAATTAGGCCCCTCCAATTCTTATGACTCTATGTCCCATCGCCTGTTCCTTTGCCCCGTCCTCCAGGATAAAAGAAACCTATTCATTAACAATTTAATCTCTTCATGTGACGTTGCCCTTGTAGGTGAATACTTATCAGCGAGCCTTAATGATAAGCTACAATGGATTATTGGTGATTCACTTTACATAGGGACATGGGGGCAGGACCAAATAAATAAATTTGAGAAATGTGTTTACGAATTTTTAAAGGAAATGTATTTTTAATGATTTTAACCTATTGTATGTATGTATTTTAGTCTCTTTGGATGCACACTAAAAAGTAGTGCCGCTGTTGTAAAAGCGTTTTATCCTAATAAATAAATAAAAAATAAATAAATAAAAATATACAAAGGAAATTTTGGTTGATTTAAGAAAAAGTATCCAAAAAATTAAAACAAAACCCCGCTAAAACAGATAGAAATTTCATTAACAAAAAACTTTTTTAAAATCAACCAAAATTTCCTTTGTACAATTACAATATTGAGAGACCTAAACACGTTGTGTTTATGTCATTTTGTTCCAATGAGGTTCGGAAAGATGTTTCATTCCGAACACAATTATGATACCAAGAACGAAAGAAGCGTCTGATGTGTTTTCTAAAACAATAAAGAGAAAGTACAGTATGTATATATTTTTATCCCATCGAACGAAGTTCGGAGGGATATAGGGAACGCCTCCGTCCGTCCGTCCGTCCGTCCGTACGTACGTCCGTCCGTCCGGGCAATAACTCAAATACCGTTGGCCCGCTTTTGTTCATATTTTGTACACATATACCCTATGGGGGTAGAAGTTCTGCTCGAAAGCCGATTTTCAAAATGGCCACTCATTTCAAAATGGCGGCCATTTTAGTGACGATTTTACAGTAATTTAGGTGCAATATGTAAAACTGTAATAGCAATATGTTTTAAATGTAAAAAAATTATAAAGGACATTAATGAAGCTAGAAATGTAGATATTAAAGAAACACATGGCAGCCATCTTGAAAAATGGCCGCCTTTACTCGTCATTTTACGATTTTTGCTGTAACTCAAAAAGTAGTGGAGCGATTTTGTTCATATTTGGTATGTGAATTCTATAAGCATTGCACACTGTCTAAAGACACTTTTGGTAGAAGGCGGCCATTTTTCAAAATGGCCACCATTTTAACGTATTTTACTATAACTCAAAAAGTAGTGGAGCGATTTTGTTCATATTTGGTATGTGAATACTATAAGCATGGCACACTGTCCTCTGACACTTTTGGTAGAAGGCGGCCATTTTGAAAACAATTTTGATTTACTATAACTCGAAAAGTAGTGGAGCAATTTTACAAGTACGTGTGCGATTTTTCCAAAATTTTAGAGGTGGCTACTTAAAAGCATATTATTTCTTCTGGTGACAACTTGGCTAGTGAGCAACCATTTTGAAAATGGTGGCCTTTCTGGTGTGTTGTTTTATGATATTTGCGATTCGTTTGTAAAAATGCCAGCCATTTCTGTTCGATGGGATTCGCTACGCTTTGGCGTTGCCGTTGTTCTGGTTTTCAAATTATATTGTTATCATTAAATAGATGACCATTAAATTGACGATTTGTAAATTTTTTTTAGAAATGTTGATGACTGGTTTAAAGTCCCCGTCTAAAGTTTGAAAATATTTATCATTCATTTACTATTTGTCATGACTTAAAAAGTTAGTTTAGAGATTTTTGAAAAAAAAATATTTTGAAAAAAAGTTGTGAGCATTTCAGTTCTCAAATATTCAAATTTCCCGTCATTTTTCAAAAAAAGTTGAAATTTTTTAATCATCAAATATTTCTTAATGCATTTCAAAAAAGATTATCTTTTTAACACCAAAGCAAAGATTTAACAAAGGACACTCTATTTCAATAATAAAGTGCCATACTTAATGGGCCACTTCAATGTTTTAGCATATAAAAAATATTTTGAAACATTAGTGATGTCACTAAGGTAGCAAAAACCATTTTCATGCACTGATGAGTTTATTTCTCGCTTATTTATGAACCGATTTTCTTAATTTTTTCGGCAAAAACATGCGAGGATGAATGCTATGCATTGTTGTGAATTTTGGCTAATTAAAATATATGTGTGACCTCTAAAAGTTAGTTATAAATAAATTCACAAATTTTGGAACAAAAAGTCTATCAAAAACCACTTTTTGAAATTAAAAAAAAGTTTCACATATCACACTTTGATTACATTGGGTAAGACTACAATATAAGCCAAAGTGGTTTAAACTTTATATGGGGACTTTAAGAGAAACGTGTGTTCAAAAAGTTCACCATATCGATACCAATCCTTTAAATTGATCTTTGGACTTCCAACTTTATTTTCTTTTGTACATGCACTGATTCCACCATTTTCGCATAGACCCGGATTGGCAGCAAATGACATCAACTTTTTAATAAATCTTCTTGGAGAACATGTCATCTGGTTGGATACACCCTTTGCCCCCGCTTTTGCCTCTGATCTTTCAATCAAACTCCCAATTTGAAATCTGCGAACACTGGCAAAACAGTATCGCTTTTTATATCGATATTATCGCAGTAATATCTTAAGGGCATTGGTTCTTTATTTCTCCATCTAATTTTATGTTCAAATCCCAGGGTAGGTTGTGTTCCACTTTTCAAAAAGTGGTGACATTGTTATGGTCTCCGTTATTGACGGCGGTTAGTGGTTGGCGGTTGGCGATCGGTGTCTGTAACAAAATCAAAATCATCTACAAGATATCAGAAGTTCAAATCTGAAATTAGTTATAAGATTTGACCTTCAATGACCTTCACCTTCAATGACCTTCTCAAGCTTCAAATTGACCAATATTTTTTTAAAACCATTTACAAGGTTTCAAAAGTTCAAATCTGACTATATATTTGACCTAAAATCAAAAAACATTTGACCTTCAATGACCTTCTCAAGGTCAAAAAATTATTTTTTCAATTAACTTGCTTTTATTGACCAATTTACATAAATTGAACGAATAATATTGTGAGCAACAAGGTGACATTTTGTCATGTTAATGTAGTGTTCAACTGTTACTCTGATTTCAGCAACACACAGGAGCTTGTAAAACTTTGGAGTCTGTCAGAATATAAAACATATTACTAGGAAGAAATTAACACATAATTGAAACGGAAACGTTTTTACTCGTAGAAGGCCAAGTGGATAACTTAGAAATGAAAAAGTAATTTGGTTCTAATCAAAATACTCTTCTCATGAGCTTTACGTTTCCCTAAAGTTTTGTTTCTAAATCATACGGCAAAGGCATACAAAATACAGTCCAGAAATCAGGATCCTCAAAATAAATGAACCACTAGTCACTGCTTTTACTGGTTGTTTACTAGTGCGTAATATATGCAGAAAGATAAACAAGTGGAACGTGAGATTAGCACCAAGGGAATCATCAACGTATAACCGTGAACAAAACCGAAGCAGCAAAAACGACGTTAAAGTGTCACAGTTAGATTTAATTGCTTCGCAACAATCGTAGTACAGCATGATAGAACTCCATTCACGCGGAATAACGGCGATCAGTGTCAGGCGAACCTAGATTTCTCTTAAATACAACTAATTCGCCAAAGAAAATTTGAACTAAATTCATCTCACTTTGACTTTTAGTACGACTGGAACAATCCATATGATGATCTTCAATGACATTCACTGCGCCTAAAATTTGGGATTTCGAAACCCACGTGTGAGATTTCATAGACTATCATCATCTATTATTGCCCCGCTTATCCAAAGCAATATATAGATCTTTGAATGGTTAGAATCATTATCAGTTAATAAATCCGCTGCAATTTCGTGTCCGGATGGATTTATCGCAAAATAAATCACAACCACTCGAAACTTGAAAAATAGAATTCGACAATTTGACATTGGAAAAACAAATATTGTATTGGAAATGTATTAATCAGACGATGCAATCTCGAGTATTTCGTTGATATATTGGTGATACTTTGGAAGATAGTATTGAAGAAGTCGGCATAAACTTTTAGTGCTCGGTATGGTATCTCCTCAAGTGTTCTACCGTGTTGGTCTAACACTACTGATCGGTAAGTGTTTTACATTTAAGTGTTTTTCAGTTTTCACGGTAAAAATAGTAGGGAGTTTAAGCTTGCAGTGTTTTCCTCAACCTAAAAGCAAACGGACAATATTGAAGCGAAGCGTGCATTTGTATGGGCGATTGGTCATTATTATGGTCATACGTATAAGTTGGCGTTTTGATTTTATATGCAAGCTTAAACTCCCTATTCTCTTCATGAATACATTAATTAATACATCTATTGGTCAACGGTTCATGTATATGCAATTTTATATTGACCTGGATCCCTACAGTATAAATCATAATTATTAGCTTCGGACAATCAAAGAGTCCATAGATTACACATATTAGGCGGCTTTAGTTACAAATGGAAACTGATGGGAGTCATCTATTGATCTCTATTTGGTCATTTGTTTGGTTTGTTGTGCCGTTCCATTCATTCGACTTCGGTTCGATATCTTGTGTATTTATATAATAGGGAGTTTAAGCTAGCATGCATATAAAATAGAAACGCCAACTTATACGTATGACCAATCGCCCATAGAAATGCATCGCTTAAATATTTTCCGTTCACGTTTAGGTTGTGAAAAACAACTTGCAAGCTTAAACGCTCCCTATGATAGCTTATTATTTCACGTCAAGATAAAAAATGTCAGGCCTATTCTTAGATGGATTAAAACATTACATCGACGTGTGGTATTCAGAAACTAGATGGTGAAAATTCGGACAAACGAAGATGGTAAGCAAGAAATGAAAGTATGAGGTCATCTCTAAGCTCTGACCTGCACTTTCTTCATTTCTTTGTCATTTTAGGAAATTACTCCCCTATAGTTTAACATTTGTAAATCATTCAATTTCCTATCAGCCTCTAGAAATTAATGACCATCAGACTGATAGTCAAAATGTTACAGCACTTTGAACAACATGCTCTAGGTGTGGCCATCATTGCGGAGGATATCGCCACGATATACTCCGGAAAACCAATATGCGGAGGATATTGCGACAACATTCAAACATTTTCATACATTAAGTTCACTTAGTCATGGGCTTTCAATAGAATGAAAGATAGAATCGAGAACACAAAAAATTCTCACCGAACTTGCTGAACACAGGTAGTTGTCCATTTTTACATTGACGTTACGTCAAACTAGTAAGGAAACAGTGTGGTTGTGGCCAGGGTCACGAAATGCCACGGATCCAACATTTTCTTTTACTGGACATACTTTAATTTGCATAACTATTCGATACATAAGGGATATATGAAAATTGAACCACTAAAACAGATGTAATTTCAGTTAAAGGGAATTTTTTACTATACGCGCCATGCTATCTGACCCGAACGAGCCACCTGGTGGTGAAACTGGTAACTACCTACTCGCATTTGCGTTATTATAGACCGTAGTTATTCAAAAAAGTAATCTCTGAGCTCAATCAACAAGTTGTACCAGTTATATATGAAAGTAGTTGGGTGTCACCCGTGAGCTCAACAATTGCAAAGCCAAATCAAGCTGATATCACTCATCAACCATTTCCGCTCTTTTATTAATCATGTAGAAATATATGGGCTTGAACTTTGGCTCTAACTTACTACTGTAGAAGAATCTCTCTTTTAAAAAGGTGAGATCCAACCATTCATGAACACAACGAGAAACACTATATAATAAACATCAATACGACGAGATAATAGATTTATTATCCAAATTGAATAATAACTAATAAGATCTGTTACTGCTGAATAACATTCTGCCCGGGATTTGTTATTAATCATATAGAAATGTCTTATCCGAACAGCTTACATGTACGTATTATCCGTTGCGGCCATTAACAATTTTACATATCTAATTAGCTAAGTAAATAAACATGCGTCGACACAGTCGCAGTTGACTATGAAAAGTTCAATCATCAATCTTATTTTTATTTTCTTGATTTAAAGATTTATTATGTTTAAAAAAGAAAATGTTTGATTTTTAAGTTCAACCTTTAATTCTTATTATTAAGAACGCGCATGCAAATTCGCCAACCATGTACATTGTTTGCAGTCTGCGCAATTTAATGTAAATCATTGTATATTTTTCGATATACTGTAATACTATTCATTATTTGTAAAATTGAACCGAATATAATCTAAAATTAATCAGCTTTAAATACATTGTATGTCATAAAAGTTGCCTTAAAACAATACAATTCGTGCGTTTGTAAATGCTCTAAAGCCCCGCTAGTATATGAACGAATCCTAAATCAAATTCAATAGACTAAGAGCTGGTCTACTTTTGAACAGTCACTTTTATTCTCATAATTTCCTGTCGGTAACAGATCCCAAATGTCAATGTGGTGAAAAATTTCAAACCACTGAACACTTTTTAATCAAGTGTCCACTGCTCCTTAATGAACGTGAAGTTCTTCTTGCAGGACTATCAGACTTGGACTGTTTACGAGATTTTGAAGCATACTCAATTCAAAGGAAAACACATTTTCTATTAAATGGAGATGAAAATTTGGACTTTGAAACAAATGAAAAACTGATTGAAATCACTGCTCACTATACATTTCAAGCTATACTAAGTCTGGGACAGGGTAATTTTTAACATTTGAGCTTGATACCACAACTTGGTACTGGGGAACAAGCAAACCAAACATCAACAAAAAAGAAAAAGCTTCTCTGAACATTTTGTGTATTTCTGAATATCAATTTTTATTTATCAAAATGTTTCAATTGCCGATAATGTTGTCCTGTCAACAATGGCAATTTGTAAAAATGTAACCGATTGATTTTTAGAAATAAATATGAAGTATGTAAAAAAAAAAACGAATCCTAAATAGAAATGAGTAAAATTCGTTCCCATTAGTGTGTACACGTTCTACACCGAGACTTCTCCTTTAAATCAAATCAGTCCACTAGTATGAGTTAAGAATGGACAGAGGGACGGATGGGATAATTAAGATATTTCAAAACCAGTGTCATTCTTCTATGCATACATCAATCATACAATAATCATACATAATGTTCAATCATACAAATCGCAGTCAGTGATTGTTCTCCACACTCACCCCTCCCCCTTCCTGACATGAACTATTTTGTAAAACCATTGACAGTGTGGAAAGGATTCTTACACTCGAGTGTCAAGGGGGGGGGGGCAGTTACAGAAATATACAAGGCGATGGTTCAAATTGGACAATTTTCAAAACTGTTCAACATGGTGAAAACTTCACGTTTTTAAAGAATGCTTGCCCGGCGAGTGGTTTGCTCTGGATTGCGAGAGAACAAAAACTTTGAGTTAGGATTTTTCCTAATACTATCATTAATCTAAACAACTTTTTAAACCGTCTCTGACTACATATCATGCCAATTAATACCATTATTGTGTTGACAGGATTAAATATGATATCTATGGAATTATAATTTAATGAACTCAATAGTCTAAATGATAATAAGTTCATAATTTAGTCTTGGTTGACTAGTCTTGCATCATCAGAGTTGGATTGCAAATACCTCCCTAAATCAAATATTTAAAATTTACAAATTTACTAGTGTAACGGGTGGGGAAACAAGTCTCCATCCAACCACTAAAGTTTAAATATACTACATACTATAGTGTCCCGTGAATTCATTATAATTATCTTAGACAATAGTGAAGCGGTACAATCATTGGAGTGTTAATTAATCGGAATGCAAGTTTGATTTAAAATAACTCCTTTGGATCAAATATTTAAATTCTACTAGAATGCGGGGAGTGGAAACAAGTCTCCATTCAAGCACTAAATATCAAAAGAAAGATTTCAGTACCCCTTAACTTCACTCCCGGACTTCACTATTCACCACCACCCCTCCCTCTTCCCCAAATATCCCTTATGACCCCAGAATGTTCTGACCTTTGATTGTGTATTAAGTTGAGCTGCACGCCAAACGTTAAGATTGTTAAAACGCTTAAAATAAAATTTTATTCCTCTCAATTTACATAAAAATGAAACATATTAGATTCGAATCTCAGTCACACCAGCACCACTGGTCAACGGAAGTACAAATATCTATATTAATCAAATGTCTGAGAATTTGATAACTGTCTGGGATCCAATGTTAAATTTTATTGAAGCAAACTAAGAAAAGTATAAAGATGAATTTTAAACGTATAGAGGGAAAAGTCAAATATGCATTGTAACCCTAAAAATAATTCATTAAAGTGTCGTACACATTTATAACATTATATAAATAAAACAAATAAAGCACAACCCTAATGCCCTATAATGAATTCATATCGGCGCTAAACGGCCCTTGCAATAAAAACGCATCGAAGCAGGGAATGCTTGGAAAATTCTTCCGAGACTGACTTTTCAAAAATGTTTATATGATGATTGCGTTTGCTTCTCACGAGTTCATTGAAACGTTCAGTCGTAAAACTTTAGAGATCAAAAGACTAATTAGGCACCTGATTGCGAAAGTTTGATTGCATTTCGATCGCCGGGATTTTACAAACGTATTGTTTAAGTAGCGATCGTGTTCTTGGAATCTTGATAACTTCCTATTTTAAGTTTTGGGTTGAAAGCAATGAGTATGTCGGACTTTCTCAAGTCCACATAATGAAACAATATCCCTTTATATTAGCCCAATCGGAATTTGCATAAACATACCAGTTTTATATTGCAAAAAGAACTGTAATTAATAGCCTACATAAAAGCATCATGCTAAATAAAACATTAAAGCATATATAAAGCCTATTGTTATCGCACCCATCGCACCCCCCCCCCTCCTGGCTACGCCTATGGATATTTATGCAACTTTCACGTTTACCCCGCCCCCTAATAATTCTTGCGCCCCCTCTAAATATCAGACCCGTCAGGCGTTGAGGCGTTGAGGCATTGATCAGGATACCCTGACTCCCAAGCTGTGCGACTTCTGGCAACCGCTACACCTATATTCCCGGGGAAAACGCTTTTAGAAAAATTGTCAAATATGGTCGTGTGTGGGCAAACGCCGAGGAGGAGGAGAGGGGTGCGTGCATTGTGTGCGACCCTTCATCAGTTGTGTACCTTATTTTTTTATGAATTTCTTCCGAATAGTTATGCTAGAGGGGTTCTGATATTTATTTCTGTTTTCAAATGAAATAATTTCACCCTTGCCCGACTGACTTGTAGATAATGCACGAATCAAATAGCATGGGGATCAGATAATCAGATTGATTCGTATTTTCGCAATCAGATGAATTAACTTATTGTTTTCTCTGATTAAAAGGCGGTTTGGAGCTACTTTTACAGGATTTGTAAATTCGCAATCAGACTGGCTTATTTTAATATTTAGTCAGTGCAAGAGGAGGGACTATAAAGTAGAAAATTGTTTTGATTTCGACACAAACTGAATAATTTATCACAATTGTTAAATAAGCAAACAGAAACAGGTTTAAAATTGAGAATAGAGGCAAAAAGTCTATACATAAAATGTAATTAAAACCCGGGAATTAAAAGCAATTTTAGACTGTTAGATGATCTCTTCTGTAATCAAGGTGATGTTGGTACACTTCCGCCGTTAGAAAAACAAAGACTAAGACAAAGACTATATAGCAATTAATCCTTTTGTAATCATTAAATGTTAGATTCTTATTATTTTGTTGGACAATGTTCAGACTTCTGACCAAGATTAAATCATTTATGTTTGTATTTAAAAAATAGTATTTCAATCAGACAGACGCTCTAATGAGTTAGAAAAATACATTTGTCCATTTCCTCTCAAGAAGTTTTCAAAGGTAATCAAGTCGATTTGTTTGAGTGTTTAGCATTGTTTTTCATAACTTGACGCTTCCATCAACAGAATGACTTTGAAATGAGTTTTTATAATTTTAGCTTTTATACGGACATGCTTATTGTATATTTCTATATGAACGTTGTAGTTATGTGATGTAACATCGCCCCCCCCCCCCAAAAAAAATTACAGGTATACAAATTTTGGTCGGAATGCATTAACTTGCAATTAAAAGCAATTTTAGACTGTTAGATGATCTCTTATGTAATCTAGGTGATGTTGGTACACTTTCGCATTTAAGAAAACAAAGACTAAAACAAAGAGAACTAAGCAATTAATCCTTTTGTTATCATTAAATGTTAGATTCTTATTTTTTATTGGACAATATTAAGACTTCTGTCTGCGATTGTTGTGCAGGTATGTGTATAAAATCATGTGAACAACATTATCGTGGAAACTCCCATATTCATTCTCATAATGTCTTACAGCTATTTCGCAAATGACATAATCCTAAACAACATATGGACATATATTGCAGAACTGAGCGAAAAGAAAGGTGGAACAAATCAGATTAAGATATTTTATTTTTGAAATACACAAAGGGCAACAAAACTTAATGGCGTTGTAAAATAGATCGTGCTTTTATATGATCCCCTTCTATAGTACCCTACCCTTTGCATTTGTTCGACTTCACTTCTTAAATGAGAGTTTCGTCTTCTCGTAGTTTATAATTAGCCTCTGCACGCAGCGTAACAGTGCCCCTATTATCCATGTTCATGTTCTCATTTGATTTTTCATCAGTTATGACTTGGTAACATTTGCTCCGATTTTCATTACGGCGCCCGGCCGATTGAGTATCTTGTTCAGAATTGAATACAAGTTTGAACAAAATACTCATCGGTCGGGCGATCTATCAGAGAAATAAAAATGGAAAATTTGTATTCTGAAAATATTAACTGATGCATTGGTTAGTATTAAATATTAAGTTTTACAGTCGGAAACCTCAAGGGGCGGGAAATTTGATTAAACAAAACGCTGGATTAATATGTGGACAACTTGCAAATGAAATGAAAGTAACATGACAGAACGAGTATGTACGCCCAATAAATACTTTTATAGTTTTAATGTGCATTCAAAGGACCCTGTTTGTTAAATTGATAGAAATGAATAGTTTTATTATCGGAAAAAAACTGAGAAATATCTACCCGATTCGCCAGAATAGTCATCATCATATCAGTGCGAAAAATTAGCTATATTTATTTTCTATCCGATATACACCTGATATTGATAGCCTTCCACGATCATGGTCCGTTGACATCATCAACCTTGTGATTTGCCATAAGTGATTAACCAACATTTTTTAATTAAAAGTCGGGGTTGACGTTTCTTGACTTTTCACACTCACATCAAAACATAATTTGAAAATAAAAGGCATAAAATGGCCATTAAAAGTACATTTTTGAACAAAAGTATCAACTTATATTACACTGCACGCAAATACAAAGTGAAAAGAACGTCTTCCCGGAGATTGAAATACGGATCGGTAAGTCAACAAATCTAACTGTTAAATAAACAAGCTTAGCCTATGTCTGCGATTGTTTGTCTGAGTGGCCAGATGTTATCCGTTTCGGATAATAAATTTCTGAGAATACTACTGATATCTAGAATACATCTTTCGTGATATTTTTCATAAAACTACCCTTTGCATTCGTTTGACTTCACTTCTTAAAAGAGAGCTTCGTCTTAGTGTATACGTAGTTTAACTAGACTCTGCACGCAGGGTATCATAAAACAGGCATCTTAGCTGCAATTTTGAATAATAGCGTAATTCATAGTACAATATAAATTAACCCGCCTCTGTTTAATTCAAATATGCATTACCCTTAAAATTTATATACTTAGACACCTTTTCATTCTTGATTCGGATTTTTATCTTGTCTTCATCTAAATCTGTGGATTAATAACAGTTTTTATTATACAAATTGAACATACAAAATGTAGCGTATTGATTACACGTTACAGTGGCGTAGCCAGCTTTCAGTCGGGGGGGGGGGGGGGGAAGGGGTGCGATCGTGGCATTAAAAATGTTTTTGAAGATTTGTTTTGAATTTTACAAAAATTGGTGCAACTTCGTTCAAAATCGAGCTAGAAGCTTCAAAAAAAGCATTTAAGACTTTTCTCTTTTATCTAATGGTTCTATTTTCATTGGTTATGGAGGGGGGGGGGGGTGCGATCGCATCCCATCGCATCCCCCTGGCTACGCCTATGCGCTATATTAATATAACAAGGTTATCAATATCATGCCAATAGTTACCCTGCGTGCAGAGTCTACATGTAGTTAAACTACAAGACGAAGCTCTATTTTAAGAAGTGAAGTCAAACGAATGCAAAGGGTAGCCAATAGTTAGATGGTTAACTAATATTAACACAAAATAATAATACACGATAATCAAAAAAATAAACCTCGGTATTCGGGCCTAAAATCCAAGGATACGTGTACCATTACTTAAGTGTAAGCTGCAATACCATATCAGATACCTGTACCATTACTCAATAATAACCACTAGTAAGACCATAATAACAAGCTTAATAACCATCTTATTGCAATTTATTCCATACGATTTTGTCTTGTGGAAAAGGCTATCCATTTAATTTCAGGAATTCATTGTACGAATGTGGCGATGTCAATCAAATGTTACATGTGTATCGTCGGGCATGATGCCCCTGACCTTGATAATCACCCCTGTGTTACAAACGTTACAAGCATGCCGACAGAAGAATGTGATGGTGCCATGGCCTCGTGTTACGTAAGAATAAATCATTTAAAATAATTTAAAGACAAAATTATGATTAATATTACAGATACTTATATGACCAAATTGTCGCTTTTGAATGCTTTCTAAATAGATATTATTATCATAAAGTAGTGTCCTCGCTATCTTGTGATCGTGAAGTTCTGGCACCGTAAATAGATCTACTTGTAGTACAGGTACTTTCAGCGTATTGATAAGGAATGCATATTTTGAAATGAACATTTGTTTGGGTTTTGTACCACTTTTGTTGTAGAAGTAGATACCATATAGATATTGATTAGCATTTGGTTTGGCAAGTAAGAAGGATCAGGTTGCTTAGAATTTTAAAGGCCCCGTTTATAGTTTGAAAATATATTTTTCAATTTATATACTGTTTTTGTGACCTTAAAAATTATTTTAGAGGTTTTTGAAAAAATAACCAAATTTAGAATACTTGTTAGAACAAGAGCTATATATAAGAAAAGTCATGTGAAATTATTGTATACTATATGTATGTAAAAATATTGTATAACTGTACTTGATAAACTGAAATAAAAAAAATAAATTAAAAAAAAAATAAAAAAAATAAAAAACTTTTGAAAAGAAAGTTGTCAGCGGTATGTATCTCATAAATATATGTGACCTCTAAAATTTATTTTTCAATAAATTCACCATTTTTCAAAAACAAAACAAAAACAAAAACGCAATAAGCAATTGAAACGCGATTGGTATTTTCCTGGATAAACATATAAATGTCTATTTAAAATCATGACTCTATTTTAGGTTGAAAAGTTCGTGCTTTCTAAACACCTGCAAAAGTTTTTGAGGGGATGTAAGGACGAAAAATGCGAGGACTATTGTCAAGAGAATCACGGTAAGCATTGGTAAAGTGGAAGGATTAGCACAGCTGCATATCAACCACCTCTTCTTTATCAATCAGACTCTTTTCTTTTGTATGGAAGAAAATGTCATGAATATCAGAACGCATACGACCTTTGTGAAGGAAATTTCCATATACAAAAAATAGACGTTAGAAGATTAGTCTACCTGCATATTGGAGTTCTAACACCCCTTGAAATGTACAGGCTGACCCGAAAGTATGGGACCCCCCCTCCTAGGCAGAGGTATATCAAAACTTTGGCAATATCAATACAGTCAAAAAATTACCATGAAACGGTGTCAAAACATCCCAAAAAGACCACGAATAGGTGTGTCAAAAATATCCATAAATACAATAAACTTATGTGTCAAAAAAAAAATTCAACCCTAACCCTAAGACCATGAATATGTGTGTCAAAAAATAAAATAAAAATTAAAAAATGAATTCCATAAATACAATAAACTTGTGTGTAAAAATCAAAAAATGAATTTAACCCCAAGCCTAACCCACAGATACAACAAGTAGAGATCAACAAATAGACATCATTTTTTGTTTTTTTATCTTTGATTTGACGGTTTGATATTTTTGATTTTTTTCATCAATTTTTGACACTTTTGATATTTTTGATTTTTGATATTTTTGACTTTCTGGAAGTTCTGGAAATACATGCCTAGGCAGACATATACCAATGTCTCCATAGAATGTGTCATATATCATTTTAAAGCTTATCCCAAGTTACATTGATTTGCCAAGTCTCACGTAAGTTTTATACAAGCTTCGAAATAACATGAATAATGCACAAAAATGATAATGTAATGAACTAATGAATAATCTAAAGATGATTAGGATGCGCTAAGTGATCACAACCGTTCTAATGAAAACAAAAAAAACAGTTAATATGCACTAAAATGTTATTCCGTTCTCATGACGTACATCCGTTCTTATGGTCGCAAATGCACGTGGGGACAAAACATTGACGTAACGCTTGCAATAAGACAAAAAAGTCTTTTGCATGTTAGCTCGTAGAACGTTTAGTAGCAGAAATGGCAGAGCGCCTTTCAAAAGTTAAAATAGATGCAAATATTACACGTACCCGTGTTTATTCTAATGGACTAGAACACCTCTAAAAATTTCTAAAGTTATAATGTAATAATATTTTGTAATGTAGTCTATGTTTGAAAACTATTTCGGGATTTTCTGCAAACTAAATTAAACCTACAGGATGGCCACGGAAAATTGAAAATAAGTTCCAGAAATTTCTAGAAAATTCCAGAGTGGAAATGGCATATATCTTCATGTAAATGTAAGATTTCGCGGCAATTTTTCATGACAACGATATGTAATATTGGTCTCCAAATCCCCTTCACAGCCATCAAATCCACAATGTGCTGTTATATTTTTAAACGTTAACAACGCATTAAACACCTGCCATTTGTTACAGACACGGGGACGCTGGCCTCCGGGCACCAACTGCCGAAAGCTATCCACAAAAAGTTGGAGACTAAAAAATATTTCACTTGTGCTAGTGACATTAAAACTATACATATCAGTTATACATGAACATGGACATAGCCAGACACGAGACAAAATTTTACAATTTTCATTGCATCATTGGGTGCTATATTGTGATCAGTTTGCTGTCCACGCGTTTCCAGGTGAACAATTTGAGATTGATTTAAAAACTTCAGGGATGCATCTTTATATGGTTTAGACTTAATTAGATTTTAGGCATGCTAGGTAGATTTCAAGGCAGCTGTTGTCACCCTGTAAGCACGTGTAGTTTTCGCTTTCAACTCCGGCTCAAAAACTTAAGTACTCGTGCCTTGTGTAAAGTGTGAGTTATCTCCCATTTTGTTTTTTATAATCTCTAAGCTCAAAAATTAAATGATAGGATTTAAGCCCATGACTCAATGCATTGTTTGCTGAATCATACCACGAAGGTGTTGTTTCCATGGCCACGTAGCGCGAACGCAAAGTTTAGGAAACAACGCCTGAATGGAATGAAGCAGCTACAAATGCATTGAGTTTTGGGCAGCCTTAAATTCTTTTGACACATTGCAAATTGTTTTCTATAAAATCATCTAAAATGAACGAAATCACTAAAGAACACATTTTCAAAGATTTTTTTGCAAGGGTCAAGTTGGCAAGTCATCAAATCCAATGTGAAAAATCCATTCATCACCATGACAACTGTTTAACTAGTGACCTTGCACGTGTCATTGATATTTCACACACTGTTTAGTGAATACTCCGATCGGATTGGCTGGAATCTGACACACATTGCCTAGCTATGTGTGAATGAATACTGTTAGTGTTACGAAATAAATTATATGACCGTATACCAGTTATTTGTTGCATCATTCTCAATCTGTTATTCTGGCAAAATCACATAACAAATCAAGTTTTTTTAATTTCTGTCTGACACCCATGTCTGATGACCAATTAGCTCTATCTGGAGTTACCAATGTCAATAACAAAGTCTGAATATTGCTAAAAACGTAAAACTAAACGGAACCGATCATTAGCACGAATTGAAATAGACATGTTTATAAGAAGCAAGGAAGTTTCATTTACTCTGAGGTCTGGATTCTTGAAACATTTGTTAAGCTGTACCCCGGGGTAGTACCGGTGTAAAAGGGTAGAAGGTCCTATTAATTTATGGTCCTACTCTCCATTGATTTATATGGTGACCTCTGAGCTCTTTCCCTTATTATCTTATACACAATCAGGGCCAGTAAGGGCCTTTTAAAGGGGGACCATAATCCCTGGGAGACCATAATTTCTTTCACACCGGCTTTGGTTGCCTCGGTCTAATCGTGACCGCCTTTATATCATCATGAATATGTGCTCGAACAGCATCCTATCTATCGTGCCCATCTACCACATTGCGGCAAATGGGCTTCTGAGAAGGAACTTCTCTAAATGATATAAGTCCCTACCTACTCCGAGATTCAGAGCTAACAGTACTAAGTACATTAGATGGCTATGAATATAAAGTTTTGATGCTGAAAAGATACTTACCCTAAAATTAGCTGTCGTGGTTTTAAATTAGGGTTTTATTTTGAAATGAATGCCATGTCATGTTCTTATGACAACATTATATTCAGTGATTACTGTTTCGATTGGGTAGTTGGATTGTGGTTAACAAACGGTCTCAGTACTACAGGGCGTCCACAAAAAAGTATACCCAATTTCAAAGCCAGGATACTAGAATTCTGAGCAATTTTTTAAAAATACGAAGGTAGCAGTAAAATGCCTAGTTTGTCCTCCATCCAATGGTACCTAGATCATCATAACTTTAAATTGGTACCTTCTTTTCGAGAAATGGGATCCAAAGACCCTCTTGATCAGCAATGAAACTTCTACTTGATGATATGCAGCTTTGAAGTCAATTGTATCCCCATGTAAAGTCAATAACCCTTGCTGAAATCCTCATTTTCTCAGAAGAACTCGAGTTTATTGAGTCTAAACAAGTAGATTCATGTGGGACAGTACTGCTAGAATCCATTTCAATAGTAAGAATAGGGGTTCTATACACAGTACAAGGGACTTGCTTTTTAGAACTTTTTGTTGGCTCTCTTGCTCAGGTGTCAGTTGAACCATTTTTGCAGGTCCATTTTAGAATAGGTTAAGCTTTTTGCCAAACATTTTTTTCATAAGAGGTTTATTCAGTCCCAAGTCCGGTTCAGTATGGAAGGCCTGTCCTCTAACTTAATGTAACAGAAAAGAATACTAAGCCAATTACACATCAATTGCCACACAGGAAGATAACTTGGCTGGTGCTAATTTTACCACCTCTCATAATGGTCAAGATTGCTCAGTCATACATACATTACAGTTACATGATGATCTTGGTACCATTTGATGGAGAATAAATCAGGCTTTTTACTACTACCTTTGTATTTTGTCAAAATTGCTTAGGATTCTAGTAATTTGGATTTGAAGTTAGGTATACTTTTTTTGTGGACGCTCTTTAGTATTCTGGATCAAAAAATCATATCTAAATCAAAGAGTTTACTACATGAAGCAATTTGTAAAGAAAAATGGAAGGGGATCAGCTCATAAAACAACTACCATATTGTTTGATGTCTATTTCAGGAACCAAGGACTGTCGCTCTTGTTGTCAAACGGATTACTGTAACATAGGCAACAAAGGCATGACGTCACCAAGATTGGACCACATCACTCTCGGATTCTGTATTTCGGGCATCACTTTACTACAGACACTACGGTGATAAACATTAGACACTTGGGATTATGACAAATAATTAGATCAAATTGCCTTGATCAAAATGGTTTAATTTGATGGAATTTGACTATATTTTTGGGTCCTTAATTTCCTATGAAATGACCTCTCAATTCTGACATTGACATACTGACAATGTAACATATGGAAATATAAATTATGATTTCTCTTTGGGCAATCTGAACAGTCTAACACCCCAGTCACATTTCCTACGGCGACCTTGCGGTCTATCATTTCTGCGGCCAGTAATATTTCTACGCTCGCCGTGGAATTTCTGCGCTCTCATACTTTTGCAGTCTCATTTCCCACGGCAGCCGCACGGTGAATTTTAAATTTCTGTTGATAAATAATACTTATTTCATTTTATTTACATCGGGACAATTTATAAATGTTATTCATAGTGCTAGGATGTAATATCAAATGAAAAGTGATCGTGAAACATTGACAAATAATGATTCAATCTTGTTGAGCCAGTTGATTTCTACGGGGACCTCAGAAATGAACAAATATTGTAACTCCGATTTATAATTTCTACGGCGACCCTGCGGCCTGTAAAAAACTGGATACGCCGTACGGAGGACGCAAGGCGAGCGTAGTTTTTCTACGCTCGCCGCAGAAATTCACCGATTTAATTGTTCTGCGGTCGACTTGCGGCCGCCGTGCGACACATGTGACTGGGGTGTAACGTGGCATCGTGATACAGAACACGTCACCCGTTACTAGATATATATAGTAATTTGTCCTAGAAATCCATGCATGTTTTAAAATCTGTATTAGAACATAAACACTTTCCTAGTATAAGTCATTTTAAACATTAATTTTTGTTATTTGTTGTCATGGTAACCAACAAATGTGAAGATGTTTTAGTTATTACACAACTTTTAAGACACATAGTCCGTTTTCGACTCATGATTACAAATATTGCTCAATAGCTGTATACTCGTGTCAAATCTCTCTACACAATTTGATTTCAATGTGAGTAGTCCAAGACAATCTAGGCTAGTTTAAACTTCTTCAATTATCGCTATTAAATTCTTGAATATATGAAGTTATATTTATGCATTGTGGGATCCACAGCCTTTACTATCCTTTTGGAATAGTTCTCTCAAAAACGTTAGGTAAAGAGGGACTCTGATAAATCAGAATGATATTTATGTGTTTATAAACAATATTGCTGCGAACGCCGAATGCCGTCGACGTTAATTCATAGAAAGTAGGCTAATGCAATCTTTAGATACACGCTAGTACATCACCATTCTGATACTCATAGCATCTTTCTGTTTCACCTGAAACATCTCAGGGCTGAGAAGAAATGAGATGTCATGGTCTATCATGATGGTACAACACCACTTCTTGAAACGCCCTATTCAATCCTAAAAATACTACCCCCTGCAGTCACACCATGTTCTGTGGTACTAAAATTTAAAACGAATGGATGTAATGAGAAACTAGCATTTCGAACTCTTTAAGAACGTCGAGGAATCGTGTTATATCAAGTCCCTCAAAACTGACCATATTGTTGTAAGGATTGACCGACTTCAGGAAATAATTCGATGAGTTAGGTCGGTCTGCGAACAGTAGCCTGCAACGAGCATGGATGCCATCAAAATTTTGAACTGGCTCGAAGTTGTAACAACGTCCAATTTTCGGGTTTGTGTAAAAATCCGGGTGACCGGGTACTTAACGTTCCTAGCAGGGTTAGGAATTTTGTTTTATTTATAACGTTGGATCTGGACGATACATGTACGTTATTTTCGACGTCACGTTTTGAGGTTATTTCACATCGTAAGAACGTTTTGACAACGTTAACTTTTAACTTTAAGATAACGTCGGTAATGAACCGATTTAGTGAGAACATATTGACGTCTTTGTAACGTTTCCTTAACTCACAAATATTTTGAAGCCATTTCCATAATGTTGAAATTCAACCATCCATCGACGTTTTGCTGAATATATAAATAACGTCAGATCAATACAGTCCATGAACGTCATTATTGACGTCACGTTTTGAGGTTATTTCAATACGTCGGAAATGAACCGACTTAGTGAGAACACAAAGTTTTTGTCATGTTTTTTCCACCAACAAATATTTTGATATTAAAAGCCTATTTTGACAACGTTGAATTTTAACGTTTGAGTTACGTCACATATGGACCAATGTAGTAAAAAATCAAACGTTCCTGTTTGTTATGTTTTCCACACTAACCAACTTTACGAACACGTTACAACAACGTTCTTTTTATACCATCAATAGATGTCTCATGTTTACCTTGCCTCGATGTGTAAAGAACGAAAATGTGCAACGTCTTCTAGGAACTTATATGCTACTTATGAGCAACGTGACATGGACGTCACTGTTTGCTGGATCGATTATTTTAAAAAGCTGTGTCTCGTATAGGGTAAAACTATCGAACAGCAGTGCATTGTTGGGCAAAATTTCTAGTCCCTGAGATTTGGCTGGTACTATAAGTCTATAAGAGAACTCCAGACAAACTGCAAATAAAATTTTATTTTTGACTTAAAAATATTGAATATCATAATTCTTTAAGACCTAGGATGAAGAAAATACTTTTCTTCATCCTAGTTTAGACCTAGCTTCTCGGGTTTGTGTAAAAACCCGGGTGACCGGGTACTTAACGTTCCTAGCAGGGTTAGGAATTTTGTTTTATTTATAACGTTGGATCTGGACGATACATGTACGTTATTTTCGACGTCACGTTTTGAGGTTATTTCACATCGTAAGAACGTTTTGACAACGTTAACTTTTAACTTTAAGATAACGTCGGTAATGAACCGATTTAGTGAGAACATATTGACGTCTTTGTAACGTTTCCTTAACTCACAAATATTTTGAAGCCATTTCCATAATGTTGAAATTCAACCATCCATCGACGTTTTGCTGAATATATAAATAACGTCAGATCAATACAGTCCATGAACGTCATTATTGACGTCACGTTTTGAGGTTATTTCAATACGTCGGAAATGAACCGACTTAGTGAGAACACAAAGTTTTTGTCATGTTTTTTCCACCAACAAATATTTTGATATTAAAAGCCTATTTTGACAACGTTGAATTTTAACGTTTGAGTTACGTCACATATGGACCAATGTAGTAAAAAATCAAACGTTCCTGTTTGTTATGTTTTCCACACTAACGAACTTTACGAACACGTTACAACAACGTTCTTTTTATACCATCAATAGATGTCTCATGTTTACCTTGCCTCGATCAGCTAAGGCCACCGGGGTACTACATGCCATGTGCACCAAGTACAATTAGCATCTTGCCAAGTACGAAGTATACATGTTGCCCAGCATGTGGACCAAGTTACAAGTCACATGCTGCCAAGTCCCATATTCAAAATTTTCGAAGTCTTAATGATAAACCTCGCATGTGCAGCATGTGGACCAAGTTAGCAAGTGACATGGTACCATGTTGCATGTTCAAATAGCATCTTGTCAAGTTTAAACTATACATCTCGCATGTGCAGCATGTGGACCAAGTTAGCAAGTGACATGCTGCCATGTTACATGTTCAAATAGCATCTTGCCAAGTTTAAACTATACATCTTGCATGTGCAGCATGTGGACCAAGTTAGCAAGTGACATGCTACCATGTTGCATGTTCAAATAGCATCTTGCCAAGTTTAAACTATATATCTCGCATGTGCTGCATGTGGACCAAGTTAGCAAGTGACATGCTGCCATGTTGCATGTTCAAATAGCATCTTGCCAAGTTTAAACTATACATCTCGCATGTGCAGCATGTGGACCAAGTTAGCAAGTGACATGGTACCATGTTGCATGTTCAAATAGCATCTTGCCAAGTTTAAACTATACATCTCGCATGTGCTGCATGTGGACCAAGTTAGCAAGTGACATGCTGCCATGTTGCATGTTCAAATAGCATCTTGCCAAGTTTAAACTGTACATCTCGCATGTGCAGCATGTGGACCAAGTTAGCAAGTGACATGCTACCATGTTGCATGTTGAAATAGCATATTGCCAAGTTTAAACTATACAACTCGCATGTGCAGCATGTGGACCAAGTTGCCAAGTGACATGGTACCATGTTGCATGTACAGATAGCATCTTGCCAAGTTTAAACTATACATCTCGTCTCGCATGTGCAGCATGTGGACCAAGTTAGCAAGTGACATGCTACCATGTTGCATGTTGAAATAGCATCTTGCCAAGTTTAAACTATACAACTCGCATGTGCAGCATGTGGACCAAGTTGCCAAGTGACATGGTACCATGTTGCATGTACAAATAGCATCTTGCCAAGTTTAAACTATACAGCTCGCATGTGCAGCATGTGGACCAAGTTGCCAAGTGACATGGTACCATGTTGCATGTACAGATAGCATCTTGCCACGTTTAAACCATACGACTCACATGTGCAGCATGTGGACCAAGTTGCCAAGTGGCATGCTGCCATGTTGCATGTTCGAATAGCATCTTGCCAAGTTTCAACTATACATCTCTCATGTGCAGCATGTGGATCAAGTTCCAAAATGACACGTTTGTTTATTTGGAATGGGAAATTAAATGATAAAATATATTTTTAAACTAAAAAGTTTGTTTAATGAACGGTAAAACGAATGAAATGAACACAAATTTGGAAAATGTAATTTAAAAAATGGTAAATTGGTATATAAGTTTGAGCTTTGTAGTAAGCATATGAAGAAATCATCCTCTACAATATTCTTGGTTAGCTGACCACTAACTCCCGGGCACTGACTACATTTGTATTCTGCCACTCTCAGTAGTCAGCTGCCAGTAGTCAGCTTTTACCAGGGAGGGAAGCAGGGGGGGAGGGCTGTTTTTAAAGAATTCCATGAGGGATTTGACTTTTCCATTGCATTATACCTTAGAATTCACACATGTAAAATGTTTCAATATGATAATAATAGATTACTAACTTTATGTTCTCATAAAACAAAAATAGATTGCAGAGAATAATTTATTATGTAGAGATGATTTTATTATGGAATAATTGTGAAGTAATAAACTTGTTAATGTTACAAAGCTATGAACAGCATATTACTGTATCATATACAATTATTCTAACACAATTCTAAACACATGTGAACATTATAGTATCCTTGTATTAATGTTCCAATCTGAGTGTCAGTTAGTTCACTAAGTAGGCTCCCTGGTCAGAAACATCTTGAATTCTTGAATAAGTAGAAATAAGAATATAACTGTATTTATGTAGAATTGAAAATCTGTATATCTGCAAATATAGAACATTTACCATTGCCCATGAGTTTTCTGCTCTGTAGAAAGACCATAAATGCA